TTAGAAATCTGTTTCCCTCATTGTTTATGTGGACCCCTTCAGACCACAACGCCTTGCGTCTCTTCGGCCGAAGTTTCTGGGGAGAGTCGGGCCCCCGAACCAGATTGCTAATGTGCAAAACAACAGTCCCCGGCTTCAGAAATAGACAACACAGCCCGAAAGTCGACATGTGGGGCATTCGGGGACTTTTTCTGTCCCGCCTCCAATGCATGTGCCCAATGACCAACAGGGGCCCCCATGATGCCCTCCCGGTTTGGCCCGAACAGCGGCATGCTCCCTGGCAGAGCTCTGGGCCTAATGAACTCATCAGCCAGCTGGAGGCCCTGGATGGAGGGACAGGGGCCACTTGGGGGCGGCTGCAGGGCCAGAGGGAGGCGAGCGAGGGAGAAAGAGGAGAGAGAGAGAGGGTCTAAGGAAGATGGAGGTGAGCTCACCAACATGGTAAATGAGGCAGGTGCAGCTTCAGGAGGGGGTGGGGGCCCGAGACAGCGGGGTCAGCGCGCAGGAGGAAGAGCTATGAGAGACCGTAGAGATGGAAAATGACGTCCTTTGTTGAAATAGGATGGAGAGGGAGCAATGGAGGACAGGATTTGTGCCTCCAAAATGGAATTCAGATTGTTTCTAAATGCTAAGCTAAGGTAGCCGGCTACCGTGTGCACAAGGGATTGGTATCGATCTTCTCATCTAACACTCAGCAAGAAAGCGATGTGTGTGTTTAATGTCTTTTAAATTCTGAAATTCTGAAATGGTTCCACTTCCAGTCCAGACTTCCGTACCTCCTGCCTTTCTGCAGCAGAGGTCTGGCAGTTGGCACCACGCAGTCCATGATTCTGGTTCTACCGCGCCCCCCCTCCCTCGGTGTACGAGTACAGTGTCACGGCGTGGCGTCGGTTCCAGCGGTCGGGCGGGGGGGGGCGAAGATCTGCTCCCGGCTGGAGGAGCTCGGAGCATTTTTTCAAATTTGTGTCAAGACATCAGTGTTGAACCAAGTCCAAACAGCTTGTGATGGACACATTTACCCTAAGAGAGTAAAAGAAGATTAAAAAAAAACGTGTGTGTGAGCCGCTCTTAAAAAGGGTCACACTTATGTCTTCTGTCACTTCAACAACAATCATCCCCGCGCTCACTGCACGGCCCACGAACTCATCTTCATCCTCCCCTCTCAACGTTTGGTGTTTTCCCTCGCTGGCCGCGTGTGTGTGTGTGTGTAACTGCGCGACCGAGCACCTTTGTGTGTCCATATGTGTCTGGGTGGCGGGGAAGGCGCTGCGGGCGCCCTGCTGGGAGCACAGATGTGCCGAGCCTGCCACCGCAGCGATGACGACGGCACATCTCACATGGGACCCCCAGCTTTCTGGATGCCACACGTCTGTTCAGGCCTGAATCCACAGCCCCCGCCGCCCCCCCTCCTCCCCTCCAAAAAAAACTTGCACACACACACACACACACACAGGGCCCGGGTCCAGCCTATTGCACCGCCCCGGACTGGAGAGGTTCTGATGCCGAGCACCAGTCGCCTCTTTTCCTCGCGCCTCCCAAGGAAAACAAAAGAAAGATTTGTCTCCTCGCATTTCGTCTTCATATTTATTTTTTTTCATCGCTGTGTCTGCTCCCCTCCGTCTTCCCCCACCGGTCTCTGATTTCCTGTCGCTCAACCTCTCCCAGACCCCCCCACCGCCCCCCCGCGGCTCGCCGTCCACCTGAGAGAAGCCTCGTACATCTCCTGACAAAGTGACTAATCCTTCCCATTTCACAGCTCCATCCCACTGCTTCCCGTGTGTGTGTGTGTGTGTGTGTGTGAGAGAGAGAGATAGGTGACAGGTGGGAGTGTGTCGTGCGAGTTCAAGGTGTTTTTTTGTCGTAACAAGCGGCTCAGACAGCTGGGTCGTCTGCTCTGACTGATTAGAGAAACATCTCCATCGCAAACGTCTCGTCACTCTGCGACTTTTCCGATGACAGCTCCTTTTGAAAAGGACGCCCACCTGCAGATGAGAACCTGGTATTTCTGGTGGACCGTTTAGCCCCAAATAGGATCCAAACCATCCAATATTCTCCCCTAAAACTCAGGTATCAAATTTGTATCTTATTTTCGCAGAAAACTGCGCCGTGTCAGGCCTCAGCTGCATCGGCGATATAAGCCTCGCTAAGAATAATGATCACCATAAATCAGTGTACTGCTTCCTGTGTGTGTGCCACTTCTGCATGATTATGGACGCCGCAGTGAGAGGGCTTCTCATTCCAGACTAAACTCCTGTTCATGAGGTGGTCTTTTTTAAAGGAATATGTCTCCCCCCCCTAAGCACTAAATGAATGAATAACTTTTAGGATTTCTATTGCATTTAATGTGTTTTTTTAAGCTGTGAGTAAAGGACCTGATGTGAGTAGATGTTTCTGCTGCGTGTGTTTTTTTGTGATGTCAAAGACAAATTTTAATATTGTTGGCGCACTCAAGTTTGCCCTGACCGTAACGTTTTAAAAGAAGAACTTTTGTGATGTTTTGCAGCACAGCTGGCAGGATTGTTGGCATTGTACATTTTTATCAAATCACGGAGATGTTTATATATCCAGCCACGGGTATTGAAAATTGCATGGTACAAAAAGTCAATTAATAAACAAGGAAGTTCACCAAGGGGTTCAGGCCACGGAGGCCGGTGTTTGTGTAACGCTTGTTACACAACGTAACGTGCGTGCGATGTCTGCGAAGGCCGGTTGTTGCTTTTTTACGTTAGTTACGTAATGTACTTTCATGATGTTATAGTGTTACAGTTGCTACGTAACGACGTGACACATTTCCTTGAATACAAGGAGAGTGTGTGAGTCGACATGCAGACGAGTGACGTTATCTGGTGGCTCCACCGCCCTGCAGGCCCCCCCCCCCCCCCCGCGCTTCTGCGGTCAGAACATCAGCTGCTGCATGTAATTGTAGCACCGCAAACAAAACAGCCTTCGAGGGGTCCTACATGTCTTTGGCCGAGGGCCTTGCGGACCGAGGTTGGGGGGGGCTGAGAGAGGGGGGCGGGGGGGGGGGGGGGGGGGGGGGGGGGTGTTGACTTAGACCACCAAGCAAAGACCTTCTCCACTTCTCCGTCTGTGGAGCAATTAGGGTGGTGGGCTGTGTGTGCTGTGTGTGTCCGTGGGCTCCAGCTGTCAGGAGGCCTCTGTCTCCCGGTCCTGACATGTCTCCGATACACCCCGCTGTGAGTCTCTCTGTGTCACACACATTCTGCACAACCCCAGGCTAGCTGCCCGTCATCTCACACACACACACACTGGACACAATCTCTCTCTCTCTCTGACACACACACACACACACACTGGACACAATCTCTCTCTCTCTCTGACACACACACACACACAGACATGCTGAGTGTTCACTGATATGGTCCTTCTGGCACTATGGTAGTTCTTCTCTCCCTCACACACACTGTGAGTGTGTGTGTGTTTGTGTGTGTGGCGGCAATAAGCATGACGGTGGCTGCGGGCCACGGCAAGTCATCCGTGCTTCCCCTTATCGTTTTAATCACCTCGTTAGGCGCAGCTAGTCCCCACACGTACTGGCTACTGTCTATCTTCTGGAACCGTGCCCCCGTGACCCAAAGCTGGTGGTGCCACCGGGCACAGGGACGCACGATGGGGGTCAGGCGCGCGGGGGAGGGGGGGTGGGGGAGGGCGGAGGCGGGAGAGACTTGAGACCGACCGTCGCAAATGTACAGGCACTCCTGTGGATTATGTCAGATAAAGTTCAGGTTGGAGCTCTATGCCACGTTTCACACGCGTCGCCGGGTTGCTAAAACCTCTCACATTGTTTACTTTCCTTGAGTTAAAGTTTGTCTCCAAAGGTAAGTGCACATAAAGGGTGCGTGAACCGAAGATCGGGAACGCTTCAGGACATGAAGTGGTTGTTGATGTAGGAATTGTTCGAGAAAGGAACACTTTAGATCGTCATACAAACCAAAAAGGGATCCTGTTAAATCACCCCGAAAACAATTTCACCGGATGTTTTTCATCCTTCCATTCAAAATGAGACCAAAGTTGTAATGATCTGACTTTCAAATTGCGTCTTCTCTTTTTTTCTTTCATAAATCATAAAAGGTTTTAGATTTAAAAGTTTTAATCGCAACATGTCTGTCTGAGATCTGTCATGTCCAAACCACTTTGATTGATCTTTTCTCATCTTAAATGAATCCCCACTCTGGCATTTACTCTTAAAATGTCTTCAAACTCATGTCTGTTTGTGTGAATGCTTATGTGTGTGTGTGTGTGTGTGTGTGTGTGTGTGTGTGTGTGTGTGTGTGTGTGTGTGTGTGTGTGAGTGACACGCCTGATAACAACTACAAACAGTGAGTCAACAACAGGCCTTTATATACAACAGGATTAATTAAACACAAATAGTGCCAAATCAAACACGTGGCGGGGAGTATAATTCACACACAGACAATAATGGAAAAAATAATTGCAATATACGACAACGCTTACGCACTGATGCTGTCTGACAAATGACAAAAACAAGGCCTGTGTGCTTCCATCTCTTCTCTGAGCTGTTGTTGTAATAACTCCCATGGGAACATTTATCCCTCGTCTTATCTCATCTTTAATGACAACGTGAGTGTTAAGAAAATACGTGTTTAGGATTAAATCTTTCACACTGGTCTTAATCTAAAAACATGCTTACTTTCCTTCCTCTACCTGCACTTAAATTAAAAAAAAATGAAGTTAGTTTTTTTTTTTCTTCATCTGACACCGCGGGAAGAGAAAAGAGGCTACGCACGTGCACAAACTCACAACACGGCATTTATTTATTTTCTCTCCCCTTCCTTTTATCATGCACACATCTCTGCTTTCCCTTTGCCCACTGCACTCCCACGGGAGGGAGAGCGCTCGAGGGCTGAGGGGCGTGAAGAGAGGGAGGAGGTGCGTGCGCGCGCGTGCGTGTGATAGAGAGGGAGAGAGAGGGGGGGGAGAGAGAGGGAGGGGGCGGCGTTAGACAATGCCATTCCTCAAATATATTCCATCCCCGAAGTGAGCCTTTATTAGTCGGGATCGTTTGGATCTTATCTCGCATATGACACTCAGCGGAACAAGGACTGGAGGTGAAGACAAGACAGAGAGACACAGACAGAGAGAGAGAGAGAGAGAGAGAGAGGGAGAGAGAGAGGGAGAGAGGGGGGATTATCCGCGACCTGCCTTCCGATCCGCTCATCCCTGACACGGGGAGAGCCGCGCTTATCTCGCCCCTTTTTATCCCCATCTTCCCGCGGCGGATGGACGAGTAGCCCCGGCTGCACTTTCTCCACTATCTTCTCTTTTGTGTCTCCATCGCCGGGATCCACGCGCTGGAGTGCTGGGAGGGTGTGTGTGTATGTGTGTGTGTGCGTGTGTGCGTGTGTGTGTGTGTGTGTGTGTGTGTGTGTGTGTGTGTGTGAGGGGCTGCTGACTGATCCCGGCTCACATCATCATTAGCATTCTTTCTTTTTTATATATATATATTATATTATATATATATATATATATACACACATGTATATATATTTTTTAATGGACTGATCACTAAGCATGCTGAAGGGGACTTCGGGACTGTTTTGATGTACGGAAGCATTTCTTTTTCTACCCACTTGACGTTTGACCCCCCCCCCCCCCCCCCGCGTGGTTCCCAGGTCGCAAGTTCCGAAAAGAGTAAAAACTGCTTCTACGCTGCTTTCGGTTTGGTGTTAAATTGTCCCTCCGAATCGAAAGTCCATATTTTTGCCCGAACATCGAAAATGACCTAAACTTGGAGTTGAGCCGCTCTGAAGTTCGTTTCCGTGAGATTTCTCTCCTCCCAACTCTTTGTCAAGGTGAGTCTCAAATAAAGAAAACAATCATCTTTAAAAAAAAGAATGAAGTTTGTTTTTAAATCTTTTTTCTCTTCCTACTTATTGGCCGACTTGTGTCTGCACGTTTGCTTCCTCGGCTTCATAATAACACACAATAGCTTCGATAAGTTCGTGTCCACAAGACGTCAACGTTATTTCTGCCGCCTTGTGCCTCCGCGGCCTCAGCCCAGCAGATGTGTCCATCCCACTGTGACAGATGGCCAATTCTGATTATGTTAATTCACAAAGAAAAGCACTTTCTCCTTCTCCGGTCGTCACAAATCGCACTATTAAGAATTATGATTTGTAAATATTTCAAACCGAAAAAAAACGTTTTTAAAGGTTCGTCAATTTTAAAGCCTCCGGCTTTAAAAACGATCATTATTCGATTCTCTTATAGGGATTTATTATTTATGAAGTTTAATGTTATTATGCAAAGTACGTTGACTTCATTTTAAATTATAGGGGGGGGGGGGGCAGAGAGGCACCCCACTGTGGCATCCCTCACACTAGGGCCTCGGGTGGCAGAAAAACTAAAGCAACCTCATTTAATTTACTTTTTTCCTCTACACCCGTTGTCGATGCTCATTGTTTAATATAAATAATTCAGCTTGGTAAATAGCACGAATCCGTGTTCTAATCGCCGGTTTTCGCCCGCAGGTTTCTGAAGCAGGAGCGACCGCCAACGACCGGGGAACGAAAATGATGCTGAGTCCGGACCAGGCGGAGGGGGACCTCTCCTGGACCCAGTCCGACCCGGAGTCCCTGCTCAACGGCCTCCGGTCGGCCGGCTGTACCTCGGACGAGCCGGCGGAGGGCGAGGAGAGGCCCAAGTGCAGGGCCGACCAGCCGCTGAGCCGAGAGGAGAAGAGGAGGCGGCGGAGGGCCACGGCCAAGTACCGCTCGGCCCACGCCACCCGAGAGCGGATCCGCGTGGAGGCGTTCAACGTGGCCTTCGCGGAGCTGAGGAAATTACTCCCCACGTTGCCCCCGGACAAGAAGCTCTCCAAGATCGAGATCCTCAGACTGGCGATCTGCTACATCTCCTATCTCAATCACGTGTTGGATGTTTGAAAACAAAGGGAATAAAAACAGAGGGACCGAGATGGTTTGGGTGGAGATGACTGGACTCTGGGTGGGGGTCGGGTGGGTGGTCGGAAGGGAATGGCAAAGTTGGCGGCAGGGCGGACTCGTGGGGGGGATTTACAGCCTTCCACGGTGCGTAGTTTGTGCGGACAATGCCTTCAAAATTGTCAATTTTCGGGTGTAAAACAACTCTATTCGTGGTCCCTGAATCCACCATAATTTACATGTATAAAAAACATTTGGTTATTGGAAGTTACTAAATAGATATTTCACTCCATTTTTTAAATACTAAATGCCAATTTAACAATATATGTGGAAGAATTTCTCCCCCGAATGACAGTAACTATCGTCCCTGGATGCCGGGACCCCCCCCCCCGACCCCCTCGCAGTCCCCCCAAAGCGCGAGTGCAGCGTCAATTATTGTTGACGAAGTTGTTGTGTTGTTGTTGGGGGCGAACGGCTGAACAAAAAGAGCATCGAGCGCCGAGCGGTGTCATCTGTCATAGCTGCAATAATGAGAGCACTCGGGGGGGGGGGGCACGTTTTCCTTTCCTTTACACAAAGGTGATCATTTCAAAATTGTTATCATGAGGTTTAAGAATTCGGTGTAATAAAATAAACAGATGGGGATGACGGATGTAAACGAGACAATAGCTGCTTTAGATTCTAGTTTAGGCGATGTTTTCCGTAAAGGAAGGGGGGGGGGGGGGGGGGGCAATGCGTAAGTGCCACTTATGACATGAAATTGTGACCTTAACCCTTTTTTCTAATAATTCAAGTGTATGGAATTATTTATTTAATTGTGTTGAAATTTAAGGCTAATTTATTTATGTTGATATAAATATGTTTTGTATAAATGTGTTGTTTGTTGCTTCTATATTTTAGGTTGTAAAACTTGGAAAGTGATTCTATACCCTTAAAAAATGGCACTTTCTGTTGATCCATAGCATCATTCATTTGATGTATGTTTGATGTATTCATGTTTTTTATTTTGTTTATTTATTTAATATATTTTAATGTCACGTCTATTGCCTATCAATAGCAACGATAAAGCACTTCAAGATGGGGTTCATGGGCCGGTAAATGTTCATTTTGCCGATATTGTTGTCTTCAGATGTCACTCGGAGAATAAGAAACGGGCTTATAATTTGTGTTCAATTTTGAAATAATATAATAATCATGTAAAGAATGATTCCGTCGAACAGTTTCTACCACGTATCATAGGGCTGCGACCAAAAAAAGAAGAAGAATCATTTTGAAAAAAAAAGCCTGACTTTATCCCCGTCAATGTTTTGATGTTCAGTTTTTTTTGTTGTCATTCATTTGTGTCTGCTCTGTAACGGAATCCAATAAGTAATTTTATAGTGAAGAAAAAAAGCAAACATATCCTCTATCCAAAGATTTTCTGTCATTCAGGGTTGTGTAGGCTACTTGTTGCTTTATGCAGATCTTTTGTAGTAGAGGTGTCGTGTGACAGCTGGTTTCTAATGAACAAACTTTTTCATATTTTCCGCTTTTATTTTAATTAAAACGGAAATACTTGAAAAAAAAGGCCCGTCCTGTTTTTGAAATATTTTTAAAAGAGAGATAGCAAGATTTGCTCCGTCAGAAAAAAACCCGCTAACAGCTGCTTATATTCAGCTGACTGGAAAGGATGACGTCACGCCTGCGCGCACACGCGTGCAGTGCAAATCAGCGATCGCATTCAGCTCACTGTACACACACGCACGCACCCACGCAATGCAAGGATAAATACATGCAAACCCGGTTTAGCATACAGATGAAAACACACACACACACACACACACACACACACACACACATAGGGCTCATGTTCAATACTGTACAAACACACACACACACACAATGCAAGGTGAAATAAGAAATCTCGCCCTGCACACACACATGTTCTCTCTCTCTCTCTCACACACACACACAACACACACAGTGGTCAGCAGCTAAAGGCAGTGGTAGCCTCCATGTGTGCCCCCGGCTGAAAGGCTCTCTCCCTCCCCAGAGAGGGGGCAGGTGTTACTCCAGACGAGCCAAGACAACCAAATTACTGGCCGTCTGGCACCTCCCGTGGGAAAAACCCGGGGAGAGAGGAAGGATGGGAGAGATTGAAATTTATGAGCGAGGAGCGAGCGAGATGTAATATCGGCCAAATGGTATACGGACAAACATTTAAGAAGTGAGAGACACAAATATTTATATTAATCTGCGATATTAAGACCGCCCGTTGCGATCGATTGCGCTATAATGATAAAAAACAAATGCTGGGGTTCAGTTCCAGAGCGCGATGTGGAGGATGTGTGAACCCTTGTATTTGAGACACATTAGATTATTATGGGGGAACCTGTTCTTTTCACCGAGGACATACCACATCTATCCATATATCTGTCTACCCATCTTCTCTCTCTTCTCTTCCTCCCCTCTCTCTCTCCTTGTCTTCTCTCACTTTCTTGCCTTATCTCTCTTCTTCCCTCTCCCTCTCTTCTCTCTCTCTCTCAGGTGGCAGCAGCTGCACTGAGGTTTTAGCTATAGTCATGTTTGCAGTTTCAAACCTTTACTCTATTTTTTTGTATCTTTGGAGAACTGAAGGTTACATGAAATGTTCTTTCATTTAAAGGCTCAAGGGCCTCCTGTGTCTCGTTTCTTGTTCTGTTGGGCATCTGTCAGTTTGTCAGTCAACCGCCCCGCCTGACTTTCTCATTTTACCTTCAGCACACACAAGAGGTCGAGGATGTTTATATGGGGACAAGGTTTCAGTAAGCAGTTGACCTTCTGGATTTGAGCCTGAAAGCGGCCACTTTAACAGTGTTGCGTGAAAAACAAATGCGAATTAAGCGCTCCACCTTTTCAATTTCCCATCAAATAGGTGAAGTGACATTCTGCAGATGTTTGGCACTACAGGCTATCACACGCATGTCTGTAATCCGCCATTTAGTGAAGTAGAAAAATACGTTTTTGCAATAAAAGAAATTGCCTTGAAAGATCGAGGGAAGACTTCAGGAAGTTTGGGTTTTCATACAGCCTGAAATTAGTCATTTGGCCAATGTTTTGATAACCAATTGCAACCAGTCATGTTTGTCCGTTGAAGGCATGTTCCCATCATATGAGCGGCAGTTCAGTCTGTCGAAGGCATAAAAAGCAATGTTCCGTTCTGAAAACGTAACCTGCCTTTCTGAAAAAGGAACCTTCACCTGCCACTTTTTGGTCTTGGCGTCACTCTGAAAGTGTGTGAAACTATCGTCTCCATAAACGTCCAGAGACCAAAACTGGATGTCCCAGAGGTTCTATTGTCGGAAGTGACCACAAACCTGTTGGTTGCTCGCGACTTACGTCCCGGGGTCGGCCCACTGCACATAACAGAATAACAGTCGGAATGACCTACACTTCTTCTCAGTGGGTCGCTTTGAATGCAGAGTATTGTCAATTGATGGATTCCCTCCACACAACTCTCAACATGACGGTCTCTTTTCAGCAGCTGAAACGTATTATCATCTTTTAGTGAGATAATATGGTGCCAATCATTTTGGAAAACAGTTGCTCGTTTCCACATCCTGCTGTGACAGAGCACCACGTGAGCGTATTCTTCTCTCTCTTTTTGCTCTGTGTTTGTTCTCCACCGACTTGTAAGGGAATATTTTGCCCTTTAGGCAAGGCACAGTAAGTTTGCTTGTATAACACAATTCTACAACAAAAAGGCCATTTAAATTGTTTTACATAGAAATGTTAAAACCATCAAAACAGACAAATAGTATGAAAGTTCAGCCTGATCTGTTCGTAAAAATCTTGAAGATACAAATTTGTAGTGATACATACTAAATAAATACGGACTGGCAACTGATGACGTCACCCTATTCCAAGTGAATTGGGACCTGCGCCCCGTAAACACACTTTGTGAAGTCTAACGATTTGTAAAATAAACGTGTTAGGATTGCATTTTTTAACGAGAAATCAATGTTAAATTGTAAGAATACAATACTAACCCCAACCCCCTCAAAAAATCCAACATGGCGGAGAGACGTTCACTCAAGAATCCAACATGGTCCGCCACGTTGTTCACTAAAGGGGCGTGGTTAACCACCGCCAGTTCCTATGTATTGTTACCAATTTGTATGTTCAAGATTTTCGTACACATTTTTACGAACAGGTTTTGGAGATCACGTTGGAAAGTTGCAGTCAAGGTTTTGGATAAAACAGTATGCAGAAATGTATGAAAAATCTTAAATAGTACTGTTCCAAGAAGCCAGATTACTGCCTGGTCCTCTTTCTAATACAACTACACATGATGAACTCTTCACTGGACTGTCTTTTAGGTTCCCAGAACCCCGGTTCTACCCTGACTTTCATTTAGTTCCCTGAACTAAAGATTTTGACGAAGGGTAATTCTAGAATCTGGTTCAATTAATGGCAGCAGCAGAGTGAAGAGTCTCCCCAGACCTGTAGCCTTCTGGGCGTTTGTTCCAGATGTAAGAGCCCTTAGCTGTTACCTTTAGCAGTGAAATGCTCGTCAGCTAGCTTTTAACTGTGCCTGTTTAGTGTTTAGTGCTGACTCGTGTTAAATCAAAGTAGTATCATGCCCACTTTGGGAGTATTGTAGAAAAGCTGAAAAGACAAATGAGGAACCATTGTTCCGTGATATATATTCATATCAGCTTCCGAGCATGAAACTTGGCCAATATTAGCTGAAACGAATCCCTTTGTCTTCATTTCTACAGCCTTACATTTAGCCAAAGAAGAAAATTGCTGAGATGAAAGGATACACGACTTTGTTTAAGACGCTGTGCTACTTTCAAGTAGCTGTGCTAATTTTGGCGCTAGTGCACTTTTAACTCACAAAAACTCATTCTGGCCCATCTGCACACACGCAAACCTCCCCAACATGTTGTAGAAAACAAAAACACGCTGATAACATTTTCCATCATTACAGAATTTCCTTTCACTCACGGATCATTCAGACCGGACAACTGTCACAGGCCGCTCCGTCAATGCTCCGACAAGAAGCCAAAGAAAAGAAATAAGGGAACCCCCCCCACCCCCACCGCCCACACCCCCAATATGGTTGCGTCAACAGATTGTCCCCTTCAGAACACAAAAACAAGCTCGGCGGCTCTGGCACGAGCGCCGGGCGCGGACTTCTGCTCGAGCGTTATTGAATGGAGGGGTCCATCTGCACGCCGGCCCGCCGAGCACCGCGAGGCCATTTGTGTTCCCTGTCCCGAGAGCTTCTCGTAGCAATCGGGCCTCTTGAAATGTATTCTTTTCAAAAAAAAAAGACCCAGAACGCGAAAGGCGGGAGGGAGGGGGGGGTTGACAGGCGAAAAGCCCGGACCGCTGAGGGGCACCGAGCAGCCTGGCTGACACTGTGGCCGGTGCTTGCCTCTGTATGTGTTAGTGCGTGCGTGAGAAAGTACCATGTTTTACAGCAAACGCCCCGACCCCCCTTCCACACACACACACACACACGCACACAAACTCTCTCTTTGAACGGTGGGCTTATGTAACGATGGAGGCCGAGGAGTGACCATATGTCAGGAGGTGTGTGCAGACAGCAGGGGGATTATAAAGCAGCCATTATCGGAGTATAAGGACATCCTTCATCCCATCATCATTCAGGTACACACACACACACACACACACGCACACACACACACAATAATCCAATTCAGGATGCTCGCTCTGTGTAAATTGGACAGGGGAAGAAGAGTATGACAACAAACAGCCATATGTTCGCAGCGCGAGAAACAACATTCGGGGCCCTTTTTTTCCTCAGATGCCGCCCTCGCTGTTGTCCTCCTGGCCCGCCGTGGAAACGTGTGCCCGTTGAAGTCGAGATCCCCCCCCCCCTCCCACCCCCTCAGGTGTGCGTCCGTGAAGCGTACACATCTACTAGTAGCAGCGGTAATAGCGTGAAGGGTGCTCGTGCAGCAGGAGTACAAAGCCGGGTCCATGTGTTGAAATGCGGCCCCCGGGATGGGCCGTATTATCCCTGCCTACTTCACCAGCAGGGTCCCGGGGCTCGGAGCTGGCTCGTGGCCCTTTGTCTCCCAAACAGATGGAAATGTGCAGAGAGAGAGAGAAGGGAGAGAGAAGGGAGAGAGAAGTGGAAAAAGCAGCAGAGGAGGGAGGGAGGGAGAGGGGGTAGAATGGACCGGGAGGGGTGAGGGAGAAAGAGTCAGTCTGTTCTCATTAAGTGCTGCATTGAAGACGCCCTATACACCCTCCTCCGTGCTCCCCCCCTACAATGCGTCAGCAGGCGCACACCCCCTCTTGTCCCCCCCTCCCACACACACGCCCCCCCACCTCTCATTCAGACTCACGCTCCAACCATCTGTACCGCCGGCCTGTCATGAGGTGTGCGCGCATGCATTAGGGCCTCCGCCGCGGCGCGGGGCCCAATCTGGCGCGTTGAAGGAAAAAAAAACGGGAGATATTCATTCGGTTTCAATTTGGTTAAGATCTTTGAAATCCAATTGTTGGGCCTTTTGTTGCGGATGCCTCGCCGGGCGCGAGCCACTGTGAGCATGAAGGGGAGTTTATTCAACATCCTGCTGTCACCCCGCGTCTCCGAAGTCACACACACACACACACACGCGCACATTGTGCCATGATGCAGCGTTCTAATTACTGAATTATAAAGACATTATGTCGACTCTAATCCTCTGTTATTAGGACACAAACGTGTTGTTGTTGTTTGCTTATCGCTGCCACGTTTGATCAGCTTTTATCGATACGATATCAGCAAATATTGATTAAAAAAGGGGCTTTGGCGACGTCTTGAAAATATCTTGTAAAAAGTCGAAATATCAACAACAAAAAACTCCAGAAGTTGGAATGTCTGATTAATTGTCTCTGTCTTTTTTTTCATTTGCGGTAATTAATAACAACAACACTTAACGCCAGGCTCTTCAGTCTGTGGCCCCTGGACGAATATATAGTTCAGTATATGTTATATGGTATTTTCTATTCTTACTTTTCTACTGTTTAAAAAAAAGAACTCAAGTTATAATCATATCGACATGACATTCTTTTCCAGCTGGTTACTGATCATTGAAAGTCCAATTATGAATTTGGCGTTTTTTTTCCTTGTGGTTAAATTGGTTTAAAATTTCATATGCGAATTTCCCTTATGTATTATTCGCTTTACATGCCATGGCATCTCCACCACACACACACACACACACACACACACGCACACACACGCACACCGGGTCGGGCCTTAAGACCGTATTTGTCACACAGCGCATCGGCCCCGGAACAGAGGACCTCATCTGTCTGACTGTAAAGTGGGCTGAAACATGTGTGTGGTCCTTATAAACCGCATCTCCTCCCACTTCGTCTTCATTTTTTCGCGCGTTCATTTTTCTCCCCTATTTACCAAAAAAACCCGTGAACTCATAAACTCCGTGTCTTTGGGGAGGAATCCATCCGTCTTCTGGACACCAAATTGAATTGATCTCAGGGGCCCCCACCTCTCTGTTCTTCAATACCCCCCTCCCCATCTGCACGCACCTCCCACTTTGAGAAAGTGGTGTGGTATGTTAGTGAGACGACATATGGATTTTTTAACCCTTTCAATTAATCACGTCTTTAAATCAACTTTTTTTTTAAACTTATAGTTGACCTTAAATTGTTTCAAAAATGAAAAAAAAACAAAAAAACAAGCAGATTGACACGCGACCAACACAAATAACTTCATGACGTAACTTTAATTTGAAAACATCCGAAGTGTAAAATGCATCAGCCATGTAGAGCGCGTTCATCCGAGCTCTAATCCGAGCCCTTCCAGGCTGTCAGCTCGTGTAATAGCGGCGAGGTGCCACGTGGTGGCGCACCGATCTCAAAATACGCACTGACGTACACACCCTGAGGCGGCATCGGCATGAACAACATGTTGAACACAATAAGAAAATGCAAAGCGTGTTGTTATTAAACAATCTACAAACAAAATATTTTTTTTAGTCTGCGAATATAAAATAAGCACTGCAGAAGTCTGCATACTGTCCATAGAGATATCAGGAGTGTTCTCGTGGAAATGTCTTTTAAACATTTAGAAAGCCTCTAGAAATGATATTGAAATAGATAAAACCCAGTCTCACATCGTTGACACCAGTCTGGGTGTTTACTCTGCTCTCGGTGGGGGGGGGCAGGGGTTGTGACCCAGTCGTGACCTCCATTGTGTTCTCGGGTGTCTGCGTGTGTGTCTGTTTGTGTGCGTGTGAGAGTTAGAAAGGAAGACAAAATATTGATTCATACACAGCTGTGTAATTGCTGAAAGCATCTGTTGCCCCTTCTGTGTGGGTCTGGAGTGTGTGAATGAACCCCCCCCCCCCTCTTTTTGTATCGTGCCACAATAGTGGAAGATGCCGCAGAGTAATGTGAAATCAATCGGTGGCGATATATGTTTTAATTGATTCGGTGTTGTCTTTATTGAACCCGATGGACTCGTGAAGGTTAAAGGTGCACTTGTAGAGGTGGCAGTTATTTCTGCACGCGTGTGACATGTCAAAATGTTCTATCTATCAATTCTAAGAATATTGCTGAGAAGTAACCGGTGTAACGAGGGTCAGCGTTGAATGTTAAAGAGGACGAGAAGCAATCTGACAGAAGTATGTTTACATTCCCTTTTATTTGGCAAGGCTGCTTCAAGGCCTCAGTGACTTCATTGTCTCTTTCGCTGACTGTGTCCGGACCAGATTGCTATCGCTCTACCGCTTTGTTCTGTTGTTCCGGGACTGTTTACCTTGTTCAGCTTCATGAGCCGTGAGCAAAACTCTCCCCTTGCTTGAGTGGATGAGAGAATAGATGGGACTTTTTCTTTTTTTTGGGATATTTAAAGGGAAACCCGTTTTTTAAATTTCACATTGAGTTGAGATGTGTGCTTCTGAAACGTAACTGAAACGAGGGCCTTTCTTTGCAGAGGGGACAGAAGATGCTCCATGGCAACGGTTTTATTGATCGCTGTCATTTTCCGAGGGTGACATTACTGACGTCGCCCCAATCCAAGTCTTGCCGAGGCTTCCATCCGCTAGTTCAATGCGTAGGTCTTTGGGAGATAATCGATAGCAAATCCTCAGCATTGACAGAAAGGACCACACATGTATTTACACATACATCACACCTTGGAGTACTTCACTGGTTTTTGTACTTTTAACGTGGCTTTCTATTTCAGCCCATTTTGCACACAAAGGTCATAGGTCGAAACTCTTTATTTGTCCAGGTTGCCATGGCATCTGGGGAAGAAAGGGAGCAGAGGACAGCGGTGGATCGTGGGCTGGCGGCTGTGTGCGTCCATCATCTTGAGCACTTTGATTCGTCTGAATTTTGTACGCACGCGCAGTGAACTAAGAGTGACGTGATGAAATTTGAAAATTGTTTTTGTGTGCGTTGAACTATGATCCTGTTGTGACGTCACAACTAGAAGTTAATCCCGGTCCAGTATGAAACCTACACTTGTGACGCGGTGAGACTTTTTTTTGTTCCACACGTTCTAATTTAAAGCATATTATTAAAATACAGCTGTTGATCACTGTAGGAACCACCTCACTTCTCCTCGCTTCTTCACGTTTCACGACGCGCCCCCTAGCGCCAATTTCCGGTACCCCCCCCTGTGAAATTCCTCGCTGCCGGGGTGATTCCTACGGTCACCAGGGGCTGCTTCCTACTGTTTTCACACCGTGATCTCCGGGGTGGGGGGGGGGGGGGGGGAAAAAAAGTGAAAGTTACCCCTTGGTATATGACCCGAATTTCGGGTTCTGTTTCTCTCCCAAAAATGGTGAGTTTGTCCTCCACACCGCGGTGAAAGCCCACGCCGCGGCGCAATCTGACGATAATTCTGGGCGCGCTCCGACCTTGCGCGTTCTGATAATGTGCGCCGGTACCTCATGGACCCCTCGGAAGCCCCACGAAAACGTTATCTCACGACGCCGCTTAGTGTCCTGTTGTCCACACTCCGGACAAAGGCTGCGGGTCGGTGTCGGGCTGAGGACTGAAGGGAACACGCCCCTTTTCTAGCTCCCCCCACACCGCGGCGAACGAGAAATCGGGCCGACACATATATGCAACTAAAATGTGAGCTGGATGGACATTCTAGCCCCAAGTTTGCAAAACTTTTCCCGGGGTACACTCGCTCAACCCTATAATTCGAGTATTCCTTCCGTGTCAGTTTTTTTTTGGTTTTTCCAAGAAAGTAAACTTTTAAAGAAAAGAAAAGTCAACAATGTTTCTTTTCGGTTGACTGGAGCCGCATTACCGCGGCCGGTGCGCCGCAGCTCAGCCGTAAAGTGTGACCTCTGCGGCGGGCGGATACACTGTAGCGCGAGCCGGCCCTCCGGAGGCAGCCAGGACGCCTAAAGAAGTCCGGGGAGTCGCGAGAAAGGTTACTGAGGTAAGGGCAGGGACGAGAGAGGGGCGGGTGGGCTCCCAGAGGCCACGGTGGGACCAGGGACTTTCTTTCCCCTTAGGTCCGCCTGCCTGGCGGGTCACGCGTAGGCGCTGGCCCGGCGCGCCGGCTCCGGAGCTCCACCACGCACGCAAGTGGTAACGGGTGAAGTGGGACATTTTTTCACGTCATGCTTTTCCTCTTTGCTTAAATTCGGCCACGCTTCTAACTCTTGCTGTTTGGTTGACTGACCGCAGGTATGAAGCTGGTTTAAGGCCTCGTCGAATTGGTCAGGAATGCTAAGCAGGTGCTCCTGTTGCACGTGCGTATTACGATGACGTCTAATTATTAACCGTCATTTGGTTGAAACTTTCTTTAAAAAAAATCAGTACCCAATGAAACCAAATACTATCAGTGTCAGATTCATCTGTTCATTCTGTTTGCAGTGGTATACTTGTAAACATGTCAAATAGCTAATTGAACAGGTAGCACATCACGAGGTTGCGCAGCCAAAGGTTAACATTCTCAAAATGTTTTGTCCCACTAATTCGGCCAGTTATGTAGCTTCTCTTATTGCATAATATATTGTCTCAGAAATATTTGCGATACACTCTATTGTCCGCTGTATGCCACTGATATAATGATGTAACAGCATAATAGTGCAAGTACACCATTTCAAAGAGCAATCAAATGTAAATGCTTAGGAACACTTAAGATATTTCCTAAAATCCTGGTGATAGGAAACTCCTTGCTGTCTATTGTCATTGTCATGTAGGTTACGTGCATGTTAACAATAGCGAGGTCACCTAGGACAAGTATCTCGAATAGATGTGGTTGTCTGAGCAAAGTCTTTGTGTTCACATACTTTGACGTAGAGACAACAAATGCTTCTTCCAGCATAAATTATGAAACACCCTCATTATAAGCACGACTTGTCTGTTCCTGATCTAGATGAGATTTACATTTGTGAGTTGTGCACAGATTCTTCTTCTCCCAGTAAAGAAGTGGTGTCTTTTTGCCTGAGAACATCTGCGGCAACAGCTGTAAAGAGCTCTCAGGTGTGTTCCTGGTCATGGCGAGCCACACCGGCGTGCTCCTCGCTCACAACGTGTATGCTGATATTGGGTCTGAACTTTTAAACTTTCAGGTTATAGGGTGAACATCGTCTCGCCGCTGAACTCAAGTCTGTCTCCTTGGTCGGAGGGACTTGTTCTAGGCTACATCAGCTGGCAACGGAATCTGCCATTATGATTTTAATAAACGGGAGGTACAACAACCTCATGTGTCTTTGAAAGACTGTTGACGCCCTCAGAATTTTCCAAATGTCTAAGAGGTTAAATCTAGTATAAGTTTTTGAATTATAGTTTAAGGGGGCGACCGTGGTGTTCCTGAGAAGAAGAACAGACTTTCTTGTTTGGCCCTTTATGTCCATTTCAGTAAAACTCAACTCGTCATTGTTGGACTTCACTTCAAACTTCAAAGGCAGTTCTGTCTTTGGATCAGGGGTGTCAAACTCGTTTTAGGTAAGAGGCCACATACTGCCCACTTAGATCTCAAGTGGGCCAGACCGGTGAACTCGCAGGCAACGGTCAGGCCGGCGGGAGGGGGGGGGTTGACGCAGGAGCGTCGGGGCGCACCGTCGTGCAAGCGTCTTGCTGCCTTGAGTGACGCCGATTGACCTGTTGGGCACCGCTGGTCTAACACATGTTCCACAGAGCATTTCCCTCGACTTCCCTTGAGAATCATTGCGTTTTCATTTCTCTTTTGTTTTTTGTTGGTACTTCCATTGGTAATCTGGCATACTTTCTAATTGTGCCAATAAGCCGAAGCAGTCACAGTGATTTTATCTGAGCGGGGGGTCCCAAGGTGTCAGACATTTGAAAAAAACAAACAGAGAACCTCTCTCCAGCTACTGTTATCATCATCACAGGCAGGCTGGTGTGTTGACTGACCGCTCAGGATCAGCTCATTGTGGTTGCTTAGGAACAACAGCACAAAAAAGCTAAATGCAACAGGTAAAAGACCAAATGTGAATCGAGCACGGGGGTTTGAGTCAGACACCTGTTACTCAGATCGGTCTGTAATCAACACTGTGCATGGTGCATGCTAGTGATCTCTCCCGTCGATCACAACCACACTCTAATGCTCTTTAAATCCTAATACTCTTCACTCTGCACCCGTCATATCGCGTAGGATATTTGAGGGGCGATTGGGAATCTTGATTGACCTCATAACCCTGATTTTGGACGACCGCGTGACCCGGGCGGGTGGAGCGATCCCTGCGCCCCGGCGTGTCTCGTGACACGCGACACCTTTTCTCGAGCTTGCGTGAAGTCGTCGACGCCAGCTCCGTCTCCCATCGTGCCCGCGAGGAGACTTGTTATCGTGGCGATAATAGAAGCAGAGCTACGAGGGCGTCATGGTTACGGGAGGGAGGGGTGAGGGCGAGAGGGAGAGGTGTCGGCCAACGAGCCGCATGCTGATGCAAGGAATGGAGCAGGCTTCGTCTGTTTGCAGATTTCATTTTTTAACAAGTTATGCCAAAAGGCTGGGTGAATCTCGCAGCCTCGTTATCCAGATGAAGTCATTTGTTAATCCCCAATTCTGCATCTAAAACCATCACACTGTGTTGGCTAAACAGGTCATATACACACACACCATTAGCTCTAAATACCTATGAGCCGTTAATAGCATCTGGGGTTGAACTGGCAGTGATCCAAGACCGCGTGTTGTCTACAAATTCAGACCTGAATGTTTCTTTTTGGTCACACTTCACTTGGATTATTGTTTTTATTGTCAAGAAGAGGAACCGTTGCAATTGAATCAAAGACGTGCCATAAAGGATGAATTACTGTTGAGTATGAATGAGCTACAGGAGGCTTTTCACTGTGAAACAATAAGGATCGGGTATTATAGAGGGATATTTAAAGGAGTAGTTGGCAGTAACCTTATTGTCTTTTTATTATTTTTAAGTTAATTTCCATTATTGACATCAACAAAGCGCTTTAACACTGGATTCTATGGAGAGAATAAACTTGAATAATGGGACTTATTTTTTTCCCAGTGGCAGTGCTCCATGACCTCTTTCATACAGGCAGAGTGGACCTTAGTTTGCTTCCAGTTTATTCAAAACCACTTGCTACACATATTTCCATGTTATATTCAAAGAAAGATATCAACGGTGCAAAGGGCGCCCACATCACACTCGAGCAGGATTCCTATTTGCTTTCTAACCAGTTGTTAATGCAGATTAACAACTAGTTAGAAACCCATCACCGTCCCAGTCTTCTAATACACAGGTACATACTGGCGGCTTTATTTTTGTATTTATTTTGATGAGCGCAATCGGTGTACCCCTCCGATCCGCAAAAGCCTGCGCCTGACTGAAGAGGAATGTACCGGCGTCCGGCTCTTTTTTTCAAACACAACAGAGCCCCTAATATGGTTCATTAGCTGCTTATCTGCCGGGGCAAAGCGCCGGCTCTCCTGCTGCTCCTCGCTCCCCTCCAGAGGACACTTTGCAGGGCGGTTCCAGCGCTGTAGATGAGAATATCTAAAAAACACCAACATGCTGCTTGTGCTGCATCCTGGAGCTTTCGTGCTCACGCCGTTTACACCTGTTAGCTTGTGTGTAGAAGATGTCTCCCTGCCAGCCTCGCAGTTCTTGTGTTACATTGAGGAATTTGCGATGGTGTTTGACACACCAAAGCCCCCCCCGGACGGACCTCGCTGATTCCCCCGATCATAGTGGCAATGGTCCAATCATGTTGCCCATCCTCCTCTCACCCGCTTCACACAAACGGACAAACCGCCGTCGGCTCGGCGGGGTTTTTTGGATCACAGCGAGGAACCTGCCCGCTTCCCTCACCCCCCCCCCGCGCTTTTAGCGGCGAGGATTCCTGTTTCGGCCTCGCAAACTTGGATGAGGTTTCCGCCTGCTAATTTTCTCTGGCACGGCAAAGACAGAAACCACATGTGAGAAGTCCCGGCTAATCTGACGTCGGAGCCAGGATGTGGGCAGACGCTGACTCCTGCTTCCTTTCTGTTTGTGTATATGTGAGGAAACGCACCAAAGCAGGGACTCATCAATCAGCTTTGAACAGGCTCCTTTTCTCTGCAGGCTGCACTCGGACTGAACTTGGACCACGCACTCACCTCCCTCCCCCCTTTGGCCGCGTGGCCTTCGCTTTTGAGAGGATTAAAGCAGGTGATGGGAAGGCCTCTCGGATCGTGTCCAGCTCGCCCGGCAGTCATTATTCGGCGGGTGAATTCCCGCAGTAGAGCAGCGCTTATCTGGTCCCTTGTAAACCAGGGTCCTTAAAACCACGAGGCCCGGCGGACCCATCCAGCCCCGGCTTGAATGTGCTGCTGTGTTTTAACATTTTGGGCAATATGTCTCACTTTGTTTAAAGCTACGACTAGCAACCAGATAAACTAGCTTTGATTAAGCCAAAAAATGGGGACGGGGCTCCGCTCAACCCTGTCCAAAGGGAACCAGCTTTCCGAAGCATTAACACTTGTTTGTTTCATCATACATCCGTTTTTTCACTTGTGGATTACCAAAGCCATTGTTTTTTTAAGCATTTTTTACATGTGAGAGACATGAGTGAGTGATCCAAAAAGGCGTCCGGGAAACCCCTCTTCATCAGAAGTGTCTGGTACCAGTCGAGGGAGGGTTTGTCCGTCACCCCGCACGGATGATTGAGGCATTTCGAGATGATTTGCACACAGGCATATCCAAATGTGCTAGTTGTGCAACCATCAAAAGCATTTTTGGGCCGTCTGGGACGCTCACACAACGGGGTGGGGGTAGGCGGGCCCACCGATGCGCCGACGCCACAGAACTGGGTCAGACGAGTCGTTTTGTGCCGCCGCGTATTTTGGGACCAAGTGAAGCGAGTTTCCCTTGAAGTCAGCAGATAAGGATTGTGCACTCGATCTGGCTCAGTGCCTGTTTTCTTTGGTTTTTCCTGGAATTGTGAACGTAGAAAAGCGGTCGGAAAGTGCAGTGCGTGGGATCGGGCCGGGGGGGACCGCCGTGTTTGGTTTGTCCCTTCGGGACGTGGTTCCTGGAGCTTTAAATCAGCCATAAATCCCATTAGTACTGGAAGGATCCAGAGGCGTCCTGCTGCTTGGAGATAGGAGTGTGATGATTGATCCAGATAGTTATGAATGAATTCAGATGAATAACTTTAAGGAAAACATCACCTCAAAGAGCGTTGATCCCCGGGGTTATAAAACTGGGCTGTTTCTCTCGGCGCGCCTCCCGGGAGCACATGTTCAGGAAATTGAGTCACATCCGAGCGCAATTTTGATTTAGTGTTGACACTACATCTCGCATCCCACCTGGAGCTGTCTGAGGTCTGTGTCACGCAGTGACGCCCATGACTCACCCTCCTACTCCTCACTATCATGCTTTCAGTGCAGTTAATCAAATCAGTGCTTTTAATCTGAGGCCTTTGGGTAAACACCCCCCCCCCCCCCCCCCTCCTTTTCTGCCCGCTTACTCGGAGCACACCGAATCAAGCGCGCCTTTTCGCTGCTTTTTCTCTCGGGAAGGGAAGACTGATTTCAGTGGAGATGGCTTGAGGCAGGGTCTGTACTCACCCGGGACAGCCAGGAATGACGGCTCTAAAGAAAGTAGTTTATCGGGTGGATAAAAGCCTCCATTCGGCTGGAGAAACTTGGAAACGCATTTAGTGCTTTAACTGTAGCACGTGTCATTGTTGTGTCCCCACATGGGATCATTGTAAGAACCATTCACCTGTCGATTTAGGTAAAGCAGTCATGTGATGGTCTTCTTCTATCATTCCGGGCGGGGGGGGGGGGGGTCGTTAGTGTAGGCCGTGAATACTTCTCTGTGTATCCGTCAGGAATGAGTGCAAATTGCTGTTTCACGGCAGTGGTTCTTTCATGTGGAGCGCTCAGCTGTTGCCGCCCCCCCCCCCTCCGAGAGCTGCCTGTAACTGAGCTTGTCACGGCGAGATCCGTGCATGAGGTGGTATGTGGTGGTGAAATGATCATTTAAAAAATGGTTGCAAAGAAAGAGGATTGATTGTGTGACGTTGTTTATTCCAGACAACGTCTCAGTCTTGTTGACTCCAAAAATGTAAATATGTCCCTCTCCCTTCAAACTCCTCTCTCATTCTCGCTGTCCTCCAGGTCAATGTTTCCTCGCCGGGCCCCCCGACGGTCGCTTTTAAACCCGACCGCCGACAGCTCGCCCGCCTCGTGAGCGAGCCGGTCCATCGCTTCCAGCTCGACAGCCAGATCAGCCCCGCCTGCGGAACCATCCCGCCTCCCTCCACGCCATCCCGCCATGGACACAGAGTCCACCTACTCGGGGTACTCCTACTACTCCGGACGTTCCCGGGGATCCCACAGGCACGGGTGAGATTAACTTGTTAAAAGTTTGTCAAATGTTTTCTCTTGTTTGCAGCTGTTTTTTTTGCCATTAGAATGTTTCTCGCCAAAATGCACCTTTGGAGTTTTTACAGGCATAGATTGCACCTTCAGCTTCCCCCCAAAGAACCAGATATTTATTGGCCTAGTTGTTGAGCTTCTGCACTGATGATTCATGAACCCTCCTCCCCCTACACATGCCTGCCCTCGGTTAGATGGGCCACAGGAAGGCCTCTTAGAAGAGACGAGAGGAGGCTCCTGTTCCACGACGGCCCCTCCCATGTCATTTGCGCCCCCCCCCCCCCCCGTCCTCCAATCTCCACCATACACCCGTCTCAGTTCTCCACCGCCACCTGTTGCTGTCTAAGGAACGTTGCGGGACGCCTTTCATCACCCTTGTAGTCTTTATCTCCTTTTCCCTCATCACACCCTCGCTCTTTGCTCCCACGTGTCCTCTGCCGTGATGTGAATGCAGCAGCTGCCCCCTTTCTGGTTTGCTCTTGACCCCTCTGCCCCTATCGCCTCCCCCCCATATCAAATGGATTCCTGACTACTCTCCCGAGGATGGGAAGGCCCGGGCGTATCACTTGTGCCCCCGCCTCCCTCTCTCAAGCTGGCATTCCCCGGGGCAGGAATGTGCCCTTGTAGCTCAAAGTAAGAGCAGAGCAAAAGTGGTCTTGCATTGATTTGGAATCAAAGACCAGGGTGAGGGGGGGTGCTGGTGGGTAGCTTCTGTTTCTGCAGCCTTTCAAGTGAGTGACGGCAAATTGGAAAGAAACATACGGGCATCCCCGCCAAGCGTCTTCCCCGCATCTGTGCCAAAGTCACCGGCTGGCACATAATTCCATCTAAGAAATTAAAAGGAAAAAACAAACAAATTGCTGGCTTTTGGAAGCCCTTTGCATCGCTGTCAGAAGGTAATCTCCCTCCAAGAGGCTGCGACGTGTGAGGCAGCTCTGGATAACCGTGGTCCAATTACCCCGATGTGGCGAACAGATGCAGGCGCGGTGAAGCGTGATCACGTACAAATAATCACACAGCGACATGATTCTGGTTTTGTTTTTTAATCTGTGCATATTTATGAGTCAATCTCTAACATAACTTGTCAGGAAATAATAGAAGAATGCAATGGGATTGGCTTAGGTTTTCATAAACAGATGGTGCACAGTTTTTGGAGTGATTTCCTCAGTTGGCTTTCTGCCCCCTCCCCCCCACCTCCCTCCCCTCCTCACCCCTCTCCCCATCCTGTGTCAGACCCAATTGTCCAGAATACTTTCCCTTGTTATTCAGTAATGACCAGCGGCAACACCTGGCCCTGAAGAGTAAAAGCCAATGGGGAGGGGCATCCTATCTAATGTCTGGTTGGATAGAAGTCTATGGGATTTATTACCTCACTAAACACTGCAAACACCAGTTTATGGTCACAGTTACAAGTTTCAAGTCTTCTTCAATCCAGCATGAAGTTCACTTAGTGAATTTCGGTTCCATAGTGGTCTACGTCTATTGACGTTAGTTCCTGCCAGAAGCAGGAAGAAAAGTGAGCTGAGGACTCAAGATTTATTTATTTATTTGCATGTAGAATGATTTGTATTCCCTTCAGGCCGTGTAGAGTCGCACAAGAGCTAAACGCAAATTCACCAGAGAGCAGTCATTTCAATAATTGTGAGTATTACACTGATGCTAATGAACGTTTAAATAGGCCAGAGCTGCAAAATTAACTGAAGGACGTTAATGTCATTTTCTGTCCTTGGTTGTAATATTCTGTTGCCTCATGACTTCTGGCATGTAGCAAAAGGCAGCCACGCCATTTTTTTGTTGCATGGCCGTTGACATATTTAGTTGAATACTAGATAATATAGAGGGTTAAGGGATACTTCTGAATAATTGAGTTGTCAGATATTCTAGGGATTATAGTGCCAAAAAAATAAAAGTAAAAAACACAATAAAATAATATAATATATTTTGGGCTGCATGATAATTCTGTACCTGTTTTTAACTTTCAAAACCCTTTTAGGATTATGGTAGTTTTGTATTGATTCACCTTTCTCCCTCAAAAGTTCCCCAAATCTCGGCTCCTTGACTCAGATAAATATGAATTACGATGAATATTCAAATTATCATGAAATTACAAATCTCACATTAACTGCTGTTCACGTGGAAAATTGTTTCTTTTCCAACTCCAATTAAAGGGCAGCATGTAGCATCAACATGATTAATTCAGTCTCATTTCCGTTCGGAGGTTCCTGGATCGTACCACAATTTATATGCATCTCATGAAGATCCCATTTCAACTCACTTTCTGGACTCGGGCCACGGGGCTGCGTGTCCCCCCAGCTGAGCGTGTGGCTGGCCAGTTTTTGTTTGGCTCTGTGACTCTACTCATTTGGCCGAGGCTGAGGCGCCGGGAAGGCGTGGCGTGTTGCGTGGGCCGCCCTGCCAGCCACACACACAGAGAAAGAGAACAAATTGGTCAACTGGCAGCCCCGGCGTGCCACATTGGTCTTCCTCACAGGACCCCCCTCACCCCGCCCCCAACCCGCCTGAGGGATCCACGATGGAAGACAAATTCCGTTAATCAAATTGCGGCCGAGCGCGCCGCAGGAACACCAATGAGCCGGCTGCACGTTAGTGGGGCAGGAAGAGGATGTGGGGAAGGAGTGGTGGATGAAGGTGTGCGTTGGTGTGTGCGCATTGCCCCCCCTCCACCCTCCCCCATTTTGGGGGGACACAGACACAGGCCGGTCTGTTCAAGCCACTCCCCCCTTCTGCCCGCAGGGCTGCTCGCGTCGGTATTTCCTGTCTGTGTGCGTCCTCCATTACTCCGTTCAGAATGCGGTTCAATACTATTTTTTTCTGTTTTCCTTTATTGCTCTGCCCTGCTTCTTCTTCTTCTTACGCATCCGTAGTCTGGCCCTGAGAACCAGGTGTTCTGGCTGTGTGCGACACACACATGGACATTACACATGCTTTGTGTGCAGAGAGCAGACACCCACTCACACCCTGTTTACTGTCAGCCGGTAGCTCTAAATACCTGCCTGCGACTGCTCATTACTCGTTATCTCTTAATGTGGATGTGGGGGATGTGCAGCTTAATCACAGAGGAATGTTATGAATGACACCAGGGCCGAGACATTTTTTCCCTCATTGTAGTTCTTGTGCTGTCCCTTATTCTGCTACATTGATTTGAATGGGAATGTTTACTGTATTCTATTACATTGATGCCTCTCAGTGGAGAAATTCATAGTCCACCAACGCCCAAACGTGGAAAATAAAGAACGAGAAGCATTGCTCTGTTATGGCAGTGTACATATTGTTAAGTAAGTTATTTTCAATCACTTTTCCCTTCCCCCAGAACTGCTTACTGCTCTGCTGATCAGTCTGAAGGAGGATCACTGTCGCCTCTCTATAATACATAATATATATAATCCCAATCAGTGACGGATGATCGCTCCCGCTGGAGCGACCGTTTCTCCTGTGATGATGACAGCCATAATAATATGTAAAGTAAAAACGGTAGCTGTAATATATTTAAAGGCTTCCGTGGACCTAATCTCCTGGATTTATTCGACCGGACCGCGTCAGTCACTCCGTCGGTGAGAGAGTTTCGGGGGCTGTTGGAAAGGAGCTCTGAGCAGACCGGAAACCTCAGTCGCTGTTGTGATTGTCCGTGGGAAAAACGAGTCTGCGTTGTTGAAAACGGGAAGTACAAGAATAGGGGAGGATAACAGGCCGGCTAACACCCTTTAATAAAAACACTTCTGTCCAGCCAACGCCGCTCTGTGAGACTGTAACAGCTCAGGTTCTGCCAGTCGCACAGAACCCTTCGGATCCCCCGGCAGGCAGGATGTCCTGTGCATTACGGTTATGAATTGTTTTTTTTCATTCAAGGGTCTCTGGAGTTTGTTGTCTTTTGTTAGTGTGAAGCGTGAAAGATTAATGCCGCTCTAATCGAACTGTGGCCGTAAAGCAGTAAATCTTGCTGTAAAGGCACGTTCACATTTGTGCGATTGACTCGGACGTCGTATGCATTTCTTTTAGCGCTGACGCTTCGGGTTGAGTTCCCTCTATAATAATGAAAAAGGTGCAGCACAGACCCGATACACTCAGGTCTGTTCTTACCTTTCATAATAAAAGGACCCGGTTTTGTATTATCTGCCAGTGACCGTTTAAACATTTTTTTTTGCAGCAACATCCTGTGCTCGAGTGTCTTAATGGACAGAATGGGAATTAGATTTTCTAGGTTCCAGTGCGGCTCGTAAAACTAAAGTGATTACCAACGAAGCAACGAGCGCACAGACAGCAGGAAGTTATTACCGTCTGGAGACAGCAGCATCTTTTAAATGTCCTCATTGTCGTCTCCAGACGCGCCGCCAGAAAAGAACTGCCTGACGCTTTCAGTCGCCCCCCCAGGTCCAATACGTCTGTCCCAGTAACCTCGGCGGAGCATCTCCCGTGCTTCAGAGGGCCGTATGTCCTCCATTCAAGATGTCAGCGGCTGGAGGGACGTGGACGCGGGATTAACTGGCTGGTGCGGAAAGCCGGCGTTCCTTGATCTATGCGGGATTAGGGCGAGGGGAGGATCGGTCCTGCTAATGGAGCTCGTATGCTTGAGTCAGAGGCCCGTGTGATGAGTGATGCTGTGATGTGGTGTGTGTGTGTGTGTGTGTGAGGAGGGGTTACGTGGGGCACAGTTCACATCAGCGTCCGTCGAACGTAAATCCGACGGCGTCTGGAGGCTGCTCTCTTTGTTGCGTGACAGACGTCCACTCTGGAGCTGTCCGTCTCCTGCACAGTGCTTGTCTTTTGTTGCTGTCAAACAGGACGTGCCATCAAATCCGTCCCAAAACGTCCCGTTTGACTTGAGGATGAACTGATGATAATGTGTGGGGGGGGGTCAAAGGTCACTGGGATGTAGACGGTTCCACAGAAATGTGTTTCTCTGTCAACGTCCGTACTAAACTGTCTCTCCGTTTTATTTTGCAGGGAGCGAAGCCGCGACCGCCACAAGTCCCGCGGTAAAGACAGCCGCTCAGAAAAGTCCGTCACCATCACCGCGCCGCCCGCAGAGCCGCTGCTGGCCGACCCAGCCGTCCGGGGCGAGCAGGTCCAGGTACGGCCGGCCTAACCCCACCCTGGCCCCGCCCCTCCAGACCCTCCCATTAGGAGTCCCCTCACACTTTGTGTCCGCCCGCCTCTACCGCGGTCCATGAGCCCGATTTAAAAAGGGATTTAGTGTACAGGAGATTTAGAGTACAGCTCCTCCAAATGAGTTGAGTTTTATCAGACCGGGCCATCTGGTATTTGAGGGCAAAAGTGATTGGCACTTTTCACTGTGGGGAGGGGGTCAAGTCATGATGAGGTTCAAGTCTCGTGGGGAGATTGCTTCAATACGCCCTCACCCCCTGGTTTGACCAGACCAGACCATTAAAAAAAACCTGGCAGTTTATCTGCTTTTGATTTTCATTTTAGGAACCATGTTGACAGCGAGGTCAGTAACAAAATATGGATTATGCGTTGGATTATTTGATAGCACAGAGGTGTAAGGTAGGAGATTGATCGGCAAATGATCTCTTTTCTTCTTTCGGCGTTGGCTTAGCTGTTGGTTTCGGTCCGTGGCACAATCATGTTTCTTGGAGTGCGATAAAAGGCAGAGCGAACAAGACGGGTGGATCCGGCGGCCGTGTGTTGGCGCGTTGGGACGCAAACCTGCGGGGTAGCAACCGAGGGATGCAAAGGGTCGTGGTTCCAAAACGATTGATGAGTCACAGCCGATTTGTTACCTCACGTTTTGAGTGGCCTCTCTGAGCCAAATCACCATTTGTTTCATGATCCATTTTTTAGAATTGCATTTACACACTAAGACGCTCACATGTATAAAAAACTATTGAAGCCTGAAACTCTCCTATATGTTACTTAGTAAATCAGAACAAATACAGAGAGGCTTTAGTGGAGGCCTCGCGGCAGACAGCTGAGATGCATCCAGACTGGTCCATAGTCAGTGTAAGAGGCGGCAGACGAGGATCCGGGGGCCATTATCTGTGATCTCTTCAAAGCCGCTCTGAAAGCAGGAAACTTCAACACTTGCTGCTGGCAACAGTCAAACGCAGTTTAATGAAAGAAGAGCTTTTAGCCCCTTTATAGCCTAACAGCAGTCTGGCACAGTGCCCCCCCTCCCTCATCAAGTGGTTGGCTTAATCCTCTAAAAGAGGTGTGTGTGTGTGGGGGGGGTGTAAACGCAGAGATCCGATGTTCGCCAATCGTCTACTGACCTACTTGGCGCGACTCGTTAGCGGTCGTTCTTCTTTAGTGAGTGTGAGTCAAATTTTTTACAGGCGACAGGATTTTACACGGAGCGCAGCTTGGTGTTCCTCTTCCCCTCTCCACGTCTTATCCATGCTGAGGCGTTTAAAGGGGGGGGAGTAATCAGAGCCCTGCAACTCCGGCTCAACAGAAGACTTGACCTGGGACGTCCTCCCGGGGAAAAAAGGTTTCTCACAGCCTCACCGGGAGAAGAGGGGTTGAGGGACGGGAGGAGCTCTGCTCAGACCTCAAATTAATGACACGCTAGCTAGAGAGTTATTCAGACCCTGCTATTGTGTGTGTGTGTGTTTTACGTTTGAATATTCGCTTTAAAAAAAGCACATATCTGGTTGCGCATTAGACACGTCAATAACAGGACAAATTAATACAACAAGACATAACTACTTGTATAGGTCATTTATTTATTTAAGTTTAAACATAATTAACAACATATTACCCATTCAAAATTGAACTAATGGCCAAGACTTCTCGCTCGCACACACGCTCTCCCTCCCTCCCTCCCCCCTCCCTCCCTCCCCCCCTGCGCATAGCGGTTTCAATGAACGACAACAATAAACAAATGCTGAGTGCTGATCAAGAGTCAATTTAAGGTCCCTGATTCTTGTCCCAAATACGTCAGGCTTCATTCAGTGATTGAAAGTGAAAGTTTTACAGTACCGACATTGAACGCTCCGAGCGAGCTGTGCTGGTAAACAGGAAACTTTTCCTTGGCATGAAACGGCAAATAATCAAACCAGTGCATGAAGCTTCTGGTCAATTTTATTCATGCAGCAGGCAGTCGCGCTGCTGCTGTGTTTTTTTTATTTTTTTATTTATTCACATTTGAATAGTTTTTAACAGCTATTCGAATATATATCCGAAAACAGAATACTCGTTGACAGCCCCAATGTGTTTGTTTGTGCGTTCACTTGGAAGCAAGCGGGACACAAATATCAAAGCACATTCTGAGGAGCAGTTTGACTGTCTGGATGCTGATGGTGAAGCCGGAGCAGCTGGATAACAAAGTGAAACCATGTTTGTTTAATCATAATCAATAATGCCTTGTAATATTTATCGGCTAGGACCAGTCGCAAAGTAACAAGCGGAGATTCCAGGAAATGGCTTTTTGTAGGGGAATGAAACCAAAGTGATGTAATAATGTTAATGAAGACGCTGGAAGGCCAACTTGTCACATTTGCTAACCTCTGCTAGTCTTTGTGCCGGGCGAACCGGCCTCTCGTCCAGCCCTCGTTAAGTGAGCGAATGATCGTATTTTCCCATGAGGGTTAAACAACTTGTCGTGGAGCCTTTGTTGATCACAGCGGGGGGCGGTTCTGGGGGTCTTTCGACGCTCAGGAATGAGTTGCATTGGGTCAATCCGTCCTGCTGCTGCTGCGTGATCGTGGGTATCTGAGCGGGTGACGGGCGTCGAGGTGTCGAACAAGAGGAATGCGATATGTTTGAACCACAAAGCATTCTTTGGGAATTAGTGCCTTCCTATCACAACATGGGGTTGAGCTGCATTTATTTTTAGATAAGCGGTTTGGAGAGGGAACCCCCCCACCCGCCCTTGTTGGCCGGCTGTTGAGCAGGAATAAGGTGCTTTCTAAAATGTTGAACAACATTCAGTTTCATAATGCACTCAGATCTGTGTGATCGTGCTGTCATTCGCACGCGGTCCACAATCAAGAAACCAGATCTCTGATGTTCCTTCCTCTCGAACCCAAGTCTCCGTCATCGTTCCTCCAGCAGTGTTGGAGCACAGCGACGTTTCTTCTCGGTGGCTTTTTAGAGGTTAACTGTTTTGGGGAGCCGTCTTCTCTTCCAGCCTTTATCAGCGAGTTGACAGTTGAGAGATGACAGACGCGGAGGGGAACGATCCAAGGTCCATACCTGACCTCCAGGTCACCAGGGAGACCATTTGAAAAATGTAAAAGCTCTCAGAGAAGAATTCTATGGTTGAAGGCTCAAGGTGAGGTCAGCGCGATCTTAACAGTTCCTCCCCTGATGTCTGGCTTCACTTTAGTGTCGCAGCAGAGTTCTTTAGTTTTTCAAACAAATATGACTGTTGCACTTGAAAATATGAAACCGCAGGTGAACTTGTATTGTCCTACCTTGTTGTGTTAGTGTGTATGCGCGCACACACACACACACACACACTAACCCACATTCAGCCCTTAACCAGCCGCAGCGCTGAGACGCCACCGTGCTCACTGGGTCAGAAGCGATGCGCTGAGAGTGGCGCCGAGGCGAGCAGAGAATGAGAGAAGATGCCTTGAGGGAGAGATGGATGAAAGAGAGAGCGAGAGAGAGAGAGAGAGAGAGGGGGAGAGAAGATGATGGGTGAAACTTCTAGAGTACGGAGATGGCACCTAATTGGCGTTGTTGACTCTCTGGATGGTTCATTAACTGTACTCCTCCGCTCCAGCTCTACTTCTCCATCCATCCATCAGTGCCCCCCCCCCCTCCCCCAACATCTCTCCTGCTATCAGGACATCCCATGTGATCATCACTCACCCACTTCCTCCCTCCCTGCTCTGCGCGCTGCGCCGCTCCTCCATCTCCATTCGTGGCGAGCGAGCGCGCGGTCTAATACAATGCCTCCCGAGGCATGATGGGAGAGATTTCTATATAAAGCAGCGTCTGTGAGGTCAAACACAGGCGCGCACACACATGCACTCTGGGACGTATCGGGCGAAGGAAGCACAGAGACGATGTTTGGGCGAGCCGGACTGAGGTGAAGGGGAGGACTTTGGGGAGGATGCAGGCGCCGGCGGCGATGGAGGCGGCAGACGAAGTGCTGCAGGTGCTCGATGTGTGCGAGGCCATAGAGGAGACAAGGGAAGTCATTGTCACCACCATAGAAGAAGACCCTATCAGGAACTCTCCTCCAGTGGCCAGCTGCGGAGCAGGGACCAAACCGAGCCAGGTAAGAAGAGCGCGGAGGGGACCATGGAAGACGGTCTCCTACAGAAGGGAATGGCGTCCAGAGCTCGCTGTTGTTGGACGTTCAGCTCTCACAGAAACCGGCAGGAAGCTTCTGCGTGATGCCTTTGTGGGGAAGGGCTGCTTGACCAACAATTTGCCATAAATTAAGCATGTAATGTTTGTCAATTTAAGAAAGTTGCCATTCCATTGAATGATTGATTGATTGATTGATTGATTGGCTGACCAGTGGATGACGTCACCTCGTGCTCCAGGATGCACAGTTGCTGGAAGTCGCTCCTCCTCCACATACGAGGTTGTCGTCTGAATTTCCACGTGCATCTTTCTTTCGTAACTTTAGAATTTGGAATATGTCGGTTCCAATGAATTGCTCTTGAAGACAGCTCCCACTCTGCGAGTTGAAGCAAATGTCTTATCCTTCACACTCAGCAAAGAGCTTCTTTACCCCAAAATCTGCTCTTGAGAGGATTTCAAATTGTAATCCTGCAAAGTCATCTCAGGTTCCTCCGCCGGCTCTCCCTCTTAATACCACATAATCTTCACACCACTTTCCGGGTTTTGCTAAATTGGAAGTTCTCAACACCCTCCTCCTCCCTGTGCTTACCTGACATTCCTGTGCATAATCCTTTTCAACCACACTGACGTTTTATTTATCGAGCGCTGCTCAGCGGCCAGCGGCCCATTGTCCCGCCGTCACTCTTCTGTCCTTCGTATTAGTCGGGGAGACTATTTTTTAAGACGCTTCCCTGCCTTGTCCCGACAAGTTCTTGGCAGCCTCGCATTGTTGTTTGAGCAAAGGTTGGTTTTATGGCTGAGAGCAGCTCTCTGGGAATGCAATATTTGACACACACACACTTGCGCACACACTCGCACATACCTCCCAGGAGTGAGTAGAGTGCACTTGGTCCTGCTCTGAGCGAAGGGGCTTTGTTTGCGGCTCACTTATGGCTGAACAACAGAAAACAGGCTTTTATTGCATATTTGATTTAGTGAATATCCAGGACGCCAGAGACAATGGCTGTTATTTATAGAAAGAATGCACAAAACACTCAGCTGAAAGCTTTGGAAACGTGGACACAGGCTGATACAGCTTGTAAGTGTACCGTGCTACATATATGTGTATATATACACTCAGTGTTTTTTAATGAGAAGCTCTTTTGAGGCCTGAGTGATCGTTATTCCAAAGAGGGGATGGGTGAAATATTCATCTTTCTTCGATTTCAACCGCAGAATTTAACCAAAATAAAATATTCTAAGCTTTTGGGGTATTATTTTTAACTTTGTTTTGTTGGGGGGGTTGGGACAATCTTTCACACCATTTAAAAACAAAACACCCCGACGGCCTTTTGAGCAGGAAACTTGTTCAATCCCCTTGTGCTTGTGTGCGGTTCAAATGTCCCGCCGGATGCGTTTGAAGCGCGGCAGCCTCTGTATCATGTTGCAGCACTTACAGTTTGCAACCGGGCCAACATTTCATTAAAGTCACACCTGCATGGCACATCTGCCTCTTACAGAAAGCACCGTCGCCGTGGCTTTTATCTCCACGGCGCTCTACAGCTTTTAATGAGGCCCTTTCTTTTTATTCTCCCCGGCGAAGGAGAAAGCGGCTCAGCTGGTACGGATGCTCTTCTTGGTGCTGCTTATACTTTCCTTTTTCCCTTTGAGAAAGTCTCACAGAGACGTTTTAATGGAATAGTCTATTTTCCATTTACGTCCTCCAGATTGACACCACTCTAAATATGAAGCTCCGGCCGGGATGGAGGAAGCTCTGCATAGACGAATGTTAATTGATGTAGATGTTTCCTCTCCTTCTAAGCTAACTGCGTCCAAGACACTAGCTTCATCGCTGTATCGATCCCTCTTTAACACCCCTCCATTCTTGAGAGTATGTGAGAAGGCATCACGCCGCGTCCCCGATGTCCTCCGTGTACGTCTGTTGAGTCGCCGCCCGAACGTCGCCCCCCCCCCTTCCCCCCTGGCCCTTTCCCACAGCGCAGGACCTGCTCGTAAAACCTTTGTCTGGGTTGAATAAATCCCTGTAGGCGTCTCGTCGGAGTGGACCTGACAGGTGTTTAGTGGAGGTGCATTTTATTCATGACACACATGTAGCCGGTAATCCCCCCCCGGCCTTTGAACTGCCACTGGCCTTGCTTTGCCTGCCTGTCTGGATCAATCCCTCCCCGTGTAATTGGCTGGCTTGTTATTGAACGTGTCTCTCTTGCCCCCCTGCACCCCCCCACCCCCTGGTCCTACCCCCCCCTCCTCCTCTTTGTTCCCTCTCTCCGAGCCGCTCCTCTTCCTCCGCTTCAACCTACTTTCCTGCGCTGAATGGGCCTCCTGCAAGGCTGCTGGTGCTGAAGCAGATCAGCCTGAGGTGGCGGCTCTGCTTAATCCCGTTAGGAAATGTGGGTCACTAAGGTCTATTTTTAACCGTGGCGGCTGAGGGGGGAGCCCAGGTAGGGTAGGAAGGAGCCAATGACAACAAGGCGGCAAACTTCATTAGCTTCAAGGCGGTTTGTTGATGAGCTTAATAGACAAAATCAGGGACTAAATGTTCTTTGGCAGCTATTTTGAGATTTGTTTCATATTTGTTTAATTCATACGGCAAGCTGGCCGTCTCATAGCTCTACATTCTAGCCTTTTAGTTGGATGTATGTAGTGAAATAACTATTTCTATTGACACAACAAGGATTCTCAGAGAATTGTAGGAAACGTCCCTCATCGACGGTTGGGCCACTTTGGCCTAAAGGTACTGATTTATCTGCTAGTTATTCTGTCAATGTGGCAAACTATGCAGATTATTAACAAATAGCAAAAAACATGCGTCCATCACAATTTTCCAGCGCCCATAATAAATCTACAAGATATTCAATTAAACAACACAATAGTGATAGACTCCTTAAAACAGTTCTTAAGCACTGTGTGATTCAGCAACTCATGAGTGGGTGTGAGGAGAGACCTTACAACTAATGCCATGATTTGCACACACACACACACACACACAGAATGAGAAGCCACTTATTGGCACATATGTCACACATAAAGGAATTTGTCTTCATTCTTGGTGTGAATGAAAGAATAAAATAGAATAAAATAAGATAAAGTAAAATAATATAAAATTATACAAGCAAAAAATCTAACAAAACTGTATAAAGACACGGAGCAGGCTTGTCTTGACCAGCTGGACGGTAGTCAGACGAGATTAAGACTCAAGTACATTTTGAATCGGGAGACGTGAGCAAACATCCCGGCAGGGACGCTTTTTGTTTTAACAGAATAGCTGCAGAGCTGCTGAGGCAGGCGCGACGTCGTCCCCGGTGACTTGTGAATCTCCGTGTGAAGGAGGTCCGTGGGACACTTATCCCTCGCTAACACAGAGAGAAAAATAATGAGGCCTTGCTTACTTTTGCCGTGCGAGGGGGATAATTGCTCGGTGCCAGAGGCCTGTTGCAGAGGGGCTGAGGGCCTCTCCAGTCCGCCTTCCTATGATTCGTCAAGAGGCTTTCAATGATCTCTCTGAAAAAAATGAAATCTTGACTATCATTAACTTTAGAGTTGATGGGGCGTCACTCTTGGATCACTCTTGGATGAATTAAGGAAGGAGAAGGTTTCATTTTACACCTTTGGTGTAAGGAGAAGTTTTACAATTCCATGGACGTTTTCAACAGAGGATTCATATTAGTGGAAAAAGCCTCTTGAACCTCAAACCTCAGGGTGACCGGGTGAAACGTTAACCGCTGTGGTGCTAACTGCAGCTGGCCATAGACCTTTACTGCGATAAGCACGCGATGCTACCGCAGCGATTTGAGACACCCGTGTCTTTGGTTGCATCCCACTTGAAAGCTGGCGAGCTACGCTAACTAGCATCCTCTGGGCCAGCGGGAGCTGGTTGGCTAGGCTGAGATGATTCATGACGTTTCCCGTGAAATGTAGAAGGTATAAAGCGAGGCTGATTTGTGGAGTCACACATGAGACAGAGGTGCCATTAAAGGCTACGTGACTACAGCCTTCACTTGTTGTTGCACCAATGAATGAGACACGTGCACGTTGTCCCTCGGGTACCAACGTCTGAGGAGAGGAGAACGGTCGGCGTCTTCCCTCTCCGACCTTTGGAACCCGGGTCGTGCATTCCACTGTCTGGCTTGCGGGGGTTGGCCGCTCGTGATGTTCGGGCTCTTCATAGAGCGGCGCAGGCGTCAGGCTGAGGATTTACAACCGCCGTTGTCATGTCAAAGGTCAGGTGAAACCGAACCACCTCAAGCAGGCAGCCGGGCAACATTTGACTTGTCGTCTCCGGTAAATGATCCCATGAACAGAAAATGTTTACGGCTCATCACTTTGGGTTGTAATTGTGAGACACCCTTTCATGTGTTGTGGTCCCTCCAGTTTTATCCTGTAATAAATATAAATTTTCCGCTCAATTTTCCCCCGTCATACATATGTAGGATTTTCTATACAGTAGTGGACATTCTGCTGCTATACGAGTGATAATAGTAGCTTCTTTCTAGCTTCGAACACATCCTGAGCTTTCTGCCCGGGTCCTCCCATTGTTCTGCTTCATCCCTTTCTCTGCTGTTTTAACCCCCGAGGCCAGTGGGATGTTCTCCGTCCCAACGCACCACCCTCCTCCCATCCAACCAACCCGCTCCACCCCCATCTACCTCAATCACAATGCATCTCCTCTCTGCTCACTGATATAGCATGTAGTCTTTGAAATGGGATTGATCTGCAATGGAGCTGCATGCTGGGAGCCGTGGCTTTTGGTCATCCGGGGTTCCCGTAGCCGCTCGTCGGCCCTCTTATCGCCAGCGGGTCGCTTGTCACTGACTGTGCAAAGAGTTCTTATCTTCCTTTGTCCTATCCGCTCTTATGACCTTCATTATCTGCGGATGCAGTCCGGTCCAGACGTCAGCAGTTAGCCCATTTGGCAGCTCACGCCGTTTACTTTTTCCACTTCCTGACTGCTATTACTTTCTTTTCTCGTGTGTGCTTGGAAATTACCTCCAGTTTGTTTTGTTGAGGTGACGGTAAAAAGCTCATCTGAACGATTTGAAATCATTGTTTGACAAGAACCCAGAGATGCATTGAATGTGTTCACTGTGTGCTAAAACTAGTTAATATGTAAATATGTACCTGAATTATAGTGATGTGTAGTATGACTGGATGAAAGACTAAACTAGACTGAATAATATGATCCATCACCATACAAACGAGTCAGCATTATTGGTAGGCATCTGGACTGAAAATCATGCACCAGAAAAGGTAAGTTTTTCACATGTATGTTCAGTAGATATCTACTGTACATACATGTGAAAAAAGACAATTTAACTGACCTACACATTAGCATTAAACTGAGTACTGAGCCTGAGTATAGATTAAAACAAATATTTAAACAAAATGATGTAGAGGAGAATAGAGAGAAAAGAGATGATATGACCGTATCAGTTTCCATCCGAGAGGATCAAGAAGCTAGGAATGAGGAAACCCACCCGTTCTCTTAAATCCTCCCTTGTTTCCTTCCTCGCCTCTAGGATGACAACTGGGGCGAGACCACGACGGCCGTCACCGGCACGTCGGAGCACAGCCTCTCCCAGGAGGACGTCGTCCGCATCACCAAGGACCTGGAGGAGAGCGTGGGGCTCGACTGCCGGCGCTACCTGGGCCTGGCGCTGGCCGTGGTCCTGGGCCTGCTGGTGTTCCTGACGCCGCTCGCCTTCCTGGCGCTGCCCCACCTCCTCTGGCCGGAGAAGCTGCAGAGCTGCGGCACGGCGTGCGAGGGCCTCTTCATCTCCGTGGCCTTCAAGCTGCTCATACTGCTGCTGGCCGTCTGGGCGCTCTTCTTCCGGCCGCCGCGGGCCGGCCTCCCGCGGGTCTTTGTGTTCCGGGCGCTTCTCGCCGTTCTGGTGCTGCTCTTCGTGGCCTCGTACTGGCTGTTCTACGGGGTCAGGATACTCGACTCGCAGGTGAGCCGAGGGCCAAATGTGGTGATGTCATCGCTCGCGAGTGAAGGGCAACCGGAGAATAAACATTCAATCTGTGCGTTTGATAAACAAATATTTCCAAAAGCAGCGGGGGAAGTGTCATGAATTGCAGGCACATTCATTTTTAATGCCTTCAGAAGCTTAACAACATTCAAAACAACCAAAGACAGAGATTTGGTTTCCCCAGTGATGTGTGTTTACTGCAAGAGTCGTAATTTAAAATCCTGGTTGGTCCCTCATTCAGAATGCATGTAGGAAAAACAGTGAAACCCTTAGAAATGCATCTAAATATTCATGCGCTCTACATCTTGTCTTACATGTGTATAACCACCGTTTTCTTTTTTTAATCCCTGCAGTAGCGTGTATATATATATTTTTTTAAACAGTTGAAATGCCGTGAATACCGTGCACATCCCTCTGTGGTACAAATGACCCCTTTTGATGTCTTGGCAGGACGAGAACTACCAGGGCATCGTGCAGTACGCCGTGTCGCTGGTGGACGCGCTGCTCTTCATCCACTACCTGGCCATTGTGCTGCTGGAGCTCCGGCAGCTGCAGCCGTGCTTCTCCGTGTGCGTCGCGCGCTCCACCGACGGCGAGGCGAGGCACTACAACCTGGGGCAGCTCAGGTGAGGAGGCCGCCCCCATGGTTGTTTTATCGAGAGGTTCTCATGCGTTATTCAAAGACTCTGTCTTTCCTTCAAACAGCTGCGCGCCCAAAAGTGTTCGTGTTCGTAGGGGACTATTTTCCGGGGCGGAAGAATCAACGTTTGGCGCTCTAGCAAGTATTTAGGGCAGCGGGACAAACAAAGCAACAAGTCAGTCGGTACACAGTGTGGCTCATCGATGTGAACTGTAGAGGAAGGACATAGATCAGCTGTGATTGGTGTTGTTATTGGGACTGTTAATAACAATCACATGGATCACCAACTTCTTCACAACAGAGCGTTAAATGTCTGTTCAGCTTTCACACCATCGGGTGATGCCGCTAGTATCGAGAGCAAGCTAATGGAATACTCAGATGTGAATGTAGAGAGAGAGAAGGAGGACGAGGAAGCAACAAGGTAAAGTGAGCCATGACGATAGATTCATGAACTGGAGGAAGCAAATCATAGAAGAGGCCGAGGAGTAAGGAAAGGAAACGAGGAAGGGAAGATGGATGAAAACGCGCCGGGAGGAAAAGAACAAATAAGAAAAGGAAGGAAGAGGGTGGGGGAGACTTCAGAGAGGCCTCAGAAAAGAGCAGCACACAGAGGGCGGAGTACAGAGAGGAGGCCCAGGAGACGGAGGCAGGGAGACACAGAATAGAGAACGAGGGATTAATACTTAATGGGAGGCTGAAGGATCCTAACGTGTATATGAAAGAGAAAAGATCGCTGCTTGTGTGTGTGAGTGTGTGAGTGTCGCGTCGCAGAACAGCTCAGACAAGACAAACAGGGTTTTTATGACTTTGCTACCTATGTGCAAAAACAGGAATACCCCATTTATTTTAAGCCAAACTCGGCAGCGCGCCGGCTGGCCTCTGATATCAAAACGCAGCCCCGGGTCCCACTTAAATCATGATGGATTTATGGATGGGCCTCTTCTTTATGACCGGATGGATGAGGTATCATCCCCCACATCTGCTCTCCCACTAAGGTCTTATCTCTGTGTGGTTTGTGCAGGTGGACTGGTTCACACGTTGTGTCTTGAAGTGAGAAGTTTAAGCTGATTCTGAAATAGTCTAAAGGCTGTAATACGTTCCCCTCTATGTGACCTTCAGAAGCGACAATAGATCTTTGTTGCTGCTGCTCCAAGTCTCACTTTATAACCCTGTGCTGAACACATTCCACTCATTGAAGTGTCTGTGGCTTTTATACATAGTGTTTGAACTGAAACATCGCTGCTGTAGCCCAACCAATGCTGGACTTTCTTTTCTCTTTATAAAGGCCAAAGCTTATATCAATATTTGTGAATATGTCAAATCAAGCAATAGATTGCCCACTCACTCAAACTCAGTCTCTAAAAAATCCACACAACAAGGCATTTTTCTGACAATCAAGTTTAAACACGACTCATAAAGGAAGCTTTAACAATCCGAATCTCCGTACTTGTGAAGTAAATACATGGTGACATCAAGGCATATAAATATGTAAACACACCGTCACGCTGAAATTAAACTGGGCTGAAAAGTGTAGTAATGTCAATGTTGATTCAGCATTGGTAGAAACAGGTCGGACTTGTGTGTGTGTGTGTGTGTGTGTGTGTGTGCGTGTGTGTGTGTGTAGTGGTCTGGCCGGTGTGTGAGCCGTTTCGCTCGGGGGGTGTTGTCCTTTTGTAAGCTGTGCCGTTCATGGTGCTCTGATGTCCGTCTGCGACTGTAAACACGCGGCTAATTAGCGCTCCCTGCAGACTGGAGCGCAGCATCTGGTGTGTGTGTGTGTGCATGTGCGCACAAATGATTTAAGCATGTGCACCGACCGACATCACACAGAGAAGCACAAGTGTGTGTTTGTTTTCTCTCATGTGTCTCCTCCCCTCACAGAAGGGCGGCTGTTGCTTTCATCCCAGTTTGTTTTTGTCCTTTCTGACGGGGTTTTTCTTCCTCATAATGGCGACCAGCCCCTGCAGACCGTCCCCTCCTGCCCGGCCTCTGATGCCAATCTAAACGGCCGAAGGAAGCCTTTTTTTGACAAGTCAAATATAAAACGAGAGGGGGAGGCGGGGGGGTGCATGCATTCCTAATTTATTTAACGGGTCAGTCCTGAGCAGCAACGTTGGTCTCCAGGACACCCGAGGAGCCTCCATATATATTAGTGTGAAATTCCTCCAGTGGTTTTGCTTTATGTTTGCTCGGCTTAATGATTGAACAGCTCCGACTGAACAATGGTCCCGTGTGTTAGAATGTCACGGCGCTAACTGCAGGGCCTCCGCCCGTGCTGCGATGTGTTTGTCGAGATCGATATTTACGGAACATGCTCCAGGACAAAAAAAGCCTTTGCAGGCCTGGAACATGTTAATTATTACATCTGCAGATGAACTCAAAGAGACGGCGCCTATCCCCTTTCCACACGTGGTCTATTTCCAGCCTGTTGTAGCCGCCCTGATGTCGCACAGCGCATGTGACTCTGTGGCCTTTCTAACTTAATAGAGCGATTTGTTCTGTGGAAGGAACTGAAGCGACGGGAGGTCAGAGGCCACACGGGATAATGGGAAGCGCATGCACTACGCGCTGTCCTTCACGAATATCCAGTTTGCTCCTCACGTGGCGAAAGGACACCGCGAGGAAGTAGGAGAGAAGGCCCCAGTGTTTTGGGGAGAAGTGGTGTTGTGGGTCGGTTAACGGCTGTCAACATCTGCCGAAGGCGCGGAGGTCACAGGAAGTGAGCTCGAAGCCGTACGTGAGCTGTACGGTCGCCGCTTATAGCGAAGAGAAATGCTAACGCTATCACTTCCAGGAAAAGGGGGATGCGGCGCTCGATAAAGGAGCCGGTGATTTATGTTGTGCAACGTGTGAGCACACAGCCCGTCTGTGTACAGTTGGTTTTAACTGCTCGGTCTACAGGACAAGAGCCGGCATGCTTCGTGATCCTCAGCGTGGAGGAGCACCTCCGTGCCTCGGTGCCTCCCTTCCGTACCTCCTAGAAGGGCTCACGGAGCCACGTTGAGGAACAACAAGGACGTCTGGCCTTTTTCCACATCCTTCCCTCCATCCTGTTTCCTCTCGTGTGCGTTTCTTGTTTGTATTTCCACGGGGGAATTCCCACTCTGGCATTTATTTAGGTAACGCCGCTAGAACCTAGAGTCCTCGTTGGTCATCTTCCCTCAGCGCCCACTCAGTCCCGCTCTCCCGCTCCGAAGTTTAACTTCGACAAAACTCTGTTCTGTAAAAATGTTGAAAATAAAAGGTATTCTGCGGTCGCCTCGTGGACGTGGTCCATCGCGTCCTCCTCCAGTCAGCACGCTGACGTAGAACCCACCCCCGCCCCCCGGCCTAACGCTCCCCTTTACCTCCTCTCCTCCGCAGCATCCAGCGGGCGGCTCTGGCCATCTTGGAGCGCTACTACTGCGACTTCCCGGTGCACAACCCGGCGCTGCTCTCCGCCTCCAAGTCCCGCGCGGCCAAGCACCTGGCCGGCCTCAAGGTCTACAACGTGGATGGTGAGTTCCCAGAAGCCCCCGCTGAGGGTGAGTGGGACGACGTTTGAACTTCCTGTTTAGCTCATTGTTTTTGTTTTGTTATTGGGCTTCAGCTAACTGTTGTTTTCATTCTTGACTCACCTTTTTAGCTTTTTATATCGTCCATCGGTACTTCCAGGCAGCTTGCATCCATTTTAGTATAATATAAAAAGCACCATGACTCATTTCATTGTTAGGTGTATAACTCAAGGTTAGCTCTTATGAAAAATATATTTGCAGATTCAGTTTCCACCAAAAAATACTTTTCCCCCTGAGCCTCCATCAATTAGTCATTTTAGGCATTATGTTCTCATATCGAGGTCATTTGCTGTAAAGGCAGGAATATCTCTTTCTTGCTAAAGTATAATATGTCACTTTGACACAAAGATCTGCATGACCTGGATTGTATTATTTGATTTAATTTTTTATGCAATTTGTATATACATATATTTTTATTTTTATTAGCTGTTTAACCCCAGAAGAGTAATAGAAAATGGCACATTTCAACACTTCAAAACTGGAAATGCTTATATTCTTCTTTTTGGCATTCACAGCTGCTTTTTTTTGTTGTTGCATATATTCTCTTTTTTTCTCTTCTTTTTGAAAACGCCGCCATATATCACCTTTTGTCAGCGGCTCCCATCAAGTCTCTGCAGGTTGACTTGCGTATCGCGCTGGAATGCGCTGCCTGAAAACCGCGAAGCCGATCTGCGCCCGTTATCTCGCTGCGGCACGGGTGGTTTTTTTATTGTCCGCCCTCAAATGCTCTCTTTCCTCTCCTTATGTGTCCCCTTTCCCCCGCTGACGCTGTCCCTTTAAGACGCATTTAGATCTAAACTGAAAGCCTACCTCTTTGACAGTAAGTAAAAACGCTGCGCTGCTCCTGTTCACATCGTGGAAGCTGTGCACGTTCTGTGTCCTAGAAGCTACACCTCGATTTTTTTCCCGGCGGACACGATGCTCCACTCACTCCTCCCTCGTTGCATGCCACGGGTCGATGGTGGGGGGGGGGGTGGCAGACTGGACCCTCACCCTTAAGTGCACTAACTTCACTCCATCCTAGTTTTGACTTTTTTCTTCCGCCTCCTCTTAAATGTTTGCGGGAGACGGACGATAAAGGAAGCGCTGATAATCTGCCCAGTGTTTTTCTTTCTCTCTCAGGTCTCTTTCGCCCCCATTTTCCTTCTGCAGCAGCTTCTCTCACTTGATGATAATCGTTCCTTTATTAAAGAGTGGTGACCCCCCCTCCGCACCTCTATAACGCTCAATTACGCTGCATCCAAATGGGTCTGGGTGATTTCATGACGCCCAACAATTGAATTTGTTGCCCGTGTTGTTCTCTAAGCTCCCATATCTGGGATTGAGGTGCAAAAACACAAATGTTTAAATGCGACACAGATAACACATACATGTAACAATGTTTACAGCATTCTTTTTAGTTCTCCCCCCAAACATCTCCCCCTGAATTATTCTGCTCACGAAGGATCCCTCCCTGCATTAATAATTCAGCGGCTGTGCCTTCTTTTAATCCGCATAACCACCGGGCGGGGCTCACCAGCAGCCTCCCGTACTCGGAGTAAACTATTGAAGTTTTGCCCAAGACGCGTCTCTAATTAGCTCGCTGACGGCGCCGCGCGGTGGAGGAAAAGGAACGCTCGAATATCAATAGAGATGCAATGAAAATACTCCAACTTTGTGCACGCTGCATCCTCACGTCATCATCGAGTGTTCTGTCGTTCCTTTGCGTTTACCTTCGAGGCCTCTGAGACGTCCCCCCTCTGTGTCCTGCACAGGCCCGGGGAACAACGCGGCGGCGGCGGCGGGGATGGTCCAGTCCCAGTCCAGGGCCATGATCGCGGCCACCGCCCGCCGCAGAGACACCAGCCACAACGAGCTGTACTACGAGGAGGCGGAGCACGAGAGGCGCGTCCGCAAGCGCAAATCGCGGTAAGCTCGGGGGGGAAAACGCGCTCTTCAGCTGCAGAACATTCCAGTCAGGAGTGAAACACTTTTCCCTTTCTCTTCATCTCCTCCCCAGACTGGTGGTGGCGGTGGAGGAGGCGTTCACGCACATCAAGCGCATGCAGGAGGAGGAGCAGAAGAAGGCCCCGGGGGACGTGATGGACCCCCGGGAGGCGGCGCAGGCCATCTTCCCGTCTATGGCGCGCGCCCTGCAGAAGTACCTGAGGACCACCAAGCAGCAGCACTGCCACAGCATGGAGAGCATCCAGCAGCACCTGGCCTTCTGTATCACCAACAACATGACGCCCAAGGTCCACACGCACTCCCTCTTTTGAGACGACCGCGTCCCACGTGAGCCGGCTGAGTTGTGATAACGCTGCTGGTGTGTCTGTCCTCTGCCCAGGCGTTCCTGGAGTGCTACCTGACGCCGGGTCCCACCCTGCAGTACGGCCGGGACCACTGGCTGGCCCGCAAGTGGACGCTGATCAGCGAGGCGTCGGTCACCAGCGGCCTGAAGGACGGCTCCACCTTCGCGCTCCGCTGCCTGGACTTTGGCCTGGTAGTGACCACCAAGAGGATCCCCTACATCCAGATGTCCGAGGAGTACATCGACCCCAAGTCACACAAGTTCGTGCTGCGGCTACAGTCCGAAACCTCCGTGTAGGACACCGAACTGCTTTTTAAAAAAATTCCTCACTCTGTTTTGTGGCTCTCAAATGTTTTCAGTTTGGGCTTGCAGTCTTTATTTTTATCTTTTTTTTGAGGGGCTTTGTTTTTATATATTATATATGAATTTATATATCACACTCACTTGTAATGTTTTGGATTTGGATGAAAACAAAAGAAAGGAGAATGTTGCACAATCACTCGTTCCTTTCTTCTGTTGGAGGCGAACTCTGACGTCCACACAGAGACTCCTTTATTTACACTGGACGGACGGGCGGACAAACCACTAAGGAATGGTGCATTAAACGCACAATGTGTATGTTTTCGTCAATGAAAAGAATTCCCCTCGACGCGACGGAATCTATGATATCGGACAGTTTTTTTCCCCTCCGCTATCTCGTCACTGCTCTTACAGCTGTGGCGCTCTCTGTGCCCGACTTCTCCAGGTGCAACACAGCAAAATCCAAGACGCGTCTCCGCTCCACAGACAGACCGTGTTTAACTCACAGGAGACGCCAGACGTTGTGCCCGTAAAACATTTCCTCCCTCCCTCCCTCCCTCCCTTCCCGCGTTCGGCTCAGTGACCTTCTTGGGGCTTCACAGCACCAAGGAGGAGAGACGGATAAACAGTACTACTGATCACGCCACATGAGGAGTACGTGGGTTACACAGCTGCAAAATAGAGGGAGAGAGTTCCTGTACTTCATTTGTAATCCATTTTCTAATTGTGATCCAAGTTGTTTTTTCACCCCCCAGCGTTTCCGGAACTGGTGGGAAAAGAGTGTTTTGATTTAATAGGCCTTCTGTTAAAGTTTCGATTTAAAAAAAGATAAGCCAAGAAGGAGAATTTGACTGGGTTGGGGATAAACGTGTTTCCTCAGATGTCAGTTGAATTAAATGTTTGTGTTGTGTGTGTTAAGCCTGTTAAGTAAATTAAAACTCACCTGGAGAACATGAACATGAGGCAGTGAAGCACTACACCCCCTTGTGGTCGTAGTGGGTATTACAACAACAACAACAAATAGAAAATGGATCACAATAATGTTTTCTTTCTTTCTGGCCTTTTGCTTCAGGCATCCGCGTAGAGGGACGGGAACAACAGGTCCTCAGTTGGGAATCAAACCATGCACGTTGCAGTTGGCGCTAGATAACCCCGGCTGAAAGACCTTGGGGGGGGGAATCCTCGGGTGGGAGGGGCGTTTATGCTGTGGAAATGAAGGTTTCACTGATTTTCTCGACTCGAAAAAGGGCGTCGCTAATACACGGCATCAAACAAATGATTGAACCTTCAGTGTTTGGATTCAGAGTGGAATCACCAGTGAGAGCGGCAGCAGGGCGGATCCTCTCCCCCAACAGGACCGTCAGGTTTTCCTTTACTCCCTTGTCTCACCTCTGCTCTCCCACAAGCACGCTCGCCAGTAAGTCCTTGGAGGTCACAAGTGAGTCATTTCTCCTTCTGTTTTTTGATGAAGAAGAATCCAACTAGCTGCACTGAAAAGGAACCATTTTACAGCACGTCACACCCTGTTGGAACTGATCCAAGCAGATTCACCAAAGTGGTAAAGAGCTCATGTGTAACTCACCCAAGAAGGAAAATATAGTTGTCTGTGGCGCCGAGCAGAGTCCCCTACTGCCCCCTGGCTGCTGAGCGTAATACTGTCAGTTCCTCTTCGAGAGGGAAGCAGGGACATGTTTTCATTAAAGAATTACCTTCAAAAATGAACAAAAACTTGCAGTTCATGAAAGCAAAAATATTGGTTCACTGTAAACCGTTATTTTCTTGGTCACATTTTGTACCTACTGACAGATGAACATTGAATCATCCCAATGTGGCTCTGCCTCCTGTTATACACTGTAACTATTTATGTATACAAGCATGTCTGTGTGTGAGTGTGTGTGTCTGTGTGTGTGTGTGTGTGTCTGTGTGTGTGTGTATGCCATTCCAGTTCACACAACCAGCCTTTACACCCCCCTCCTCCTCCACATCACCACCGTCTGCCACGCTGTTTCCAGGTTACAAGCCTTTGTATATCGGGACAGCTCTGTGATGATGATGATGACAGTGCGAGGCAAGACTTGTTTCTCTTTCACAGGTATGAGAATTTCTATGAACAAAAAAATAAACATTTTTATGGAAATTTGTAAAAGTGCTGTTTGAGACCATGTGGGAAAAATGAGATAGATGCCTTGTGTTGTGATTAGGGACTTTTTTATTGAGGCTTTTTGTCTCTTTTGTCAGAGGCCACTATAATGGATTTACTTTTATTTTACCTTAAGAATTTGTTAAGATTTTTTAAGATTGTCAATTTTGCAATGCAATAACAAATCGGATCATCGTGGGCTACCGTAGAAAAAGTTTATCACTGGTGATTTGGATTTGTCCCCATTCTCCCTGCAATCAAACTGCATGTCTATTTTTCTCTCTCTCTTTCATTACCACTCTGCCTTTGTTCCACACTCGCTCCTCAGCATCTCCATATGCAGTAGTTTCCGTGCCCCGGCTGCAGGCTACGCCAGCACTCTGCTCTGTCGCTGCCCATTAAGCACCCGGCCCTGCTGCCTAGCGCTCCAGAGCCAAATTCCAGCTTGTCTGGCCGTGATTTGGTGGCTTTTTTTTTTTTCTTGCCGAAAAGCTCTGAGGTAATTGGCCTGCCATCAGCCTGTCAGACCTGCGCACCCAGGCCTCGTGGGTAAATGAATGTTGGGGCGTCCAGGCGCTGAAAACAAACAGACCCGCACCCTCCGCGAGCGCGTGGACGGCCTGTCGGAACTCATCTGTCCCCGTCCTAATCCCCCCACACCCCGCTGGCTGAAGGGAGAGAGGAGGATGAGGAGCATTTGCATCTAAATGGAATTTTCTTTTTTGTATCCCCTCACCACCCCCCCCCCCTTCCCACTGTCTCTATTTGTTTGGTAATGACTTTGGTCACGTGAGAGAATTCAGTCCTCCTGCCGCGGCGGCACTCATGTAAAACACCATCACACTTGACATTCGCAGGGATTATGTCACCCGAAGGCCCCCGTAGAGCCCCGTGTCACCGCCCGGTTCCCTTTCTCCCTCCGGAGAGGTGGTGTCTTCTGCCCTCGGGTCACGTTTATACGCTCACACCGCTAACCTCCCTCGGAGTATGTTTGAATCCCACACGCCATGAAAAACATCCTGTTTAGTCTTAAGCCTCACCGTCCAGGTCCCTTTCTCCCGTTACGAGGAGTAATGATACTGAATTATTCACAGACGTTTTAATAATTCAAGCTTGATGACCGAGGCAGGAAATGTGCCATATTGTTGTCTGGACCTTCCTAATGAGGGTTGGAAGTGTATCACTTCCACACCTGAAAAACAGCGGCAGTTCAAACATTAAAGTTCACATAGCTGTTGTTTACTTTTATTAAGGCCTGAATAAATCCCCCAAAAAACAATTTATACTGTATTTCACAAAAAATGGTTGTTATTTATTGTCACACATCATTTACGTCAACCTAAAAGCTGCTACAATCAATATATTGTGTTAACAGAGGAAATGGGATCGATATCTGTCTGAAAAAAACTCATGAGGTCAAGCAAAGATGTGAAGAAGAATTCATGAGGACTGGAAGAGACCATGTAGCTTCCTTTATTACAGTACCTTTTGATAGCATTTAGAGGATTCCACGTTTTTGTTTCACTCGGTTAGGAGCCTTCTTAATGAAAATGTAATACTATTACGTTCAGCCTAGCAGCAAGCAGCAGTGGGGCGAGAATAGCAGCTGGCTAACATTGTGCAGCATTTAGCAAGCTGACATTGTGTAGCATTTATCTAGCTGACATTGTGTAGCATTTAGAAACTTAAGAGCCAGAGAATATAACTCTGTTTTGGGTGGGGGACCTAAACAGAGCTAGCGGCAGGGCGGAAGTTCAACTAGCATTTATCATTTGACGACACAAGCTAATGGTGCTTCTCGTCTGCTGGATGACATTTTGTCCCCAAAGGGCCAGAATCTATGAATCGACCTTCCGCCAGGTCTGTTTTATCTACTATTTAGCCATATGTTGCCTTTTAGTTTCGCTTCATTTGAATTATTTGGTTGAACTTTTAAGCAATGTGGTTGTAATGTGCCCAACGAGTTCAGTCTTCCGACCCAGGTTTGAACTTCTGCCCCTCGCCTTCGGGTTAGTCGTCTCCATCCTCCTCGTCCGGGTCGTGACTCTCGCTGCTGTCCTCCGGGGCGTAGCCGTCGAGGTCCTCTTGGTCGTCTGCGGGCTCATCGTCGTCCTCCGTGTTCACCCTTCCCGACAGGACGTCCTCAATCCAGTCCTCCAGCTCCTCGGGGGTGGGCAGGTCCTCGTCGTTGGACATGTCCAGCCACACGCTGTCGGCCTGGAACAAGGGAGCAACCAACAAGGTCACGGTGGGTTGATCCGCGACTGGGAGGTCTTAATGTCCACACCGCTACTTACATCTGTGACGTTCACCACACCTATCTGAGGTCTGAACAGGTCCAACTTGAAGGTTTTTTCCCAGTAGGTTGTCAGCTGGAAGGATGGCGAGACAAATTAGCTTAGAGAGTCGGCGACAAATCAATTTGAATCTCTTGTTTGGGAAATAATGGGGGCTGATGAGGCAGAACCAGAGGGAAGTCGTCGGGGTCGATCCACACGATGCTGAGCTCCGGGTTGTTGGTGTTGTCTCTTGCCACGTCTTTCAGGATCTCCAGGAACTCATAGCCATCTGGGGGTGAAAGAACGAAAGAAGAAGAAGAAGAGTAACCTGAGCTCAGATTCAGGCGCTGAAGAAACAAAGGAGGGAAACAACTGCAAAATAAAAAAGGGGGAGGGGGGAAAAGACCTGGATCTTCCTCCTCTGCAAATGCCACAATGTGAATTCCGTCCATGTCGTCCTCCTGGGGATCCAAACACAGTTCAGCGATGTAACTCAACTCTGCTCGAGACAAACCTATGAGACGGAAACATCTACTTACCCAGGTTTCAAACATATTTTCCGCCCGGAGCTTCCTCAAGGTAGCCCTGTAAAGAGCGAATGTTTAACCAGGTTCTAAGAGGCATTGAAGTAACGATGAGAATGGGATTATCTAGTCGACCTTCTGTGCTGGTTGACGAACTCGACGATGTCCATCTCCGACAGAGGTCTGCCGGGCAGGATGGCCGGCTCCTCCATGAACGGCTCGTAGAAATTCACCTCATTCATTTTGAGGGAGAGATGCTTGGCTACCTTCAGAAACACCACATGGCAGGATGTCAACGGTGAGCGGGCAGAGGGAACGGTGGTCGAGGGGGTTTGTTATGCGAGTGGCTAAATATTGATCCTTGGCTTGGGACTATAAATACAGGTAAGGACTGTAAAAACTTACAGATTTATCAAATGTTGCAAAGAACTTGATGTAAGGTTGAAAACGCTCCGAGGCCTCCTGAAAAGCTTTGTAGTCTGAGAAAAAGGGAGAGGGTGAGAGATGGATCAGGAACTGGCTGAAATACAGAAAGATTAAACAATGGGACTTCATCATTCCCATTCTTCTCACATCCACGGCCCAAATCTCCTGTATGCGATCATGGAGGCAAGCGGTGGAGCGCGCTCGCTTCATTCAATTTCCCATCATGATTCCACTGTTTTCACCCAAAGTAACAACGTCTCCCTTAATACAGTTTCATACGCTCGTAACGCGCTCCTGGCTCTGCTCCCAACAAGGTCACGACCAAGGACCAAGCTATCTCTGGACAGAAATAGGCTCCATAATGAAACGGTATGCTACCGTCGTATCTCGTCAGATAGCAGCTTCCTTGTCTCCCTTTTTTTCAGAGGAACTATAATTGCAGTTTGACCTATTAGACAGCGAACTAGAAGCTATTTAAAGGCCCTCGTGGGGCCGAGTGAGAACGCCACAGTCTAGAATCAGGTTTCCCGTTGCATGGTGATGTTGCTCTATTAGCCTCTATATCCCATCGGCGTCTGGGGAACAGTGAGGCGACTTTAAGAGGACGGAGGAACAGTGTAGAATCAATTTTTTTTTTTTAAACCTATCAACCCTTCGTATATGTGTTTGTTAATATAAACACAAATGCATTGGTAGATACGTCTCTCGCTAAAATAGACGCTAAAACGAGTCAGGTGGGAAACTAACAAGAATCTTCTCCCTTGAAGTAGCCAATGAGGCGGATGTCCTCCTCCATCCTCTCAAAGGCTCGGAGCTCCATGGCGGTGTTGAGCATCTCCACCGGGTCCTCCAGCACCTGGCGGGCAGTATGACACAGGTAAGGGTTTTTTCCGAGCAGAAAGTCTGGACATATTTTGATACCGCGCTCAAATTTGTACGTCTGATACGCCAGCTGCCTTTAGCTTAGTTTAGCATGTGGAATGAAGAAAGTGGGGCAAAAACTAAACCAGGTTTGTCCAGCTGGAATAAAACCTGTCTCCTAAAACAACTAAAGGTCTGTGGTTATCACGTTTTATCTAATTTATTTAATCTTTCCAGGATACAAACTACTTCGAAGTTGGGTACCAGACCATTCAATTATATTCATATTAAATCCTTTAACCCTCAAGGGAAAAGTGACATGAAAGTTGCTCTTTCTGAATCTTGTATTGCTATAAAATACATCGTTTGGGTGCATCTTAATGAGACAGCATGCAGTTAATTGCTTGACAATATCTTCTTTCATTGGAAGCCAAGATTACACATTAGATTTCTTTTTTGAAAGCCGCACACGATTGTCCACTCACATCCAACAGGAACTCCACAAGTGTGTCTGCTGAGAGCTCCCCATCAAACTCAATGACTCGGTCGTCCTTGAAGACATACAAGCTGCCCACCTCCTCCAGACCTAATTAAAAGGGAGCATGGGATTTTAAGAAAGCTCATATCAGGGATTTGTATTTTGGAGAAGAGTAGCAAAGGGAGAGGATTTTACAGAACAATCGATGAACATCAACAACATGAGTCCAGATGTTCAGCATTCACAGTAATAAAACAAATACCGTGGAATAAGAACATATGAGTCATACCCAGTTTTCTGGCTACTTTGGCATCCTTCTGGGAGTCCACCATCCCAAAACCGATGCCTCTGTTCTCCAGGACCTGAGCTGTGAGCTGTGAGTTCAAACAGGCAATTGACAGTCAACGTAGAGTCATTGAAAATCATCTAAACTGGAAAAAAAAAACTGTCGCTGTGGCCAGAAAGGAAGTTGACGTTTTGGTACTCGGATCTAAATTTGATTGTAAAATAAATTTTGCGACTGGTGTTGAAACTGGATGTCTAATTGTTGATCCGTACAGTAATCTCAGGTGGTTTGTCCCAATAAGATTTAACCAAGAAAAGCTCCAACTACAACTTGTTGCAAATGCAGCCGCCCGACGTTGAACACAGATTACCTATTGTGTGTTAACCGTGTTGTAAACTTGAGTTTCAAACAAATCTAGATTGTCGAAAGCAGTTAAAAAGATGTCTGCTACTTCAGCACCATGGACAGCTCCACTGCTACATGGTCCACGGAATTATGTTTTGTTATTCTATCCAAGATGCATGAGCTTGTTTTTATCTATTTTTAAATTTTGCTTTTCTTTTTTGTTATTATTTTCAATTATTATTTTTAAACATTTGAGGTCAATAGAGGGATTTAGTGGGCGGCACTGGCTCCGTCATGGGGCAGGATCTGCCACCCTGAATGAGGGGTCAGTACCTTGTCTGCTTTGTATCTGAGGGATACAAAGCAGACTTTGCAGTTGAGACTTGTGACCTTCTAGTTCTTGAAACTGAAATGCTTTAACTGTTTAACTCTGTGGATCGGTGGGGGATGAAAACACCGTATGCGTGTCTCAGCTTGCATCCACAGCCGCAGCTTCTGCCGTCTCCGTCAGCACATCTTTTCACTGCACAGGTGCGTTTGTGAGTATGTGTGAGGGCTTGAAGCCCCCTGTGGAGTTCACTCAGGGCTGCTCTCAGCAGGAGAAAGAAAAGCACATTCAGTAACGCCCCAGAAGAGGCTGTGGTTGTGTTGACCTGAACTTGTTCCGTGCTTTCAGTGCACGACGCGCCACAGGAAAGCAAAATTAAAAACATGCTTTCATCTTGCGAATATGACAAGAAGTTAAGCAAGTCGAATCATTTCTGGTTCACAGCCAGATAGTAAATAGTTTTGGGAACAAGCTCTAATTAGCCAAATGACCTGGAAACCATCGCTGGAAACTGACAGAATAGCCCCAAAGGATTAAGCTCAACAAAAGAGGTCATATACGCCAATATTTTCTCTGGTGTCGGTTTCTTTGCTGCTTTTCTCCTGTTATACATTATTTTCAAAAATGTACAGTAATTCAAAGGTTTAGACACATTTTCTCATTCAATTCAATGAGAAAGTGTGTCCAAACTTTTGACTTCTGTATATCTCTTGATTTCAGAATGTTCAGAATCAAACAAAGCGAGACATTTGAATGTTTGAGAAAGTGATTAATCAATATCGGCCAGTCCATTTTTGTTCATGTTGAGATGCAGGGAAAAGCGAGAACAAGATTCAGGAAATGCAGATGTTAAAATGCCATGTTTGGCGATCTATATTTTATAATATCATTTTTCTAGGTTTATAAATTACAAACATTTGGCTTTGTTCCGATTTAGTTTTCTAACGTTTTATAGATTACAAAAAATCGATAAAACCGCTCATAGATTTCCAGTGTGTGGGCTCTCTGACCGGTTGGACTGTACTATTTATTTGTTTATTTGATAAGGAACGGTGCACATTAATAAAAGCATTGTTGTAAATGTGCCACAGTTAACCAAAGGGCTGTTTTTTCATCTGTGTCCCAAGTGACCACCCTCTCCCTTCTCCTCCTCACCTCCAGCACCAGCTCCGTCATCTGGAACCGCTTCTGCAGGCCCTTGCTGGCGGGCAGCGGCTCGTGGTAGAACAGGCACAGCAGGTCGTATCGCTTCAGAGCTTTCTTGTAGTTGCGCTCGCTGACGTCCAGCACCCTGTCCCTGCCATCAAAGTTGGGAAACTCCAGACCTTCCTCTGCGCCGCAAAAGAGAACCAGGTGGAGAAAAAGGCCCGACAGCAGCCAGAGCCACGTCCGCCGCATCCTCGTAGCCGGGAGAACAAAGTTGGCAGATCAGAGAACCTCTCGAGGGCCCAGCTTGCGGAGTGTCAAAATTTGGAGATAAAGGAGATTTAGATTTGATCTCTGTTAACCCACCAAGCAAATGTGAAATATTCTCACAAGTATTTCATCCCCGTAGTCTTTTGTCTTCTTGCTTCTCCCTTTATCTCTCCCTCTCCACCTGTATTCTGTCTCCTCCTCTCTCTCCGTCACTCAGTTCTACCGCCTCAAATCTCCTAGGAGGGTCTCTTTCTTTCACCCTTTTTTTCTTTCTCTGCCCGAGAAACTTGTTGCAACGGCCCATGGGCAATTATCCATGTGATGGTCCCTTTTTTTACATGTCTGAATTTATGTCAAGGACGTGAGCATTTCATTAGCTATTTAATTATCTTTGATTCTACAATGTGTGCATTTGGAAAGTGGATGCCATGCTATAAAAACGAACAAATAATTGAATTGCAATCATACAAACAGGCTGAATGTGAAATGGAAAAGAGATTTTGTAGGAAAAGCCTTTGGTCGTCTAAATATTACGGTAACGTGACCTTTAACTGCATTACCGTAACTACGGTATTCAGCCCAAAGTAGCAGATCCCAGATCGCGGCGTCGTTTCTCCTCCCCAGACAGAGCTGAAGGATAGCATTAAAAAATGGAGTGTTCTTGGTTGTGGAGGTTTTTAATACTGTTGCAGCTTTATGTTTTAGGTTTGGTCCCCGCGTCAGGTAATGCATATTCAAACAAGTACGACGATATTTAAACGGGGTGCTGAGACTTTTTCTACTTTCGCTGTAACTACTTGAGCCCACTTCTGGTGTAAAGAGTCATTCATCGGTTCCCGAGCTAGCTTACTAGCCTACGAGCTAACTTAACACAGCTAACCGTGCTAACTTCATGGCTGGGATGAGTTTTGGTTAAACGTTTCGCTTCTAATATTATGACATAATTTATGTTAATTAAAATGTTTGCATTCATCGACGCTGTGTGTGTTCTTGCCACAAATTAGCTGACTGTTAAGTTAGAAAGAACCAATAAAAGCTGTTGCTTGCCAGTATTTACTCAGCTTCAAGTAGTTATTAATTCACTGGGTGGAAAAATGTATAACAATAGAGAAATGTCATATATTTTAGATATTTTCAGGACACTAGCCTTAACGAGGTACTGACTCACTAAACTCTTCCTTATTGGATGCATCAGTCTTGTGACTTGTGTATTCTGACACTATTTCCCATCGTTTGTAGGTCAACAGTGGAAAGAAATTGGAGACAAGATCGCCAATGCAGTTAACAGGCACACGCCGTGCAACCCTGTTAACTGCAGCTGCCATTTGAGGTGAGTGCGACCTTCTCGTTACAGGACACGGTTCTATGATGTGAATTTGATCATCTCCATGTTGCCTTTCCTCTGCCGTTCTCCACTTCTGACCTCCAGTGTCCTACGAGACGACCTGCGGCCTTTTAAAGGGAGAATCTCTGAGGATGTCATGGCTACGACCGTCCAGAGAGGGGTGGGCACCCACTACCAGATCATCGGTCACAAGCTGTACAGGGAACACAACTGCATGTTTCCTGCCAGGTGAGGAAGAAACGGTGCCCGGTGGGATTATTTGTAGTGTTTGATTGCTTCAGAAGTATCAAAAAGCACATGACTTGCTCATTCCCAACATAGGCAGAGAGTATGCATACTGCATTGATCATAAGTGTAGAGTCTGTTTCCAGGTGCAGCGGAGTGGAGCATTTCATCCTGGAGGTGATTGACAGGTTACCCGACTTGGAGATGGTGGTAAACGTGAGGGATTATCCGCAAGTCCCCACCTGGGTGCAGCCAACCCTGCCCGTCTTCTCTTTCAGTAAGGTCAGAACTTTAGGTCTCGTTATTAAAACAGACACACACACACACACACACACGTGATGGCGGTTATTGAAACCTATAACTGGTTATGACGCATGTGTTTTTGATCTGAGTAGACGGCGGACTACCAGGACATCATGTACCCAGCGTGGACGTTTTGGGAGGGAGGGCCCGCTGTGTGGCCGATATACCCCACTGGACTGGGAAGATGGGATCTGATGAGGGATGACCTAAAAAAGTATGGTTTCATTTGTGCTGTTTAATGGTATTCTACATTTAAACCAGTATTTACAAAAGAAGAAAAGTATCCGTTGAACATAGTGTGGTGTGGGTCTTGGTAGATCTTCAGCACGGTGGCCATGGAAGCAGAAAGTGTCCAAAGGATTCTTCAGAGGCTCCAGGTCAGCCCTGCGGCTTTGACTTTTACCCAGCTGCAACCAGCTGCAAAGCTCCGACTTTTGAATCGTTGTCTTCTCTGTTTACTTCGACAGGACCAGTCCGGAGCGCGACCCTCTGATCCTTCTGTCCAGAGAGGCTCCACAGCTGGTGGACGCAGAGTACACCAAGAACCAGGCCTGGAAGTCGGAGAGGGTCAGTGACGCTGACACCACGCCAGGGTCACGCACACAGTCATAACCGTTATAAGATATTATTGTAACTTGTGTCATTCCAAAAAGGAATCTTGTGTTTTTATTTACCAGCCCATGTTTATCTGACTGTTTTTAGGACACACTGGGGAGTCCCCCGGCCAAAGAAATCCCACTGGTAGATCACTGCAAATACAAGTGAGCAGAATTGTAGATCAAGGACAAACGTGGTTCACTGAGAAACATTTGCGAGGGGCGTTAACGGTCCGACGCGCCCTTTGCTGTATTCTCTCCAGGTATTTGTTCAACTTCCGAGGCGTGGCGGCCAGCTTCCGCCTGAAACATCTCTTCCTCTGTGGTTCCCTGGTGTTTCACGTGGGGGACGAGTGGCAGGAGTTTTTCTACCCCCAGCTGCGGCCCTGGGTGCACTACATCCCGGTCAAGCAGGACCTCTCCGATGTCAGGTATGTACTGGTGTCAGACGTTATTTATTAATTATATCTGATATTTATAATCAGTTAGCCCTCCCTGACGGGGAACTGCTGTGTATTACCAACTGCAATTGTATTTAATGCAATTGCACATGTGGTCTGGCTTTGAAGAGAGCGTAGTACACCCGTCAGAAAGGGCTCCCTGATGGCGAAACAAAGCCGTGGAAATAAACTAAACATAGTGTAGACTAGACCTGATATTGATATTTTATTTGCTGTGTAAAATTCTGCTTCTCCCCCCCTCCCTCTCTTCCATATATAGGCCCCAAATACTTGCACACGTAAAGGCATTACTGATGTATAAATCCAACAGGTTACATGTTTATATTCACAATCAAGTATGCCAGCACTTGAATGAACGGACTCTCTTTTATTGGGGTGCGTAAAGTCAGTGGGACTCCGTGTGCTCGCTGATCCATGACTTGTCTTCTCAGGGAACTACTCCAGTTCGTCCAAGAGAACGATGCCGTCGCGCGGGAGATTGCCACGAGGTGACGCAACGCATTTAATGCTTGAATTATTACGCCGCGGCTCCGTGAGGTATTAATTTTCTTCCGCTCTGTCTTCCGCACAGGGGTAAAGAATTCATCGTCGACCACCTGCGGATGCGAGACGTGTCCTGCTACTGGGAAAGACTCCTCGCAGAGTTCGGCCGCCTCCTCTCATACAAACCAAGGAGGAAGGAGAACTACAACCAGATCGTCCAGAGAGCCGGCAAGACGGAGCTATGAGGGCGACAGCCTCTGGGACCCGGGGCGGCTGTGGTGAGGGGAGAACTCTAGATGATGAATGTAAACGCTGCACCACGGCGACATCATTTCTGTTTCGAAGGAGCACCAAGTGTCGGCTATCCGCTCTTCTTTTATCTCCCCCCAATTTAGCTAGTCTGAACCTTAGTCAGTATTTGTTTGTCATAGCTGTACCTTAGTATGTGGATGTTGATACACAAATAACATATCCTTTTACAATCAAACACTTGAAATGATGAAGGCACTTGAAAATGACGAGGTTGTAAGGTTTTAATTCAATGAACATTTCACGCACAGCTGTGGAGCACATTACTCTTTAAGTTTAGACACATGAAGTGCGATGCTGACTGCTGCTCAAATATCCACCAAGGATGTACCAATAATACTAGTTATAGCTGCTGCTGCGACATATTGAATGGAGTCTAATGTATTTCAAGGCATTTCTAGAAACTGATTTGAACAATATGTAATGCTTATTTACATTTTCTTCATCCAGCTTTTTCTGTATGAAGAAAGGTCTGTTTTTTTTATTCTACTCGTGATTCTAAAAGTCCACATCCGACCTGGTTCTATTCATTTTATTAATACAAGTGGCAGGAAATCGATACTTGGTTGTATGTTTAGTACAGGGAATCTGTTGTTGACGGGGAGGTGCTCCTCTCTGCTGGACAACCGGGAACACTGCAGCCTTCAAGTGTCTTCACAACATGTCCACGTCGGGGGGAAATTACTTGTTTGTTGCAATTTTGTCGTCAATGTCTGCAATTGGAGGTTTTCTCCCGTATGTTGTTCATTAACCAGTTATTATTAAATACCTTCACTAAGTGCCAATGGTAAGCAATAATGACAACAAGGAAACCGTTGCAATTTGATCTTTTTGTGTTTCTAAGAAACGCCCTTGGAAAAGAATGTCTGTGTCGTGCTAGATGATGGATAGCTGATATATAGTTGAATATGTTGTAGTATTCATATTGTGTATATCCTTCCGCATTGATTGGATTTTTTCAATAAACCGTTTGTTGAAACCCGTACCGAGACCTCTTTATGTCCCGCGGTGCAACGCGCACCGTCGCGTGCAGTCCGCCACCGACCGGGGGCGCTGTTTGCACACGTTGTCCCTCCGCGGCCGAGGTCAAGGGTCGGAAACCCGGCTGAATACGGGAATGTCACCGGTGAGAAACAAGCAGCAGAAGGACAAATACGATGAACAGACATGTGCGGGAGGAATAGACATGTGTTGGGCTTGCGGTACTTCAAATGACCGACGGTTTTAGGGCTAAAAAGACATTCTGCTTCTCCTGCTGGTAAGCCCGTGTGTTTGTCAGAAGCTAATAGCGTGCTAAGTGTTAGCGCCATTGCTCCCGTTATCGGACAACTTGCCGTTTTTACTTTTGTTTATACAAAATAGACTACGAGGGAATGAAAACATACGACCGACAATGTCATTTAATTTCCAATTGGTATATTATATATTTTTATATATATATTTTTCGCAGCAGAAATGCGCGTTGTTAGCCAGATTCCAGCATTCCCACCAGCTGAACGACATCACGCTAATTAAGAGGAAGGCGCACGCGCAGCGCAGCGGGAGACTCAAGTCTGTCCACTGTTAGAAATGTCCATCAATCTGTCGACTGTTTAGTCAAATGTCCATCCATCTTCACAGCCGCTCACCCTTCATACAGGGTCGATCCCAGCTCGGTGTTTTAAAAAATATATGAAATAAGACACTGTTAATGACACAGGTGTTTGATATATGAAACAATTATTCGGTTGTCGGAGTTCAGTGCAGCGTGACTTCCTGCTGCGTGGCTTCTTGGTATTTCAAGGTCCCAGCAATGAAACACTGGTGTCATTTTATAGTCAATGGAGAAAACGCCTTGTGTGCCCAGTGTGTTTTCATAGGCCTCCACCATTTAACAGCTGCTCAGTTAGAAATCCAAGTGTAGCCCTGCCAGGATTTTGTTTGCCTTAAGGCTGTTTATTTTGGGTGATCCTATCCCATCCTACGGCCATGTGTTTCTGCCACAGCCCCGATGCCAGCTGAAGCGTGATGCATCCACAGCAGCCCAGAACGGCCTCGGCCCCACAGAGACGATGGGCAGATCACGCCCCTCGGGGCACTGCGAGCACCGGCTTCCTGCAGGGCTTTATCCAGAGCGTCGGGCCTCCTTCCTTCTGCCCTCTGCTCCCCAGGGTCCACGCAGCTGATGTTGCTGCTGCACAGATGTCCTCCTCCACTAGTCCTGCACCCAGCAGCATGCCAAGCCACATTGGCAGTCCAGAATTTCCAGATACAGGATGGGATCGTATCAAGGACCTCTTTGACAGAGAGTTGGTATTTCCGTTCTTAACTTCTCCCCTTATACACCGTTGTCCCCCTGCGGTCCTTATCTAGTTATATATCATCCCCCAAGTAACATTGTGTAGACAATGTGGTGATGTAGACAAGTTGATCAAGTCATCTGTGTACCAAATGGTCGTTTTAATCGAGAACATATTGATGAAAGTCATTTTTATTATTCCAGACTCTACTTTCAACCAGTTGTTCAAGTGCAAGTGATGCAGAGATACTTTTGTATACAAGAACAAATTGCTGACGGTTTTTGTTGTTCGTCACTCCAGTATTAAATGCGTATATTGTTCTCGGAGTAAAGCCTGCCTCTCTTCTCCCTGTAGCGTGACGCAACGGTACCCAGAAGAGCTGACCAACGTGATGAAGAGCGGTGTGACTGCCGCTCTAGCCGGCCTGCTCTACGGAGGCCTGCCAGCAGCTCGCCACGCCAGGCAGAGGTACATCCAAGTCAGCCAGGCGGAACTCTATACGAGCCGAGTGGAAGCAGTGGTGAGTGGCACGAAGGGAACCGTGGGAGGGGTTTTCATGTGCCGTGTGTGTGTTCCAGTGGTTGATGACTGCACTACTGGCATCGTGGTAATAACACAGCAGCAACCTAAGGATTGTGTGCTTTCGGTCTGAACAGCGCTCGGCCCATAATGCAGCAATCCGGGGCTTCGTGCGATACGGATGGAGATGGAGCTGGAGAGTGGCGGCTTTTGTCACCTTATTTAAGTAAGTAAAAAAAAAAACCCACAGATTTGTTGAAGCTCAACTCACTCACAGACAAGTGGATTTATTTTTAAAGCACCGTGCAACCAAAAGTCAATTCAGAGTCCTTTACGAATGAAATCAAAGGGAAATGTATATATATTACTTTTTTTTTTTAAATGTGTGTTCTGGTTTAGCTTGCTGTGAGGTGGCTTTTATCTCTTCCCAAAGCCCCCAGACCAGAGGTGTCAAGTAACGAAGTACAAATACTTTGTTACTGTACTTAAGTAGAAATTTTGGGTATCTATACTTTACTGGAGTATTTATTTTTCAGACGGTTTTTACTTCTTCTCCTTACATTTTCACGCAAATATCTGTACTTTCTACTCCTTACGTTTTAAAAACAGCCTCGTTACTTCCGGCTTGCCGTAGTTCAAAAACATAAAGACAAAAAACTAGATAAATGGCGCTATGCGGACAGTGAACGTGATTGTGTTTGGATGAGAAGTATAAACATGTAGCATCCAGACACCCGATTGGTTTTCTCCGCGATGCACCGGCAGATCGGAGCGACACCGGGTGGGAAAAGTGGTCTTTGGAAAGTTGGTATTTAGCGATGGACCCTCCTCCTCTTCAGATTCCATGTAACGTTAGATGAGCATCTTCATGACCGTGGGTTTGTCCTAAATGTTTTATTGAGTCTGGCACAACACAGCGACTTGCAGGTAGCGTATTAAATAAAGTGATGTGTGTCTTAATGCGGCTTTGCAAATGAACACAAAGGGATTCTGTATTTGCTCATGAAGCCTGAACATACGGGTTATTTGGCCGATGTTTTGATAACCGACCGCTGCCAGTTCAGTGTTTCCCATCATTATAAACAGAGGTTTATGACGTAGTGAACCTGGGGGAGACACTGCAGTCTACCGAATCGATGCGAACAACGTGTGTGTGACTCGTGTCACTGGAAAATGGGTTGGGGTTTTGTCTGTTTAAGTCAGATATACGTGTTGTTTTGTTGTGTCTCTGAATGTCGCCATGTTTCCACCATCTCAACGACAGGTCACGTGATCTGCGGACTGACGTGTTGTGTGAGCGAGGTCACGCATTAAGAGTTTGTCCTTAATGGAATTTCCTACATTACTTTTACTTTTATACTTTAAGTAGTTTTGAAACCAGTACTTTTATACTATAAGTAAAAAGCTCGAGTTGGTACTTCAACTTCTACAGGAGTCATTTTAAGCCCTAGTATCTGTACTTTTACTTGAGTAATAAATGTGAATACTTTTGACACCTCTGCCCCAGACTACATTAAAAAGACAGTAATTTAACCTCACAGAATACAGGAGTTTTCCTGCTCCATCACTGGCGGTTTTTTGGTGTCACCGTGTGACTTTGAGTGAACCCCTTAAACCACCAGAGTCACACGAAGACACGGACAAACTGACTGATCGTTGTGGAAACAAACAGCGCCAGTTCCCAGTCTAAAGAGGTTGTCTCACAGCAAGATACAGCACTTAAAATAAATATTATACATTGATTTGATCATTTATATTTTTAATAATTATCCTCTGTAAATCTTTGGTTTTGATTTTCTAATTCTCTCATCCGTCTTTCCCTTCAAGCTCCGTCAGCACAGGGCTGTCTGTGTACAGAGACAAGTACACCCTGGGGCATTACGCTGCAGCTGGAGGTGAGTAACGTGGGCAAGACGCACGCGGCACCCAAGGTGTTGGGTCACTCACCGTACACAGAGGACCAGTCCACCTGTGGCCGAGGCCAAGTAATGCCCAATAGTGTCCAATGGAGAATGAGTTAAAACTCACCAAATTCTCTGTCCAATCAGTTTCTTATATGACACAAGAATTTCCATAAAACATCTGATACTGACAATAATAACGAGACTTTTATAAAATTGAGTTGTGAATTATGATCTCAAAATTGTGTGTTTTGAGCAGCGGTGACTGGAGGCCTTTTCAGACTGAACCTGGGTCTCAGAGGCCTGGTGGCAGGAACAATCATCGGAGCCGTTCTGGGGTAAGTGCTTCAGCGAGGGTCCATTCACGTCCGCCGATTTTTATTTAATTTCTTTTCCCCCATTAGTCCCAAAGCATCGACTAGTTACAGTGAAAACACGGTCTGCGTTTCTTTCTCTAAATAAACCATGCATATTTCCTTGCGCTCGTGTCTGCGTTCGAGCCCGTGTGCTTGGGAGCAGCGAGACTCTGGCAGCCAGCTGTGCACCTCCCAGCGACCCTCTGCTGCCCAGCTGAACTCGCCCCCCCCCCCTCCACCCCCAACTCTGTTCATAGTGCCAGAGGGACTCATGTGCACTGCAGAGGGCCATGTTCTGGGTGCTAGAGCAAGGAGGCCGGCCAGGGCCGCAGCTGGCACTCTCCATCTACACCGTGTCTCTCATCTCCATCTACCGTGCTCTGATCCGGACTTATGCTTCGCTCCAGCTCCTCTCGCCCCTCAACCTTCTCTGTCCCACTTCTCACTTGCTCCTCTGGCCACGTTCAGCTGTGCGCGCGGAGCCGAGAGCAGATTTGAATCTGATTGTGTAATGGAGATTAAGAGCGAGGTGTGTGTGATGGTGTAGCAGACTGGAGGGGCTGGTTTGAATGGTCTGAATGGTTGGCTCAGCCCAAGTCTGTTCTCCTGTTGGCTCTGGAGTTGTATTACCTCCTCCTCCTCGCTGTCTGCCTGAGCGACCAGCCACCTGGAGCTTTCTCATGTGTGCAAACAGCCCCGGCCCGGGCTTTGCCAGGTGCAGTCGGGGAGGGGGGGAATGTAAAAGCAGGCAGCTAATCGGAAGCATTACGCTCCACATCCCGCCCCAGAATCGTCCTCTTGCCTGGGCATCGAAGCAGAGGTGTGACTGGAAGGTTTGGTTGGAGGGGCTGCAGAGGGACTCTGTAAGACACTGCTGGATGATCACACTGGTGGAACACATACAGGAGTTGCGCCATTAAAGAAGCTGCTGTGACAGCTGGGTTACAAAACACGTTATACAATAAAGGAAGGTGTGGTAGGAGTCTCTAACATACCCAGAGTCCCCAGCGTAGATATTGCAACTGAAACTCATATATTACACTAGTTGATGAACGATGGGAGTATACGGTCAATTTTCTGTTTTGAAGCATTTTAACATGTTCTGAATATGTTTGATATTTCAAATGACATAAGCCAACTTGTGCTCAGGTTTCCCGCAGGTGCGTTGATCCTCAGCATGCAGTCGATTGCAGGAGAAACAGCCAGAGAGCGGCGGAGGCGAGAGCGCAGGGAACTTTTTGACCTCCGACTCACAGAATGGTGAGATTCATTAGTAGATTTTAACCCCCATTCTTTCAAGCTTTTGTAAGATTATTTTACCCAAATTCGCATTGAAGTTTGTTGTTGTCCTGATCTGTCGTCGCTCATCAGTCACTCTCCATCTTTCAAATCCCAAGGAAGGCCCGTCTGCACTTGACAGACGAGTTGATTGGCGATCTGAAGGTCAGCTCCGAGGCAGAAGGAACCAACAAGGACATGCAAAGGATCCAGGAATTGCTCAGTTTACCACCGAATGAGGATGTGGCTCAGGACTCACGCAGCCAGTGACCGTAACAGTTCCTGCCTGTTATCTGTCGCACATTGAAGGTGGGACTTCACACAAGTGGGAGAAAAAAGTGGGTCACTTTGCCTGGATTCACACACCCTTCTCCAACTTCACATCATAATTAAAACAAACAATGTTGTGCTTCACCAACTATTGTCCTGTGTACTGCACTCCTCTCTGTGAGGACCAATTCGTTTTTTTTATAGAAAAATAGAGTGTGAGTCACTATTCAAAGACTTGGTTTCAGGGTTTGGCTCGGTTAGGGCCAGAGATAAGCATTCATGTGTAATTGTCAACGTTCACAGAGATGAAATATGTCGAAGAGGGTCCTCATATGTATGGATGTATAATCTTGTGTAAAGCAGGTTGTTACGATTGGGGGGGAAAAAGGCTTTTAATGAACGCTGTTTACGGCTACAAAAAAAGTTCCGATTTTACATTAATTAACTCCTGCAATGCTTAATACATCTTCGGATAAAGAGGCACATATTTTATATTTGGATCCTGAAAAAATTCCATTTTGTCATTGTGATAATTGAGACACAACTAACGGGCTCTAAACTTAATACCAATAATAAGTATATAATAAGTTGCGATCATAAGGGATACAACCTAATGAAGCCTTCTGACACACTCCTATATTAATACATTATAGAAGTTTCCTCAAGCTTTCAAAAAAAATATGCTTGTTTCTTTTTGTGCTTTGAATCTCCATGAATAAACAATTAAATTGCCCTACTCGTTAAAACCCCACGATTGGAGAGTGAGGTGTTTCCTCGTCCTGCCAGGACCTGGCCTTGCCTTTCTTGCCATTGTTATTTCTGGGAGTTGACAGCAGCTCATTAATGTTCAGCCCAACTCTTCATATATGAAACCTAAACAACAAATGCCAATTGACATCTATCACGAAATCGCTTCCATCTTTTCGCCACGCCTGTCCCGTGTGAAGTGTGCTTTCCGCTCCGCCTCGCGGGCTTTTCAGCAACTAGGTCAAACGTAGCGTTGGCCCCTGGTGTAAACAGCATGTGACACGGCAACAGCTGGCGCCCAGGATGCAGCAGTGACGGCTGACGTGCAGATGGACAGATTTGAGGAGCCCCTTGGTCCGCCGTGCTCTCCAGCTGGAGCTGTTCCAGGTACATATGAGGTACGTTTTCGAATTCCTTTCTAACGCTTTGCCGGCTCCGTCCCAGCTCTGTTACATAATGTGTGGGAGTAACATTTTTTCAAAACGGTTTTCTTAGAATTGTCCCTTCTACATTCCCTCGCTTAGTTTTAGGGCATGTCCTCTTTTGGGTGGAGCATTATTTTAAACGTGTAAGCCGATAAATTGTTGATTTAATGTCTGATTTAATGCCCGAGACCACTTGGGCATTACCTCGTAGAGGATAAACAGGCTTTCGGCTCCCTCTATTGATCATCCTGTGGAACTGAATATTTACCCTAAATAAAAGAACGAATACACTACATGTACGTTTATCTCTATTTCCAAAACATACGAGCTCAATCTCATTAAAAAAGATACTGGTGTTTTCAGAGAACAAATAATACAAGTGTTTTAATGTAAACTGGTATTTGGATATTCTAAAGTTGATCTGTACTGCATACAGCCTCTGAACAAATAGAAATGGAAATAAGTGTAAAGTTTTTCTACATTGACAAAGGTGAGCGCCAACGTCTCCCCATAGCATGTTTGCTTGAAGAACGCTGAACTTTTCACCACATAATTACCGTTTGCGCAGCAGAGCCTTTATCTAATGACGGATCAGTGTTGTTACGGTGGGTGTTCCACCTGGAATGCGCCTGCTAAAGAACATTGTGAAGAGTTTTAACTGCTCACATGTTGCACGTGTAGCCGGTTTGGGGTCAGGAGGGGAATGCAACGTCAGCCAAATACCTCCCGGGTAGAGAACACCAATTAGGACAAATTCCACATATGCCCCATTGACTGAACATCACATGCAAGGTTGCATGTGAAGATCGCTGTTTGTTATGAAGGAGGAGAAAAAGCGTCAAATGCTGCCTTTGTGTTCAGCTCGTAAACAGGAGCTCTTGCCCGAACGGCATATTCTGCCGGTTGTGCATGGCCTTTAGAGGGAACCCTCCAATCCCAAATGTAAACCAAAATCGGCATTGAATAATTCGTCTCGGCTTTAAAGTTACTCACTTGCTATTACTACGTATAACTGATGGTGTGACTGCAGTGCCTCTAGTAGCGGCAAGTGCATTTTTTTGATTTTATCGGAGCACTGAAGCGCTCCTTCGCGGTTCCGCCCTTCGGGCGCCACATCCGGTGATTTCATAAAATCCCCATTTAAACATCCAATTTGTCCCCTTTCTGGGGAGCCGCCGGCGTTTCTCGGGGACAACGTGTCGGAACAGCTCGACGCTGCGAGCGCAAAGGCCGATTTTCCGACGTAACGGGATGCTCGCCAACTACACACGTACTCATGACCTCACGCGCCAGCGAGCTGGTGCGTCCGGCCATTCGAGCGCGGTCTGTCCGGGCCGGCCGACCCGAATGAATTAGTGGCATCAAACGATGGATATGAATAAAAAAGACTGCAGACCGAACCCGCTGGCCGCCGCCGGCCTGCTATCAAGGGTCTTTATGTGGTAAGTGCTCAATGCCGCGTTAACGGGGAGGGAATCCTAACTTTATCAACCTGTTGGGGTGTAAATAGCGTGGTTCATGGCCGTAAATTGTTCTCCTCGCGCTCCCCTGGTATCAAAGATGATTTATTCCATCCCCAGAAATGATCTCGAGATGTTCAACTAGTTTGTTCTTTAAGACTCACTTTCAAATGTTGTAATGCCGTTTTAGTAGATCGACATGGACTAGATGGAGAAGATGTTTGCCACAATACATTGTTGAGGAAACTCAAAGCTTTTTTCTTCAAATTGAGTATAAATCTATTTTATTCCCCTCTTAGAATAAATCATTATTTTATACATAGCATGGGAAATAATGATAGTGACACAAATGATGACGCATTTGTCAGTCTTGACAAAACGTTTAAATTGACAACGTTGTTTTCGTTGTCAGGTCCACTGCCGGTGTTGGTGGAATGCATTAGATCATCTATATGTGCCAGATATCTAAATATATCTATTTAGAGACTTCTGCAATGAACGACGACCTGTAAAAAAAGCACAGGGTCGGAGATCCGACAGACAGCTGAGGGTGACATTTAATAGCTGCAGACTAAAGGTGTTGTAAAAGGACTTTAAACCCGCAGGTGCCTGCGCCGCACTAATCCTCCGACTCTTAATCCAGAAGAAAGTGCTAATAAATGTATAACGTCGCCCGTGTGAGAGCGCGCAGCGGCGCGTTCAGGTGCCGCTCGGACGAACCCGTCTCAGAGTTGGAAAGTTGTCTTGTTTTTCAGATGGAGGTGTCACGTGTACACGGAACGAACGCCGCAAAGAGGATATATATATACGTATAAAACCTTGATCAGCTTTTGTTCTGATTTATCAGTGACTTAATAGGCGGGGATTATTTTCCCAAATACTACGTGAGGTCACGAAAGTGAACGCGTTGCGTCCTGGAACGAAAGTTCACACAAAGACAAAGACAAACACAAATGTAGCCGCCTCGCGGATATATTTAACTATATGTTGACCTAACGTTAGTGCGCGTGTTTAGTGTTAAAACGCGTTCGTGAGGGTTCGTGGGTCATATAGTGTTACTGAGTAGCTGTTGGGTCTAGATTTGTGGTGACTGCGCAAATGTTACATCACTCCCTAAACAACTCCCTAACTAATCTTTGGATCCCCACAACTTACACCACCTGTTGCCACTCAGAATGTAAAGTCGTCTCACATGCGCTCTTCCAGGAATGTGAAGTCGTGTGGGATTCATTTGGCACAGTTACGTTGAGTAATGTTTAATTCATGCAACTGCAAGCTGTTGATTTCCTCCTGCACTCAAAGTATGTATGAAGTGTATTTCCGTTTGGCCAGTAGTGAGCACCAGTTTTAAAATTGTAAGGTTCCCCCCTAAATGATGTCTAAATGAAATTTGCATCTAGATTCAATATATCCAAGATTAGATAAGGGACGATTGTCCTTTGTGTGACAAGGGAGATAAAGTAGGCGTCTCAATAGATGTAATCATTTACTGTGACAATATCAGTTTAGAGAAACGCTGTAGCACATTTGCTGTTAAACCTGACGGTAAGACGTCACTATAATTCACATCCACAGTAATAACAGATTAACAACTTCAAACATCATCCAGGCAGGGCCAGATTATGTGGATGTGAGCGACGACGACGCAAAGGTAGAGCGTCCTAAATCAGTCCTTGGTAAAACGTTCATGGCAGTTTAGCAACAAAATGTGTGCAGAATAAATATTGAACGAGTCCTGTATCCGGGTGCTCGCTCTCGATTTTGGGTATTGTAATGTATTAACATATGTTGTCACCAATGATTTTCTCTGCACTCCTGACTGTTGTCTGTTTTATGATCCGAATCAAGCAGTGATGGATACAACAGATTGTTGCAGGCCGTGCTACGCATTTGTGTCTGTCTGTTGGAAGTCCACTAAGAGATGGGAAAGTTGAAGGCCCCCTCGACAGTGTTGTTCAGCACGGGGGTCGGTAGGGAGGTCGACAGAAATGTTAAGAGCGTTAACAGAGCCATGTATGTAATTAGTTTTCTATCACTGGTTGCCTGCCATCTAATCCACTTAAAAGTAATTGAATGCATTTGCCCATCCTGCTGTCCATGCAGTCCAATTCTTACCATCTATTGGCGAGAAAAGACCTGCTGATGTGTTACATTGGTTGTAGCAGCAGTAAGAAAATCAAACCGGGTCTCATTCATACGGTCTGACTGACGTAAATCGCCCAGGGCTGCTGTCTTAACTGCGTTAAGAACTGTCTGTTTCAGCTGGTTGACCCCGTTGATGTACCATGGCCACAAGCAGAGCTTGGAGGAATGTGACATGTTCAGCGTTCTTCCAGAGGATCAGTCGGAAATACTGGGAGAGGAACTCCAGAGGTACCAGGATGCATCACATTACTCTCAACGCTGTTCTGTCTGCAGAAATGTCCCAACCGAACTGAGTTGCGACATTAACTTTTCTTAAGAAAACGACTAATGTGTAACAATTGGGACATTTCCAACCGGGAGATGCAGCACTGGCTAGCCTTGCTAAAGAAGCTAATCACTATGTTGCTCGCCCTTATCGACTCCCCACGCCATCACCATGGTTACCAACCTGACACTGGCCACCAGCGCCTCTTCCCTCCTGGCCACCATCAAACGGGACCATTTTAGGCCTTAGCCAATTTAAAGCCCCGCTTACAAGTCATGTGCACACACGAGCCAGCTTTTTCCCGTCATGTTACCCAACAGCCAGAGCTTGCCAATCATTTTTGCTATGACTCATTTAGTAATACTACGGAATCCTGAGCAGGAATACGTCAATAACCGTTGACACTCATTCACTATTTCCCATTGCAAAATGAGTATGCCTTTTGATCTATTGCAGAATTTGGGACCGTGAAGTTAAAAAGGCCACAAAGGAACTCAGGAAGCCAAAGCTCTCCAGAGCTCTCATCAAGTGCTACGGGACGTCCTACGCGCTGGCTGGGATTTTCACTTTTACACTGGTACGTTTAGGCTTTCAAAGACTCCTTCACGTATTTTGTCAGATTAATTCCTTATGCCAAGAAGTACGTTGGTTAACCCAGAGGCATTTATCCTAAATAAAGGAAAAGCTTTCATCCTGAAAGGTCAATAGTGTTTGTTTTCTGTGAGGTAAAGAAATTAAAATGTTTTTGTGGAGCATAGTAACTAAAAAGGACCCAAGCCAGAGACCAGTTCCATATGATTTGTAGTCATAGATGTCTCATATTTTGCAAGCATAACTGATTCTCCAGACTCCATGCAATGAAGCGATGAGCTATTTATTCTTACTGGGACCACCAGGATAAAGGTCCAGATTGTATTTGATGAACTGGAAGTCTTTGCCAACTGTCAGCAATGCCTATTTTCATATAGGAGGCAATCAAAGTGGTCCAGCCACTTCTTCTGGGGAAAATCATCCTGTACTTTGAGAACTATGACCCAGACGACCAGACGAGTCTTCACGAGGTTTATGGTTACGCTGCTGCGATGTCCCTCTGCACTTTCGGCCTGACCATCCTCCAGCATCTCTACTACTACCACGTCCAGAGAACAGGCATGAAGATCAGAGTGGCCATGTGTCACATGATATACAGGAAGGTCGGCTGAGATTTTGCAGATTTTGGCTATTTCTAGAAATATACCGCGACTATTCTCAGCAGTGCTAAGCAGATGAAATGTCTCTCGCCAGGCTCTCGGTCTCAACAGTGAATCATTGGTGCACACGACCACGGGACAAATTGTGAACCTCCTCTCCAATGACGTCAATCGCTTTGATGAGGTAATGTAAAGCGGGGGTTCTGCCTAAACCACCAACACGGATGATCACAGATCTCATGACGATCAATTGTCTCTCTAGATTACACTCAACCTGCACTACCTGTGGGTGGGACCTCTTCAGGCGATGGTTATCATCCTTTTACTTTGGTACGAGATCGGACCGTCATGTCTGGCCGGTGTGGCCGTCATGGCCCTCATGCTGCCTGTGCAGACCTGGTTTGGAAAGCTCTTCGGCGTGTTCAGGTGGGGAACAACATGACCTGACATTCGTTGTTTGGTCTTTTTTTTTTTTGCCAATACTTTTCTTGGGAAAAGCACGATTTATTTTAATTCATGCAATTTGTATAAATATTTTGCAGGAGTAAAACTGCAGTCCTCACTGACAACAGAATCCGCATCATGAACGAGGTGGTGTCTGGCATCAGGATTATCAAGATGTACGCCTGGGAGAAGCCCTTCTCTGCACTGGTCACTGAAATCAGAAGGTAAGAATGAAAATTAGTGTTACTCTTTTGGGGTATTGATTCTTCCTAGGACCACCAGGACAAGAGTTCACGTTCTAATTTTTTTTTTGCGCCGTCCTTTTACTGGAAAATACACGTAAATCGGTTGAATTTCCAAATTACCAAATGTAATGACCTATAGGATAAAGTGCCTCTACAATAAAAGGAGTCGGAAGCCTTGATGGGCGAGTCTGATTAACAACGTATGCTTGTATTTTTGCCTGAAAGAGTTTGAATCAGGGGATGTGCTCTCACTTGTCAAACTGGTTTCTTTGACTCCGCTCCAAGTCTCTGGAATGTGTAGAGAACACGGCGAAGTCAACTGACAGTCTGCACACGCTACACCTCACGGCTTGCTTCAGATGTCACTCTGCGTTACTTTGGATTTCTAATCAGTTTTGCCCGGATAAATATTTCACCATGACAACCCAAACCCTGTTTCTGCGCGGGGGGGGGGGTGGGGGGGTTGTGGTGAGGGGAAGTGTGGTACGCTTTGGGTGAGAATGTGGGCTCGTCAAGATGAGATTGTTTTAAGTTGCATATATTCTTATCGGTTAATCAACAGCAAGAAAGTACTTTATTGCATCTAAAGGTGAGCAGTAGTCAAACACATGACAAACAACTTCTTTGTCGTTTGGTTTCTGTGGCTGGTTTTAACTTTGAAGAGGCCCGTGAGTTACAGGCGCGAGCTTTGGATAATGAGTGATCGACGTGTTGCTCGTTTACACATTAACTCCATTTGGAAAGCGCGTCCCTGAAGTACTTTGTCTCACATATTGGCATCCAGTGGTGAGATGACTACGTCTGCAGAATTTCCCCCCCGATTCGTCAGTTTTGTGATCTTCAAATTAGAAACGCAGCACGCTGAATTCTCTTGCTCTCCGCTGCTCGTTCGGTTGACGGTGTAACTGCTGTAATCCGCTGCTGCCTGCAGGAGTTTTTACGTGGAACCAAATTGTCCTCATTCTCACTTTTTGGTGAAGGGCTATCGGTGTGATGCATTAACACTATTGTGACCTCCATAGGAATTCAACGGCTTTGCCATTTCTTTATGCTTCTCACAGGTCTGATGGAGGAAAATGTTGTGTGAAAAGTACTGAATTTTATGTGAAATGCATCGTCTGTTTTGGGGTCCGCGCGAGCCTTGTTTTTGTTATTCCGTGTTTGTTTGGAGCATGTGATGCTTTTTGATGCAGTTTGAACAAACAACAAAGCTCAACCTCATTTTATCCAATACATACCTGAGAAACCGCAGTAAAACTAAGATGAGCTGCTCCCATCACTGGGGATGAGTGCTGTATTCTGGGATCTCCACATGCGTTCTTAGAAAAAGAGTTAATGTGCAAATGAGGTTAGCTGAAGATTAGTGTTAAAAAAAACACCATCCTCAGGTCACTGTTTTCTCACACAGCAAAGCCATAAAAAAACTGAAAAGGAGCATGAAAAAGAATGTACGTCAACGGAGGTGCCTATCGAGGAACCAATGAATATTGGTGTCTGATGTCACGAACCACCGACTCGAATGATTAACCACATCGAAGAGGAGCGGACTTTAGTGGGGTTTTTTCTTCTTATTCTGTGTGCGCAAAAAAACAAGCGCCATGACGGTCGCATGAATGTCCGGCGCCACCTCGGTCGATTCACCCGAGTCAACGCGTTGTGCTTCTTACACACAAGACGTTTGTTTTCCGTCTCTGATCCCTGCAGAATGTCCCTGTCAGACTACAGGTGTGAGATGGTCACGAGGGGGAACATTTCCTCGTCTCGTCAAGTTCTTTTGATTATTGTAGAAAAAGAACACTTCCATATTTCTCTCTTGCTAGCAATATAGCAGATATTTTTTTAATTGGGACTTTCCCACCAAGCGTTGCTATCAGGTGACGGTGGAATTAGATGACCCGAGTGGTTTGAGGTGCGGCCGTGTCTGACGTCAGCAGCTTTTAGGATGATCGCTGTGCCAAAAATAACAAACCTGGTTAAAAGTTAAACTCTGCTGCCAGTTAATAATGAAGTACTGTCTACTGTTCATTGGTGAGGGCGAGAGAAACGGATTTCTTGTGCCGTTTTGTTAAACATTGTTCACCATAACGAGACAAACACATTTCAACAAGTTCAGTAGTGCTGAATTTAAATGTTTCATTACTCAAAACTTCAGAGGAATTGTCTTGACAACAATATTGTTGCTGTTGAAAAATTGTGGGACTATTAGTGGGACTACTAATTGCACAATATTGCGTCATATTCTTAAACTCATTATTACGGACTAATAGAATTGGTTACGGTTGTGTAATCAGAGTTTTCACTTTGCCTAAGCGGTTACTTCATGAGTCCCACGCATTTCCCAATGTACGCAACGGAAATAAAATACCTTCTTTAAAAAAAGGTTTTAACAGCATAAAAATGTATTGAAAACCCCTCCAACAAGAGAATGAGATGAGCCAAAACTGGTGTGCGACCATAAGCATTAGTCTGTTTCGTCACAGTAACCAATGCAACCAGTACAGTCAACTATACTGGTTCGAAAAGACCCCCCCCCCCCCCCCCCCACTTGTTTTTCATAGAGAAGGATTCAGGAATAGATGTGTAACCTAATCTGGTTTATTTTATTATGGAATATCTGCATTCTAGAATATGTGAAGCATTAAGGTTGTTGGTCCTGACTGCCTCAACCCTCAAAAACAGATTTAAAAAAAATGTCTTAACCCGCCAAGCTCACTTCTCTCGTCTTCCTCTGTCCCCAGGAAAGAGATCGATCAGATACTGAAGAGCTCCTACCTGCGAGGACTCAACATGGCCTCCTTCTTTGCCAGCAGCAAGATCATCGTCTTCGCCACCTTCACGGTCTACGTTCTCCTGGGCAACGCCATCACTGTCAGCCGGGTGTTTGTCACGGTGTCCTTGTACGGGACAATCAAGCTCACGGTCACGCTGTTCTTCCCCCTGGCCGTCGAGAAGCTGTCGGAGACGGTGGTCAGCGTTCGCAGGATTAAGGTGATTCTGTCTGTAGTCCTCAATAACGGAGAAATGATTTGCTTTCGCTCCTGTGTCTTTTCATAATAACTGTAGCAGTTTGAATCTCGCAGGAAACTAAATCCTTTCAAACACAGAACCCTTTTTTATGAATATAACCATTGAAAATATACGCAGCATTTCAGAAAACTTGGGGCATCGCTTCTTCAGCAGCAATCCAACTCTTATTTTGCCATCGAGATCCAATCTAAATTGACCTCTTCTGGGACACTGTTACACAACCTAAATGTCAAAATGCTAATATGTAAAGAGTTAACTGTAAAAACACTAAGTGTAAAGGCGTTTGTCGATTATTGTCCCCTCTCAGGCTTTTCTACTGCTGGAAGAGATTGAGAGAAAAAAGATTGGTTTTTGTCGGAAGGAAAAAATAGAAAACTCTGTTGAGATTGAGGAGTTGACCTGCTACTGGAACAAGGTGAACTCTCTACACAATGGGCTCAAATACCAGACTCTTAATGGAAGAATTGCTTCACGGTCTGTTTGCTCTTTCGTCTCAGAGTTTGGACTCCCCATCGCTGCAGAACATCTGTATCACGCTGAAGTCGCACCAACTTCTGACCGTCATCGGCCCGGTGGGAGCTGGAAAGGTCGGTGCGCTCGTAACAACCAAGGAAGGTTTCATTTATTCACGTGACCCATTTCAGCCAGTTCACGTGTCCATAAAAATCCATGTTCCCACTAGTCATCTCTGCTAAGCGCCATCCTGGGAGAGCTGCCTCACGACGCAGGCGTCCTGAAGGTCAAAGGTCGGCTGACCTACGCTTCCCAGCAGCCCTGGGTGTTTCCTGGAACCATTCGCAGTAACGTCCTGTTTGGGAGAGAGCTGGACCCCAAGAAGTATGAGACGGTCCTCAGGGCCTGCGCTCTGAAGAGGGTGAGACGCCGCCCTCTGGGGGCCACGTCTCTGAACGCCGCTCACCGTGTTGCCTGCTTTCCTCTTCAACGGGACTAACAAGCACTTGTTTGTGTGTCTTCTTTAAAACTGAATAGTTAAAGATATGCTGTTACAATCAAAACTCCTATATTTAAAATGCGCTTAAGCAAAACAAAGTATTATCTCAAAAGGAAAAGGAGGAAAATGCGTAACCTTAAAATTGTACTTCAGCACAGTATTTTTTAATAAACCTCCATCGTCTTTCTGTGCAGGACCTGGAGCTCCTCCCAGATGGAGACCTCACTCTCATCGGGGACAGAGGCGCTACACTCAGCGGGGGACAGAAAGCTCGCGTCAACCTGGCGAGGTAAAGGAGCCGTTCCCACTACCATCTCTGTGTGGACTTGATTGGTGCAGGACAATAAACGCAGTATGAAATGTATAAATAGCAAACAAAGGACGTGTTTAGTGTCTGTTCAAAGTGTTTTTACAGTTGTCCAGGAAACTGATAACGTACTTGATTGTCCTGGGGACGCTCTTCAGCTAGTAGCAACACATTAAGTCCCCTCCTGTTGAACTGTGCTGCTGTCCGGGATAGACTTTCTTTCCACTGTTGGAGAGAAAAACTAGTGTTTGCAGTCGTATCGTGTGGTTGCGTTTCTACTACTACTTACCCATCATTGTTACGCCTTACTAAACTGTGTGTGTGTTTGTGTGTTTTCAGGGCTGTGTACCAGGATGCAGATGTCTACCTCCTGGATGACCCTTTAAGTGCTGTGGATGCCGAGGTCGGGAAACACCTTTTTGAAAAGTCAGTGACTGACATTGTCCGTCCCGAATGATCTGTTGTGCTCGTGTTTCAAATACCTGGGCCGGACGTGTCCATCAAACAAACAAGTTCCCCGAGCTACACTACGTACATGCTAACTGAGCAACCCAGCACACTGTTTTTAGGAACAAGTGCAGACAATTGTTGACATCCTTTACCATTTTAAACCGCCAGGAAATGATACAGAACCAAGAGGGAAGGAGACTAGTTGAGCTTCCCATTCTTTCAAATACTGTCATCTGCAGACCTGCACTCATAGGAAGGTTCTACTGAGGGACCAGTAGAATGAAGGCTGCATCAGGAGTCTGGAAGGGTATTTTTGAGCGTATAGCCAATTCAAATGGGACGGCATCTGCCTACATGTTTGTGATTTATATCAGCAAAGACCTACCAACAAGCTGTGGTTTTCTAACGGAGGTGGTTTATGAGAAGAGGTTAGAACAAGGAGACCTGCAGCAGAGAAGCATGCCTCCCAACAGCTAATGCGCAATATTAGCTTTGTAAGCTAAACATTACGCCAAGTTTTCTCATTCTAAGAGGAAATCCTTGGAGAGTCACTGCCAGTGAAACCAGGAAAATATATTTATATATGTATATGTATGTATATATATATGTATATGTCTCAGCTAAGTGGTCGTCATCCACCATAACTCTGCCTGTGCTCATGCTCAGGTGCATCTGTGGCCTCCTGAAGAACAAATCTCGGATCCTGGTCACCCACCAGCTGCAGTACCTGAAGGCAGCCGACCAGATTGTGGTCCTCAAGGAGGTAGAACCAGATATCCAGATCCGAAGGCAATGCCAGGACCGACATGTTTGAACGTCAAATCCTTTGTCTCGCGCCCTAAAGCGATCGTAGTGTAGGCCGACAATCCTCTTCTGAATGTGTTCATTTTAGTTCTTTGTTAAACTTTGGTCATTACAAGTAACTGGTAAGGAGTTGTAATGCAACCATATATATATATATATATATATATATATATTCAAAACTTGATGTAACAGAACATCAGCTTTCTTTTTTCTTTATTATGAAATTAATCTTAAATTCTGAGTTGCCGAGGATTCACCCTACGTGAACGCGCCGTTGTTCTCCTCTGTGTCTCCCAGGGTCACATCATGGCCCGCGGCACTTACAATGAGCTGCAGTTCTCTGGCGTCGACATCGACGCCCTGCAGAAGATCAACGAGGAGCAGAAGCGATGCGCTCTGCTGTCTGACCCGGACAACGCGTCCTTACTCAGCCAGAGGACGAACCACTCGCGCTGCTCTGACAGCAGCCTGCTGCCCCCAGAAAGCCCCTCAGCCGACCAGCTGCCGGTGCGTCCTGTTCATTTGTTCATCACTTGGTTCTAAACAACGTCTCGGTCTATCCCACGCTACCTGATACCTGACTGTTTCCTTCCAGCACGGCCCTTTCTCATACCTCTCCTTGGGTTGGACTAGGCCTCTGTAGTATACCAGCACAGAGCTGATAACTGAAACCCTCTAAGATAAGGTTTAGAGTGAAGTTTGCTGCTGGCTCCTCAATGACTCTGTTTGCAGGTTGAAGCCGTTCATACCATGGCGGAGGAGACCAGAGCCGAGGGGAACATCAGCGGTGACATTTATCTGAAGTACTTCTCTGCAGGCTGCAGCCCTCTGGTGTTGATGGTGATCGTTCTGCTGAGTGTCATCGCTGAGGTAAGACAAACTGTCCTCTGGTTGACAGCGTGGTGTCTGGCTTCAGTTTGTGGCTTTATGTTGGGAACACAGTATCTATGACAGCACTGGCATCAGCTATTGAATACAATATTGTGTTTCTTAAATATGCTCCTTCCTAGCTGCTGTTGAACAACAGATGGTTTTACAGGGAGTGTGCTATGTACAAATACTAATTCTCATTCCTCATTCATAGGTTGCATATATTCTGCAGGACTGGTGGCTGGTCTACTGGTAAGTATTGATTTATAGATGCTGTTTGTTTCTATTGAGTCTTCTGCTGTGTGGCTGGTCTGACTTGTTTTCCTCTGACAGGGCACGACAGGAGTTTCTTAACTGCACAGCCGAACCCATTGGAATCGACACAAGCGTCAATGCTACTCACCCAGTTCAAGAGCTCAATCTCAAATTTTACCTCGGGATTTATTCGGGTAAGCCTTCCATGCTTGTGTTCAGCAGCACAGAGGCTGACTGACTTGTTTCAGTCAGTGATAGTTGGTAGCTGACAATGGATGAGCACCTCCTACAGCCCCACTGCACCCTTTTTAATTGTAGCATGTTCCACCTAAATGTACCTAAATGTCTAAAGCGGCCCTGTGGTTGCTGCTCTTAGGTTTGACAGCGGCTGCCGTGGTATTCGGCTACACCAGGAGTCTGGTGATCTTTCGAGGGTTGGTGATGTCCGCTCAGGTTCTGCACAACAACATGTTCAGCGCTGTCCTTCAAACTCCCGTTCACTTCTTTGACGTCAACCCCATAGGTGAGCTCGGATCAACATGAACAACTGCACTCGGTTCTCAAAAGTAGCAATTGTTATTCTAACTGACTTTTTCTTTTCCTGCTCTACAGGAAGAATTCTCAACAGGTTTTCCAAAGACATCAGCCAGATTGACTCCACGTTACCCATCACCTTTGTGGACGTCTATCAAGTGCGACCCGTTTACCATTTCCTTAGGAATACTTTTCTGACACAGTGATCCAGACAAATTACATTGACTTCTCCACTTTCAAACTTTTTTGATAAGATCTTAATTTTTCTTAACTCTTCCTTTGTTTTCTGCAGTTGTTCTTTCAGAATGTTGGCGTTGTTGCAGTCGCTGCCTGTGTCATCCCTTTCATCCTCATCCCCGTCATTCCTCTGCTTGTTGTCTTCTTGTACTTGAGGCGTTTCTACCTCTGCACGTCGCGGGATGTCAAACGACTTGAATCTACAAGTACGTCGAAGGCTTTCTTGCAAAAAGGAAACCACCTGCTTCTATCAGCAGGGGCCTTCTAAAGAAAAAAGATGGCAAGGAATCACGTTGAGTTCCTCATGTCTTCTGTTGCCGTCCCCCCAGCTCGCAGTCCGGTGTTCTCCCACCTGTCGTCATCTCTTCAGGGCCTGTGGACCATCCGAGCCTTTGGAGCAGAGGAGCGGTTGATGAGAGCCTTTGACGCACATCAGGACCTGCACTCGGGTTGATGCCACTATTATCCTGTTAACACATTTTTTCTGTCCAAGCTTGTTCATGGTTGGAAAGCCATTGACAAAGGAACATGTAATTCCTCGCGCCATTGGAACCCTGAATAAAACATCTTGAAGGTCTTTTCTAAAAAAAGCTACTTCACTCTTTTTGATGTCAGAGGCCTGGTTTTTGTTCCTGATGACCTCCCGCTGGTTTGCGCTTCACCTCGACGCCATTTGCGCCCTACTCATCACCTTCTCGACATTTGGATGCATCCTACTCCGAGATGGTGGGGAACAACGTGAAACCAAAACCTTGAATGTCATTTAACTACAAAGAATAATGTCTTTCTTTTGAGTTTGAGACCCCTGATCTACAGTCACCTGCATGGTGAACAGACTTTGCGGATTTTTTAATCTCTATCCAATTGCAATCGGTTTGTCGATTAGGGCTGAAGGCTGGAGAAGTGGGCCTGGTGCTGACCTACGTCGTGACCCTGGTGGGAAACTTTCAGTGGACGGTGAGGCAAAGTGCCGAGGTGGAGAACATGGTGAGAACTCTTAAACAACCTGAGGTCACAGATGTGAATAAAGACTTTGTGCATTAATGAGCTCCTTCTGTCTCTTCAGATGACCTCGGTGGAGCGAGTGGTGGAGTACACTGAACTGGAGAGCGAAGCACCCTGGGAGACTGAGAAGCGCCCTCCTCCCGATTGGCCCAGCAAAGGCCTGGTGACCTTTGACCGGGTCAGCTTCTCCTACAGCAGGGGTGGACCGCTGGTCCTCAAAGACATCAGCGCCACCTTTCAGCCCAAAGAGAAGGTAAGACATCTCTGTCCAACACACAGGCTATTCTTTTTTTTTTTTTTTCCCCCAATGCACACAATCTAATTGTCGTTTCCCGTGTGTCAGGTCGGCGTTGTGGGTCGAACAGGTGCTGGGAAAAGCTCTCTGGTCTCCGTTCTGTTCCGCCTAGCAGAGCCTCAGGGCAAGATCTACATCGACGGGGTCCTGACCTCTGAGATCGGCCTCCACGACCTGCGCCAGAAGATGTCCATCATTCCTCAGGTAAACATCCGCTCACCTCGCAAACTGAAAAAACCCTCCACCTTAGAAGTCTTTCCTGTAGATAATTTGGTTAGGAGATGCAAAATATTGAAATCAAACGAAATGGATTCAGATCGTGGATCTCTAAAGGTACAGCATTCTATTCAGAAAGGACTTTGAACACATTAGGACTACAATAGACTTTGACCCAACACTGAATTCTCGTTGCCTACCAAAACACTTGAAATAAGAATATTATTTCTAGATCCCACGAGGGCCTTTATGAAAGTGTCAATTATCAAATGAGGACTGGTTAGATTTAAATTTAGGTTAGTAAATTTCAATGCAAATGCACCAATTCCAGTGAAAGTGTGTTGTTGGTTTCTTTATTACTCCGAAGCAGAAGGCCTGCTCTATATTTGATACACTGCCATATATTTTGAGTGTTTTAAACATTTCTGGATGGAATTTCAACAAACTAAAAATCATACCCGACCTGCTCCTGCTATTCCTTACTGGGGGTTGTGAAGAATACATGGGAAGCATTTTAATAAAAACGTGTCCCTTTTAAACGTCCAGCGTGTGGTTCTAATTATGTTTCTGTCATTCCACAGGACCCGGTGCTGTTCACAGGCTCCATGAGGAAGAACTTGGACCCGTTCGACCAGCACAGTGATGAAGAACTGTGGAAGGCTCTGGAGGAGGTAAGCGTCAGCTCAGCTTTCAAGAGTGGAGTTTCTAGCTGTCACTCAAACACACTCTCACTGTATTCCAGGTGCAGATGAAGCCTGTGGTGGAGGAGCTGCCGGGGAAGTTGGAGACGGTTCTGGCCGAGTCGGGCGGCAACTTCAGCGTGGGCCAGAGGCAGCTGGTGTGTCTGGCCAGAGCCGTACTGAGAAAGAACCGCATCCTGGTGATCGACGAGGCCACAGCCAACGTGGACCCCAGGTGGGGATCCATAATGCACTTCATGATACCGCTGGTTCGTTGTCACCCCTTTAGTTTGTTTCAATGCTCAATTCGTTTTTATCTGTACCGTCTGCAGGACGGATGAGCTGATCCAGAAAACGATACGGGACAAGTTCAGTGAATGCACCGTGCTCACCATCGCTCACCGGCTCAACACCATCGTAGACAGCGACAGGATACTGGTGAGCCTCCTCTGCATTACTATTAGAAACGAGTCTCTCAAAGTAAATTTCCTGTAGTAATTCCACATATGTAAGAATTAAGACCTCGACAGCGTCTGAGCAATGCAAGCGGTACTTTTTTAAAAGCTAATCATCAACGCCGTGTGTCTGTTGCTATGCAGCATAGGGGGAGTATTTTGACTTCTGAAATGTGTTCCATGTTTGGTGGATAGAATTACATATACAACCTGTCCTGTTTTAAGGTGCTGGACAATGGTACCATCCAGGAGTTAGACAGTCCTTTTACCCTGCTACAAAACAAAGAGGGGGCTCTCTACAGGATGGTGCAGCAGACGGGCCCGGCCGAGGCAGCAGCCCTACTAAAATTAGCCAGGCAGGTGAGGTCCGCCGCCCCCGATTAAAATATGCACTTTAGATCATTTTGAACTGGGAATTTATTTTTCACAGGCAATAAAGAAGTCTTGACAGCTGAGCCAGACATAAGTAGTGTGAGACCTTCCATCACACTCAAAGAAGATGCCCAATCTACCTGCTAATGATTGCCCTTTAATCATATTTATCAGTGCTACACGAATAAGCTGGTCTTCCCATGCAACTGTATAAAAATGTTTCTATGATACTTCCAGAACAGTTACAAATGGTGCTTTAATTGACTCAAACTTTTGTATAGAATTTATCATAAAGATTATTCAAAGTCAAATTGTCTGATCTTTGTCTTGTTAAACAGTTGCCGAGTCCTTCAGGGAAAAATGATCCTCATAAGGTAAAAACTTTTCCTTTTGTGTACATATAGATTAAGCTCGTCAGAATCCTGAACACCTAGAAAAGAACCATAGTAGCATGTTGGGAAAATTAAGTAAAACGAGCCATAAGACATTATCCAAAGTATATAAATTCTATATTAACAACAGTACTTTATTCAAGTTTTGAAGAGATCATAGATTTTTAAACAGTCATAGCAGCTGTGTTCAGATTGTCACCTGACCTGTAAACTTCAAAATCAGCAACACATCGTTAATAGTACAAGGCAATTTCAGGTAAATGCTGCCAACTTGAAATAAGGCACTTTAGAACTGTGAGGATTATGCTGCCAAGGCCATATATTAGACATTGAAAATAAATAGTGTGCTTGTATTTGGCTTTGCTGGAGTCCAGACGAGTCAAAGGCTCACAGAGCAGTCTCAAAGATAATGATGTTTGGCGACTCTGTATATTCGTCGCTATGGGTTCTTCTGTCGTGCACCTGAAGAGAGACGTGGTAAACAAAGTGAGATTGGGTTGGAGGTGAAAACGTTTTGCACAAAGCCGGTTTAAACTCACCCGTTTAGCGGCGGCTAGTAGAGCTGCAGCCTCCTGCTTGCCCGTCTGCTGCACCATTTTGAAGAAAATCCCCTCGGTGTCTTGCAGTAGGTTGTAAGGCTGATCATAGGCGTGAATTCTCCCTGCGTCAAGGACCTGGAGATAAAGCACGATTGTTATCATTTCAGAGTAAAGGGAAAATAAGCATTGTTTAACACCGGCCATATTACATTATTTAAACAAGACCGATGGCTCACCAGTATCCTGTCGCTGTCTACGATGGTGTTGAGCCGGTGAGCGATGGTGAGCACGGTGCATTCACTGAACTTGTCCCGTATCGTTTTCTGGATCAGCTCATCCGTCCTGCAGACGGTACAGATAAAAACGAATTGAGCATTGAAACAAACTAAAGGGGTGACAACGAACCAGCGGTATCATGAAGTGCATTATGGATCCCCACCTGGGGTCCACGTTGGCCGTGGCCTCGTCGATCACCAGGATGCGGTTCTTTCTCAGTACGGCTCTGGCCAGACACACCAGCTGCCTCTGGCCCACGCTGAAGTTGGCGCCCGACTCGGCCAGAACCGTCTCCAACTTCCCCGGCAGCTCCTCCACCACAGGCTTCAGCTGCACCTGGAATACAGTGAGAGAGTGTTTGAGTGACAGCTAGAAACTACACTCTTGAAAGCTGAGCTGACGCTTACCTCCTCCAGAGCCTTCCACAGTTCTTCATCACTGTGCTGGTCGAACGGGTCCAAGTTCTTCCTCATGGAGCCTGTGAACAGCACCGGGTCCTGTATTCAGGAAGGAGACAAGTGGGGATGTAAGTACTGGAATTAACCTGAATACCAACCAATAGAAATGATTCAATTCTAACATGTTGTAATATTGAAGTTACAGAATGAGTAATTGGCTCGTGTGCTGTTCCTCTGCCTCAAGATTATATTACATTGCTTAACCATTTTAAAATTAACGGAAAATTGTTATTAGGCCTCTTGGTTCAGCCTTTGAGGATGCAACAGGCAGAGCGAGAGAGACTGCCTGCGTCTGACAGTAAAAGCCCCAAAAAATTATGTTACAGATAAAGAAGATAATCTTATTTCATTTAGTAAGAAAAGCTCTTTCGGAGCATTATCTAATTCAGGCTGAGCAAAGGACCCGTTTTGGTTAGGTCACGTACTTTCAGCTAAAATAAATGATGCAGATTTCATTGATTGACTTGTATGCAAGGACTTTTTTCTATTGCATAGGATACAAGCTATTTTAACTGTAACCTTAAGATATTACAGAACATGTCCAAGTATTGTGTATTTTAAAACATTGGTTACCAACATCACAACTTATTATATATAAATAAATCCCATAACATTTCTATTGGTAGATATTAGAGTAGACAGGTGAGTCCCAAGTGACGATGCAGCCTAGCGACTCACCTGAGGAATGATGGACATCTTCTTGCGCAAGTCGTGGAGGCCGATCTCAGAGGTCAGGACCCCGTCGATGTAGATCTTGCCCTGAGGCTCTGCTAGGCGGAACAGAGCTGAGACCAGAGAGCTTTTCCCAGCACCTGTTCGACCCACAACGCCGACCTGACAAACGGGAGAGAAGCCCCTGGTTTAGTAATTGCAGCTTCAACATGGCGTTCACTGGATACACGAAAATATAAAGACCAACCTTCTCTTTGGGTCGGAACATTGCCGTCATGTCGTGCAGAACCGTCGGTCCGTCGCCACCGTAGGAGAAACTGACCCCGTCAAAGGTCACCAGGCCTTTGTTGGGCCAATCGGGAGGAGGGCGCTTCTCAGTCTCCCAGGGTGCTTCGCTCTCCAGTTCAGTGTACTCCACCACTCGCTCCACCGAGGTCATCTGAAGACAGCAAATATGCATTACACCCTCGTGGCCAGGAGGTTGATTATAAATTATAATCATGCAATGAGGAAATCAAATTTGGGAACGTGTTGTAAATATCTTACCATGTTCTCCACCTCCGCACTCTGCCTGACCCCCCACGGGAACATCCCCATCAGTGTGACTGCGTAGGTCAAAGCCAGACCAACGGAGCCAGCGTCCAGCTCTATGACAACCAGGTAACAAGTCTTAAATCAGCAATCACAACAATTCATTTTTTAACATTTCTGTTTGTGCCAAAAGATTAGATTTACGATCTCTGAGCAGCAGGCATCCGAAGATGGTGATGCTAACAAAGATGGCGCACATGCCGTCGAGACGAACGGCGAACCAGCGAGAGGTGGTGAGGAACAAGAACCAGGCCTCTGTGCAGAAAGAGGAAATACATCAACGGGCCGCCTCAAAAGAGTCGGATTTTACGTTCACACCAAAAGCGAAGCGAATTATTCACGCGAGTAGATTCCATGTAAAGTCAATGAACACGAATGGCCGCGAATGAGGTAAATTGTAAATGGGCAGAGTGAGGTGAACGACGCGGCGCGTGGGACGCAAAAAAGCAAAATGAATAAATTGCTCTTTCGCCCCAAAGTTGAAATATTTCAAAACTTGCCTGACGCTGTCTAGCGAAAGCCAAGCAGCGTTGAGATGCTCCACTCGTCATCACCGCCGTCCTGCTGCCAAAGCGTGAATAGACTTTATTAAACGGCCGCTCACCGGAGTCACACACACAGCTGACACTGAATGCCTGTAAGTTAGTTTGTGTCTAACCGAAAGACACACCGAGCCGACACAACAGGTCATCAGACCGGCTGCTAGTCCGCCTGAAGCAGCGTTGGAAGCCGCAGTCATCCACACGTACTTCCTGGAGGAGTCGGTGAAATTCAAGCTGAGTGCGGCGATGGATGATGTCATGAACCCGAACACAAGACCGTTTGCGGTTCCGACATTGTGTGTAATTCACACAACAAATAAAGAGCAGAAATTGTGGTTATTTCACGGAATCTCCTCGCGCGAATAATTCGCTTCGCTTTTGGTGTGAACGCACCATAAAGTAGCGAGAGAAACCTGAGTGCAGGTCCTGATGCGCATCGAAGGCCTTCTGGAACCGCTCCTCTGCTCCAAAGGCTCGGATGGTCCACAGGCCCTGAAGAGACGACGACAAGTGGGAGAACACCGGACTGCGAGCTGGGGGGAGGAGCATAACGACAATGAATGTGTGAGTTCACAAGCACGGCGTCGTATCAGGGGACACTCACTAGTGGCCTCGAGGCGTTTGACGTTTATGGCGGTCCGCAGGAAGTAGCGGCGCAGGTACAAGAAGAGGAAGAGGAGGGGGATCACTGGGATGAGGATCCAGGGGATCACAGACACCGCCACACAAATCACCCCGAGGATCTGCAGGAACAGCTGGAGACAAAGGGCCAGAATGCTGGTTCAGGTCACATTCAGCTGATTACCATCCGTAATGATGGTAAATGATGGTTGTAGCTGGTTGCCATCTACGGTCCACTACGGTTACAGTGAGGTGTCGTTTGTGTTTTGACAACGTTTTATCTCATAATTTCGACTTTCTATCCCCTTTCTTCAGTGCGGAAATGGGCTTCTATAGTTGTGTGAATGCATCACTCCAGCCAATCCAAAGACGGGGTTTGTAACCAATCAGGTGTAGAGATACCATGGTGACTGGCTCCGCCCCCTTACTGTCAAAAAGAACAACAGCAAGCGGGTAGAAAACACCTTTGAGTGCGAGCAGAGACTAACCTCGCGAGCAACGAAGTTCACGTAGCGAGCAAATATCTCGCGTGAGACAGAGACTTTTGCTCTCAGATGTTTGATTTAGGCGCGCGCATCAACCTGATTTGCGCTCTCGAATTTTGACAGTGTTTGCCGCCATACAACTCCACTACATCATTATCATCATCAACTGCCATTTTCAGACATGGAGTGCAACATGGCTGGCTTTTAAAATAAAGTGATCTAAAAAGTTATTTTAAATCTGACGGTTCCTACAGGAGCTTGATTTGAAGCAGACACGTTATTTAAATATTTGAGCCATCTGATTTTTAATCACTTTCATACAATGAACTCAAACAGTCCTGTATCATTTGCGCTGATATGTTAATTATATGAATCGCCGCTGTGCAGCTTCTCCTCACCTGAATGAAGTCTACAAAGGTCCACGGCATGTTAGAATCCAGCTGGCCGATGTCCTTTGAGAACCTGTTCAAGACTCTTCCTGTGGAGATATTTTTTACCCTTATTTTTCCATATTTGTGTGGATAAGGTTTTTACTGATGTGCTTTTCCCCTCATACTTTAATACTGCTCCAATACTGTGAAAGTAAATTACTTTACAATATCTAACTCTATTTAAAACATTCTAGTAATGTTCTGAATATGCTCTTATAAGGCAATTATTCAGTAATGAAAAAGAAGCAATAAAGAGTATTGATAAACTCCTACTGCCTGCATTAGTTGGGGGATTCACTTAAGTTGTGTCAGTCGAGGCAGCAACTCAGTCTTTTACCTTGTAGAACACAGTAGTGGTGCAACAATAACGTCTTCAGTCAATATGCCCAAAATGGTACCAATATTGAGTATTGCGCTGGCTGTAGTGTTTGAACTTACCAATAGGGTTGATGTCAAAGAAGCGCACGGGTGTCGCGAGTATGGATTTGAACATGCGGTTGTGCAGAGACTGCGCCGACTTCACCAGCACGTGGAACAGGGAGAGGTTCCTGGCGAAGCCGAAAACGATGGTGGCAGCAGTCAGACCTGGAGAGACAGAAGGCTCCTTCACACCTCTGAAGGGGCACACAGTGCACACACACACACACACATAAGTGCAACACGTGGTTACCTCCATAAACACTCAGGTAGAAGGTGGTGTCCAGCTCTGCAGTGGTGTTCAGTTGACTTGGGGGGGCAGTGGTGTTCAGGCCGTTTGGGAGGGAGCTGTTGTTGTTGCTCAGCTCCTCTTGCTTGTCGGCCCTGAGCAGTCAAGGTATTACCAAGTTACGTAAGACAAAATGAAATGCTGAGGATTAATATACCTGGACGGTTTCCCCTTCAGTGACTTTCAGACTTACCAGTGAGCCAGCCACCAGTCCGTCATGATGTATGCTACCTAGATCAAACACACAGGCTCTCCGTAAGGGTTTCTTTGTTCCACTGATTACAGCCGACGTGTCCCACATGTCCTCACTGAACAACAACAAGAAGCAGGCTACCGTACCTGAGCCAGAAGGTTGAGCGCTATGACAATCAGGAGAAGCACGACGCCGGCTCCAGCTTTCAAGTATTTAACGTACAGACGCACTCCGATGTTTCCCTGAGCGCTGCTCTCCTCTGCTACAGTCTGCACCGCCTCTCCCTGTGGGGACAACAGCTGATTACAAAAAGTGGATTCTTCCCTAACCGTTCAGGAAAGGAGGTCTCGCACTGAGGTGCTGAGCAAAACCCTCCAAATGAAGCCTGTCTGCCAGCTGACAAACGCTGGTCCTCTTCTAATACTTCTACATCTACATTGTTCAGGTCGCATAAAAAGAGGATGAACAAACCGGCAGCTGGTCTCCGTCTTTGACCGACTGCGCCGAGGAGGTCTGCGAGTTCTCCGACAGAGTTCTGGTCCTCTTCAGGATGTCTTTAGGAGGCTGCTGCTGCTCCTCCTCCTCCTCCTTCAGCAGGGAGGTGAAGTCCACTCCGGACTGCTGCAGCTCTATGTACTTTCCCTTTGCCACCATGTGACCCTGATTTGTGCCCAAACACACGCAGTTAGAATATTGTGCACATCTGTGACGGTTTACAACACCGAAATCTCATTGTGTAAACACAGACACAGTGCAGCTCCTCTTTACCTCCTCCTGGCTGAACTCATGTTCTATTAATGCACTTCACTGACTGTGCTTCCTCCCGGGAGTCTGTTTACATGGAGGGGGGTTCTATGTGGTCTCTGGTTGGTCTTGCATGACTCCCCCTATTACCATCATTATCCTTACAAGTTGCATTAGTATTGCTGACACCAGCACTGCTTTGGTTATTGTTGTATCCACAGCTGTTGCTAGGTAGTATGTGCTAATCCTTTCGGTTTACTGCTTTGTAACTCTGCACATCTATTGCACGTCTGTGCATCCTGATTGAGGGATCCCTACTCGGTCGCTCTCCTTTAGTCTTTTTTCTCCCCGACTTGATGCGAGTGTCCCGGGACAGAGGACACTGTGTGCAGACTGTAAAGCCCGTTGAGGCAAATTCAGGGCAAGATAAAACAAGAGTTAGATGTATTTGCCCCAAAAGGAAAACATGAAGAAATGGCTCAATCCAAAGGGAAAAAGTACAACTAATAGTAAAGCTAGCTAGCCAGCCTTTACAGAAATACAGATCGTCAAATCTACATTCCAGACAAAGAGGCGGGACGGGACAAGCACCGATTAAAGAATATAATTCAGTTTGAATTTCTGAAGATTGGATGAGATGCAGCCATGACTTCAGCAATAGCTTCTTCAATTCAATTCAAGCAGCCACGCTACGTTTCTGTAATGCACAATGAAAGCCTGATATTTTAGAATGCCGTCACAGCCGTGGGATCTAATGGCTTTCAATGGGAATGAGGTTTGTACTTTTGTCTCTATTTGCGCTACAGACTTTATTATAAACAGATCATAGGAACTGAGGTTGAACTTTCAAAAATAAAACCAAAAGACCAAAACACAGAAAAAAGGCCCAGATGGGGGATTAGTGCCGCTGTGCCGACTACAGGCTGCACGTCACAGTGTGACTACATGGATTATGGACTGGATTATTTCACTTCATATAAACACCAACCTCCTTCAGGACCACAATCTGGTCGGCTGCCTTCAGGTACTGCAGCTGGTGGGTGACCAGGATCCGAGACTTGTTCTTCAGGAGGCCACAGATGCACCTGATGGAGGACACAACGGGGGTCAGGATTTAGCACCAATAAACTGTGTGTCTAAGGATTGGGAAGAGAAACAAATCCTTAGGAGATGTCAGTGTTTACACATTCTTCATTACGGCCATTAGTGGGACTGTGGTATCCAAAGCACAAAACATTGTAGACAGGCTCCATTATTTATTGAATCATGCAGCTTCATAAACGGGGACTTTCTCCTGCTGAGATCTGTTGCTGGCGGCTTTTCGTTCTAGCTTTGAAGCTTTATCCCCCGCGGGGGGTGTTGACCGGAGCACCCCAGTATCTTCCTGTGGTAAGATGGCGAGACCTCTGCAGCTCCAACACAGCATCATAAGCATAATTAATTTAAGAAGAAACTCACTGTTCAAAGAGGTGTCTCCCGACCTCGGCATCCACGGCGCTCAAAGGGTCGTCCAGCAGGTAGATGTCTGCGTCCTCATACACGGACCTGAGGACACACTGTTACCACCAGTTGCGCACTATACCGGTTTAAGCGGTATACGGTATGAATTTGTCACGCAGCGCCATACTGATGTTGCTCTTCGGCAGCAGAACCTATTTTTACAACTCAAAAGGGTGCAGCTCACCCACTATCACAACAAAAAGAATTCTCCGCCAGAGATGCGATAGCACAACTTGATCCCAAGAGAGGAGCTGTGGGCTGTTTGGTTTAAAAAAAGTTTTTTTAAATCCGACGTAAGTTAGATCAGAAAAACGATTTATTAATATATTTTTTAATTTGGTTGCGTGGCTAGTATTGCCTCTGGTTGCAGCAGCCTCAACAGCTAACAAGCTAACTCGCCGCCAAGTGAACAGTGAACAACGAGCAGTGAACAGCTGTTCAGGTGGCCTGCGGTCCTTTTTGGCTTTAATGAATGTGTTCACTCAGGAAAAGAAATACAGCATACCGTCAGAATCTTACAAAATACCGTGATATTTATGGCCATACCGCTCAACTCTACTCTTGAATGCTCATTTTCCCTAAATTGAAAAGGAGGTATGCCAAATTTTGGCCATGATTTTTATATATTTTCTTCAATTTAAATAAGAAATATCTGTACTATCTTTGTGAACCATATAAAGGCAACAACAATTACATCAGACAGTAAAAGAAAAAAGTTGAAATTCTTGTAAGATTCATATTAATATATAGGCCTTTTATTCCTTTTTTTGTGACAAACATTATTCACATAAAACTATAGTGTTAGACTGAACACACACACTTGTCTCTTCAACTCACATGTATAGTAGGGGCTGGCTCAGGCCTGCCTTGGACCAGCCCACAAATGCTGCTACAGGCCTAGACTTCAACTGCTACAATCATTATCGTTATTAGTTGCAAAGATTGTAAAGCCCTCTGAGGCAAATTTGGGATTTTGTGTCTACACAACATTAATTAAATTGTTCCATATCTGATCATCTATGTATTCATCAGTATTGGATACTGATGAATACAATTCAATTAAAAGCTGCTCCTTTACCTCGCCAGGTTGACGCGAGCTTTCTGCCCCCCGCTGAGTGTAGCACCTCTGTCCCCGATGAGAGTGAGGTCTCCATCTGGGAGGAACTCCAGGTCCTGCACACATACAACTACATTCATGTGGGACCACAACCGCCAGAAGAATCTTCACAAGAAAAAGTTTCTAAATATTGCAGCTATGTTAGTTGACTGAATCCTCAAACTGTTTTGTAGAAGTGGGCAGAGCCTGACGAGCTAATGTGGCTAGTAAGGCCGCCGCAGAAGTTAGTCAAACATTTAATTGACAGATTATACTTTGCAGCACATTGAAGGGCGATGACCGGTTAGTACTGTGTTTTTATCGGCAACATAAAGACATTGGAGACTAACACACACGCTTAGTGTAAAGCAGCGATTCCCAAAGTGTGGGCCGCGAAGGTACTGCAGGTGAGCCGCGAGAGGTCATTTACAATAAATAAATAAAACAAAGCTGTCGTTCTTGCCGAGCACATAATGAGATTAAAGAGCGAGAGACGGTGCCCTTTTCTTTACAGTAGCTGAACCATCTTAACGGGGAAATTAAGTTATTCTAAAAGGAGCCCTTGGTAGGCGGCATGGCTGGAGAGCAGCCGAAGATTTAAGGCGTGGATGGCGAGGGGGGCAGTGGGAGCGTACGCGCCTCACAGCATTGATCGGACCCTGAAAGCACCGTCTCCACCAGCAAATACCTCGCTCGAGACGAACTTTTGCTTGCTCGAGACAAATTTTTGCTCGCTCGAGACAGACTTTTGCTGGCGCAAGACTGACTTTTGCTGGCGGATGTTTGATTTACGCGCGCGCATCAGCCTGATTTGCGCTCTCGAATTTTGACAGTGATTTGCGCTGATAGACTGCAGTATCTTATGCGCCTTATTGTGCGGAAAACACAGCATATGAGCTCCGGAGAAAATGGTATACAAAACATACATTGTCGGTTAATACATTTTGAATCGGTTAAATTGTTAAGGTCATTTAATCATCCCTAGTTTATGTTTTGATCAGAGTTGTGATTAAAGGTTTGGGTGGGCCGCAAAAGATTTTCAGATTTCAAAGTGGGCCGCGGCATTCTTGAGTTTGGGAACCGCTGGTGTAAAGAAATAATGCCAAACATTTGGTAGTGCCAGGTTCTTAAAACCTATGGTAACCAACATTACCCTCTCCTAAAGTCTCTGTGCTCTCCCTCCCCACAGGCTTCTGTGGATGGTGGTTCTATCTGATGGTGGTTGCCCCTGCAGTGGTCCTGCTGTGCGCCTGGCTTACTACTCACAATTACTTGAATCATTTCTGTCATAGGAATTGCATGTATTATACATTTGTTCATTCTGTACACATGGCATCGATTGAAGTCTGTCCATCCCGGGAGTGGGGATCCCCTCCTCTGACGTTCTCCCTAAAGGTTTCTTCCCATTTTTTCCCCCTCTTGGGAGGGCTTCTTCATTTTTGAGAGATTTTTCCTGTGGCCGATGGTTGGGTTCCGGACAGAGGATGTGGCTGTGTACGACTGATAAGCCTCGAGGCGAAATTTGCAATTGGCATTTTGGGCTATACAAAATAAATGAATGAATTAATCCCGAGGTAGCCATTCAATGACCACTCACCCTTTTTAAAGCGCAGGCTTTGATGACTCGCTCGTACTTCTCGAGGTCGAGCGCTTTCCCGAACAGGATGTTACTCCGTATGGTTCCAGGGAACACCAAGGCTGCTGTGCGGCGTACGTCAGCTGACCTTTGACCTCCAGCACCCCCTTATCCGAGGGAAGCTCTCCGAGGATGGTGCTCAGCAGCGATGACTGGACCGACGTAACGGCAAGGAGGGGAAAAAAAGGTGAGACTTTGAAAAGTGTACACAAGCGCCCTGGGAAGATTTCTCATTCCAGTTTTCCAGGTGTGAAATAACGCGGCGAGTTAGAAGATATCCGACCTTTCCCGCTCCCACCGGTCCAATCACAGCCAACAACTGGTTGGACTTGAGCGTGAGGGAGAGGTTCTGCAGGGTTGGAGCATCCAGACTCTACAGAGGTTCAAAAACAAACAAACAAACAAACAAACATTAAAGCACAAATTTGTTTTTTCTTTTTTTTCCTCCAACATACCAATCAAGTATCATCACCACTGTAGAAATGATATATAGATTTTTGAATAGACATAATGTCTAGTCGAATTATTGTTTTTGGCTGTAAAGTTACAAGTTTCATCACGTTTGTTTGTCACTGTTTATCACTGACAGAAGCTTTAATTAAAAAAAAGGCATCATTAATGGCCAGATTTTTCTTCTTTCCAATAGTCCAACGCACCATATGTGACATATGTGCTGACAAACAAACCTTTGAAGGTTATATTTCCTTGAAAAAACTTTTTGTTAATGACAACGACCAAACAGACATAAGCCATGTGTAAACTACTACCGTGTAAACTATGAAGACATGCGTTTCATCTAGTGAAGTAGCTCTAGATGTCTGACCTTGTCCCAGTAGCACACCAAGTCCTGGATCTCCACTAAGGCCTCATTCTCTCCCTTGTGTGGCACAATGGTTTTGTTTTTTACAACCTCATCCAGCAACAGGAACTCCTTGATCATAAAAAACAAACAGAATCAGTCACAAGAGTCAGTTCCAAAATATTCAGGCTTAAAGAGGTATTGTGTTGCAACGGGCGGGTAACTCATTAGCTAGTGGGAAAGTTCATCTGGTGAATATGAAATTAAAAACCCATCACACCTGGATTCTGCGGACGCTGACTCGGCTCTCAAACAGCTTCTCGATGGCACTCGGGAAGAAGAGCGTGACGGTGATGCGCACGGCGCTGTAGAGCGACACCGTCACGAACACGCGGCTGGCGGTGATGGTGTTCCCCAGGAGGACGTAGAGGGTGAAGGTGACAAAAAGGATGATCTTGCTGGAGCAGAAGAAGGAGACCATGTTGACACCTCGCAGGTAGGAGCTCTTCAAGATCATGGAGATCTCCTTCCTGAGAGGGCACAGAGGATTCCAACAATCACTGATGGGGAGGGACAGTGGGGGAATGCAGCCATTGGAATGACAGTGTTTCCCCTGGTTTGTGCGAGAATTGTAAACGTCTCCTGCCCCCGATACAATGGGAGGCGAAACACTGCAAATTGTAATTAATGTAGCCGTTAGAAATTCTAGGGATTTGCTTTAATTGATGAATTAAAGTCTTAACCTAGACTACACCAGTTGGTGGTGATGGAAGATATGAAGCAGAGGTAATAGGCATTTGGAAGGGGAGGAATCAAAGACCTTCCTCCCAGGGTAAATGTGGACAAATGATCTTTACTACGGTTCGTAGTGGCTGAATCCACTCGGGACATGCACAGTAGTCTTAAAACACCTATTGCTTGTCCCTGTATCTTTGACATTGCGTCCCATGTGTGTAAAAAACAAACATTGACTGAAACCAACTGCATTAAGAGACAATGGCAAAACCACTAAATTCAATTAATTATCAGTTTCTTGTACCTTTAATTCAGTAAGTAAAGCATTACACTTTATTTTAAGTGGATGTTCCCTTCTAAAACGGTGGGTTGTTACTTAATATCATATAAAATTAAAACTGGACTGTAAATACTACATATGCAGTAGGAACAAAAACCAGAAGACGACTACTTTGAACAAATTGAACAGGTTTGACTGGTGTGGCAGGGCCTTTTCCAACACGTCATTTGGCCTATAATATATCAGAAAACCCTGGCGTCTTTTACCTTCGGACCTCAGAGACCAGAGCGGAGAAGGGCTTCTCCCAGGCGTACATCTTGATGATGCGCATTCCGGACACCACCTCGTTCATGATGCGGATTCTGTTGTCAGTGAAGGCCGCAGTCTTACTCCTGTGGGGGGGGGAGCAGAAACTCGACGTGTGATTAAATGCTGCTGGAGAAAAAAAAAACGAACCGCTTGAAACTTTCAAAGACGGGATTGTGTGCAACTTTTTATGTCTACACAACTACAATTACAACAAATGAGATTTCCACTTATAGCCTTTTAAATAACTCAACTTAGGTTTGATCAATGACACTACAGTGACTGAGCAATTCCTTATTAAATCAATAAGATACGAGAGACTGTACTTTATCGTCCAATAATGTAACAGTTCGGGGGTGTTGTTAGGCAACCCGAATGTCAAACTATGTCAACTAAAATGTCAAACTAACGATTGCGCAAAAACTAACCTGTTACTTTGAGTGTGCAGTGATATGGAACGCTCGGGTCAATCTGAACAGCAACTGTACATTATCGCTCAATAATGAACACCCCGTGACTCACTCTCACCCAATCACAACGCTGTATTTCATCTACCCGAATTATAATAACTGATATTGTATATCACTGTTATGCACTTGCGGTTCATGCAGGCAAATTCCAAGTCTCAGCATAACTGAATTTCTTGTGTGTGTGTGTGTGTTACCTGAACGTGGAGAAGAGCCTTCCGAACATTGTCTGCATAAGCATGAGGAACAAGAGGACCACCATGCCCGCCAAGCACGAGGGGCCAATCTCCAACCACAGCAGGCCCACAACCGCCGCTGCCTGGAGGGGCCCCACCCACAGGAAGTGCAGGAAGATAGTCACCTGTGGTGGAAAACTCACTAATTGAGGAAGACCTAAATGCCAAAGGCGTAACCACGCATTCTTTGGGAGGGTCGTGCCCCCCCCCCCCCCCCCCCCTACAATATTGAGAAAAATACCAATCTACCCCCCTCCCACCCCAAATACAGCAGAAAATATGTAAAATATATGTTCTCCTTTTACAAACCCTGTCAATGGATTGGTCTCTTGTTATGTCTTTTTTATTTTCAATTCATTTCCGTTTTTTTAAGAAAAAAAAAGTGTGTGAATCCCCCCTCCTAATTGCACACTTGTGTGATTTCGTTGGAAACCAACTTGCTTTCTGCGTTGTCATGGTTACCTATCACTTTTTCGTCAGTCAGTTGAGAGCAAAGAAAGTAACGTTAGTTAACTTGTTGGAGAGGAGGTAGAGTAATGGAGGACTTGAGGTTACCTAAAAAGCGGAGTAAACTGGACCAGCAGCCAAACATACACATTTTACACATTTTACAATTTT